GGGTCTCGGGTTCACGCGCGAGTAACCAGTATATTCCAGTGCGCTGGTTTCTTCCTCGGCCGGCACTTTTATCATCAGAATTATCGACAGAACTATCCTCATTTAACAAGATGTTTACGAACCTTTATCGCTCCCGGACTAAGTATCGGTGTCGACAAGTTCCAATATGTTCGATACCGCACACGGAGCACACTCGATTAGCGGCCTCCCACGATGCATACGCGACGTCCGGTCTGATCCCGGCGATTCAAATTTCTTGCTCGTGCCAAGAGATGTTTGCGGATCATTCTGATATCAATATCGCTCATCTGATAATAATGTAAAGACATTATTAATACCGTACGTGACGTCGTTTCTCGATGAAAACCCGCACACGACGCTCTTCCATTTGGCGAACCGAGAGCGTTACACAGTTCCCGTAATTAGAGACTGTTAATATTTGAGACGCGAAACTATTTCGAGTTCTCCGAAAGTTTCCGTGGAGGAGAAGAGGTTCCGTGCGTGTATATTTCACAATGATTAATATTATATAGCCTTCCGGAGCGAATTCAGAAACATCAATCATCCGCGCGAGATTTCCGCGGATTCTCGAAGAGGGGGAAGGGAGAAAGAAGCTGGAAAAATAATCCGGAGTGTTTTACAACGTGGAACTTCAATAGCCGTGTCAGCCTTGCGCCATGATCATTGGGAAGCATCAGGATTCTCGCGAAGAACCGAATTGGCCTCCCTCAAGAAGCGGGAATCGCGAACTACCCTGATGCGAGACGCTGCAAATACGATCGAATCGGTGCAAGAAAGACGGGCAAAATATCCCGTGACATTCCACTCGCCTGTAGCAGGTGACGTTCCGTAACGACCAAGAACCGATTGCCGCGAAACGTTAATGATCGGACAAATTAATGGATTGACGTCGCCTAAACAAGCTAATTTTGAAACTTGTTTCCCATAACTCTTTTTTATCGTTTTTATCTTTTGCTTTACATTTCATTGATTTTACAGTAGATCTTTGGGAGTATTTTCTAATTCCCACGTTCATCGTGCGAATGAATGAACGGGGCAGCGCGTCGGATTAAGGTGCAAAAAGTGGGAAATAATAAATAGTCTTCAACGCGACAATCTGGTATCTCGGTGCTGCCGACCTATCCGAGTGACACGCGATGGTCCAAATCTGCCGATACGTCACCGCTGAGAATCCGACGAAATTCGTCGCAAACAGACGAGGCCGCCGTCAGCTCGCAAATCGCCAGTAATCTGGAATTGTACAAAAAGACGGAAATTATCGTGTCACGCCGCGCGTCTTGTGCAGAAGAGTGCACACGGCGCAGAATATATTTTCCACTCGTCGTCGCTCAGTGGGGTCGGCGGGGTCAGCGGGATCGCGCTAGAATGACGCAACCATGCTGCTGGGGGTCTGATTCAGCCATAACAATCGCATTACAACGCGATATCTCGTGGACTCTTCACCGCTCGTGTGCAATCATCGGCTATTCCCTTTCTCTCTTACTCGCTCGCGCGCTCTGCCGAGATGCTCTCCTTGTCATGCCCGTTCTTTCGCAAACAACTTGTCGTTTCTCTCCGGCCGCTGATAACTGCCGATTGCCACACGTTGCGACCCGTGTGTGTGTGTGTGTGAACCCCGTGTTAGATGGCACGAAACGGCGATGGGGAATTTACACACGTATTAATTGCTGTTATCGGTGATTCGCGGTGTTAATTGCGAAACATTGTATCCGTTACATCGTACTCGGATAAAACACGAGAAACGTCGCTTTTCGCACTTGCACGATTTTCAAAGGACGCTTCGATGAAGCGCGATAAAGTTCGATCAAATTCCCGGGATACTCCCAACAGGACCGTTTCCGTCTGATCAGCCCTTCATAAACTCCTCCAGCAATTCGAAAGCGAGAAAAATTGATTACTACGGTAATTTTTAATTTGCCACTTTTTTTCTTTTAATTTTAATTTAACAATGTATTCGGTTGTAATTTTTTTACGACAATATGTTATCGCTTAACATATAACACATTGACTTTATTTAATTTCAGTTAAGCGTACGCAATTATCCTCTTTTCGAAAAGAAGCAAATGACAGCTTTTAATCGAACACACGCGTAAATTTTTTCTAAACGAATTTTTCTACCTTTGGAAAAGAAATTGAAAAAAAAAACCCCGGTTTTCTAGAGCCTTCAGAACTGTAGGATTTCCACTTTCTCGAGTCCCCCTCAGTTCCGCTAGTCATTCGACACGTGTTGTTTTTATCGAGGCAACTCCCACCGGTGGGTTTCAAGCGAGGGAGTGTTTTGCAATTATAGGCGTTTCGTGTATAAATCGATGAGAGACAAGTCTCAATTAACGCCTTTCTTGAGGCGTATTGTTTTCGCGAGTCGCGACTCGTCAGTCAAAATAAGAGCGGCGCGCCACTGCGTTGTGCGTCACTGAGCTGAGATAGCGAGAACGAACGTCATCGAGCGGCGGGGAATCATCTGACTCTCGGTACCCCCAGCGGATCGTATTATCTCTTATCAACGTGGAAAATAACTCCCGGCCGCGAGTGCTTCTTCGTCTTTGCCGCCTGAGATAACGGATCGACTAGGAAACGTCTCTTCAGTCATTTTTCCACCCAGTTTCGCCGGTATATAATAGGCATTCTTTTTCTCTTTCTCTCTCGATTTCTAATAATATCGCTCGTTATCCGACCGGCCGACAATAGTGAAGAGGCCACCAACCCGTTTTAACCGGATCGAGCGGCGATTAATCTCGCCCCTCGTAATTGCGCCGCCAGAAACTCGACTCGATTATTAAGTTGCGTTCGAGTTACCGAGAGAGACTCGCGATACCGGCGGTAATAAACGACAAAGTCGCAGACGGAAGACGCGTTTCGCGGTCGTCGGGTAACGCGAGCGATAATTAAACTGTTGATCTCCCGGCAACGCCAATCGCCGCACGGTTTATTATTAGTGACGCGAGAATGGGATTGTCTAATAAATTGTTCTCGCACGCGCACGAAACTCGCGATTTATTTCGACTCGTTAGATTGAATTCTTTCTTCTTCGTCGCGCGAAAACGAACTATGTAATAACTCGCCGCCGAAAGACAGAGTAGACAAAAATCCCGTCTTATACGGAATTTGTTGCGAATGAGAAGGAAAGAAATCAAAGATTAGGAAATCTTTGTTGTGATAATATTCAATAATAATATTAACGTTTCCTATTATTGTAAACATAAGCAAAGCCGAAACACGAAGCAGGCGAGAGTAACATATATTATCGCGCGTAAGTGAGCGTAACGCAGAAGATAATGAATTATTATTAAGTAATAAATATTTCATAACTTTCGGTCTAGAATAGCGATACGTGCAGTCCCCACACATAATTGCAGCTGACAATGGTAAAAATAATCGCAAAATTATAATAAATGCGATGAGTGATGACATCACGAACAATTCACGAATATGTGGTCGAAAGCAGACCGCAATCCATTAATTTGTCCATAAAATTCCGCTCTTCAATTCATGAAAGAATCGAGTGAAATACAGTCAATCGCTTTATTGAATAGGCATTCTTATGAGTGACTTCCAAGGTGTTAATTGGGATTTACGGATGACTTCAACCTTGCAAAGTCAAAGAGAGACACGCCTCTACTCTTATCTCGCACGGGCAAAATTTAATTACGCGCGATTTAATCGTCAGCATTCATTTAATCATCAGGATCAAAATTTACGATTCTTTACGCCTTTGGCTGACAAAATAATGTTATCGAAATGATTATCATCAGTTCTTCCGATGAACGATTCTGTCAACGACCGATAAGCCTGATAATGAAGGAAAAGTGCGTGACACGCACAACGTTCCGAAATATTTCTGTTCGTGCGCACCGAAAGCACATACGTAAATGGTAGTGACGACATCATTGGAACCGTTTCGACATTCGTCGCCTGAATTATAAGCAGGCTTTTTCTTTTCCCTTTCTTTTAATATTTATATTTATTTCAGAACGCAATATCACGCTATGTAGTTACGCAGTTGCGACTAATTTTTTGTTTCCTTATCGTTTCTATTTCGATCTGCGCGTAAAATTTTCAAACGACCAATAAGTCTTCCAACGTCAAGTCGAATCTAACGAAATTTTATCAATGACCTCTAACGTTCAAAGCCAAGTTCCCTATTCTGCAGACGTTCGTATCAAACGCTACGCTGAGAGAGAAAATATCCCAAAAAATAAATAATATTTTCTCGATAGATATTAATAATATATTTATTTAAATCTAAATTCTTCCATTTAAATAAAATAAACAATCGTTTTCCTGCAAAGCTACAGATTTAGAAAATGTATATTTTCTCACTTGAAAAATTTGTTCTTCAATGTAAAAATATGCACATTGGTAGAAATAAATATATTATTATTGCCCATCAAATAAATTTTTAATATTTTACTCTCTTTTTTTTAATATTTGTACATATTTTCTTCTCAGTGTAAAGCTGATATAACGTTGTGCACGATGCTATGCACATGCATAATTCATATGTTAATTATTCTAATGGTTGTTACGTGACGCGCCCAATGTTGATGACTCCGAACGCCGAAGTGCTCACTCTCGCGAAGTCTTCTGCGGGAAGGAAAATAGAATGTTATCGCATTAGAATGTGCAGCTCATATATAAGAAAGACGGAACTTGGAATTGAAAGGGCATATTCTTAGCGTCCGCAATGCGCGCAGAAACACAGGTAAACCCAGCAGGTACACTCAACCACATCACCTGGGCGCGATATGTTCGTTTCGGAAAACGTGTGCCTAAGCAAGGTGAAGGCACACGCTTTTGTATTTACCGAGCGTACACACAAACACACACACAACACGAACGAACGAGGCGAGCGAGCGGTCGGTGAAGAGGGACGGCGGTCGCGGCGCGCGAACAACACCGCCACAATTCTCTCGCGCACCGCGTTCCTATGGTCTCAGAGAGTGGGGACTCCGCTATAAGAAGATAAATCACAGTAGAACGGTTCAGTTTACAGCTAGACCACCGTACGGTAACGACAAGTCGAAGCCCCCCCGTGTTCGTCCCTGATACCGTTCGTCTTTATCCGAGGACTCGCCGAGTCGAATTTTCCACGTCAAAGCAGAATCTGCCAAGGAAAGGTAGGTGCCACATTGAAATTCCGCTCGTCCATCCAAGGCCGTCGCGCGTTACCTCCTCACCGTAGGTCCGCAACACGAGAAACCGGCTTCAAAATCTGACACTTGTTGCTGACCGACGCTCTCCGTCGCCGCCGCTTGCGCGCCGTTGCAACGTGCATCTTACGGTTGGCGGTAACATGTAATCTAACGCTGTTTACTGTGGTATGTGTGTGACGTAACCACACCGACCGACATCATTCTCGACGAAGAACGTCTCGTGATTTACCACGGAGATCAACGTAACACGTATATTACGGTGCAATTTATGTAATACACGCGCACGTGTGATTTATTATGGAGAGAAATTATTTATGTCTCGATTCATTTACGAAGTAATTGTATTTTATTCCGCGTGAAAAAGGAGGAAAAATGAAAAAGAATGTCCGTCATGTTGAGTTAATAAATTTACCGGGCGAGAAGGAAACGGAAGAATCGCGTCACTCGTATATCGAACCGGCGCGCCGCCTGGTATTTGAATTTATCGATATTTGCCGGCAATTGCGATTTTACTTGGCGGTAAAATGTTATAAGAGCACCGAAAGACACTTGTAAACGTGCTCGAGAGAGTCAATCGCGGCTGTCCGATACCGCGAAGGAAGAGCGACAACGAGTTAATGAAATTCCTCAGGTGAGTTCGAGCCATACACGCTGACCGACCACGTTTGTTTCAACGGGTAACGACAAATTTGAATGCATGGAATATGCCGGCTTCTCGCCGGAGAGGAAAAATTTCCTTAGCGGCATTTCGACGAGCCGGCAGACAAGCGTTCGTATCAATATTCCGCTTATGTAACTTTCATCGACTCTCCATCTTCTATTTTTCGCCGCTGAAAAAAGGAATACATTTGCACCGGAAATCACGGCATTAGCAATCCCTCGCGTTGTTTCCTCGAGCGATCTTTCATTAGAAGATATATCTTCCATGTGACGTAAAGATTTACCCAAAGTTAATTAAATGGATTCTACAATTTCCGTGACACACATGTGTGTTGTTATGTCGTTGCATTCGTGCTTGTCTATAAATATATGTGTTTAAGATAATGTTACCGGAATAAGAGGAGATAAATGTTTCATTGTCGACGCGAGGAAGATACCGGTTTTCCCAGAATTGATGAAAAGCGCTTCTTTCGTAAAATTTAAATTTAATTCTCCTCAGCGAAGATGTCGAGTCGCTAGTAGTCTGAAAAACGCAAGTCGGTTAAAATAGGTAAGACAAGGATAACAAATAGATAATAAGACTATTTGTCGTTAGATTCAAAGTGGACTTTAATGTATTTCTAATAAATTTTTTTTTTATTGAAATTTTAAAATCTGTGGGCCGCATGTTTACATTGCGTCAAATATGAAGCTCTTTAAATATTCTGTTCAAGTATTTTTAATTGGCCGATTATGAATGTTTAGAGATATTAAGGAATTCATTCGCGTGAATAGCTTCGGATATCAGAGTTTATCGGGATCCACATGAAGCGTCGCTTACAATTTGGATTTGTATTGCGTACATATGTGTGTGTGCTGAAAGATTGAATATGCATAAATCGACAGCAGTGGCATCCATGCTGTCGCGAGCGTTACATATTGTAACTACGGCAGCCGAGATATTCATGACGTAGTATATTTCCGCCCATGACAAGCTAATTATCTTATAATACAGTACATTAACATTCGCCACACACATGAATAATTAACGTGTTAATCATTCTAATGGATGTTACATGACGCGCACAAAGTTGATGATTCAAATCGATCAGACGCTAAAATGCTTATTTTCGAGGTCTTCTGCGGAAAGAAAAAAAAAACTTTTATATAAGAATATTATAGAATATTATTGCATTAAAATGTATAATTTACGTAATATTTTGATCGAACATTGATTCTAGATAATAACTAATATCACAGATAACGAGAAGTACAAAGTAAAGGAAACCAGTAACATATCAGTCGGCTGTTTATTCGTGATATATTTTTTTTCGAGAAAGACGATTAGCACTTTGTTTTTCTCCCTCACGTGGAAATTTCTATGAAACGCTCAGGAATTTCAAAATATTCTTCATTTAAAATACTAGCTCACTCGATCCAGTTCATTTAAAAGACGCTCGATATGAAGTGACACCACAAACCGATCAATCACAATTAGACTGACGTTCGATCTAACACTCGATAGTCGTCGACAATCTTGTTTGCCGTCGATATTGATATTTCCACCTGATAATGCGGGAATGATGGGACGTCAATATGTATTTGTGATTTCGATAAGCGGGGGAATTATATTCCACCAATGCTTATCGGTTGTCACAGCTGCGCGACTGTTACGGCTGAAGATCTCAATCAGTCGGTCAATCGTAAATTTCCACCGCGAAACGATTAGAAAGTACTTGCGTACGAGAAGTTTGATACAATATATGCGAAATTAAGCAATCGTAATCCAACCGATCTTAGTGTTACATAGAGGTCGCAAACTTTATAATTCCACGTTGTCAATTACATTCTGTATAAATGCGAAATACATGAAAATTTCCACGAATTTTTATCATTTCTCTCACACTAAATTGCCGTTCTTCATGAGCAAAGAGTTCTATATAATTTTTAATGTAAATACATAATATAAATCGTTGTTTTTTATTTGCAATTTTTTACGAAATGTGAAGATAATATTTAATCACACATATATTGATTGGATATATAATACAAAATATAGGAACATAAAATTTCGAAAAGTATGATAATCAGCAAGTTGCAGACTGACATAAACGACCTGAGCAGACAGTTGAATTACCGATCACGAATAGCGATTCCCTTTTGTCCAGGTAAACACTATTCAAGGATTTCTTTGTTTCAAGGATAACATGTCGGTCAACTTGAGAAGCGTTCTCATCAGCGATCCCGTGGACGAGTCTTGCGGCGCTCTGCTGGTCGAACATGGCATTCCAATCACGACAAAATACAAACTGCCGAAGGATGAACTGATCAGCGAGCTACAGGTAGGCGCATCGTTGTGGTGAAATTCACGTAGTAGCAGCGATTGATAATCTCTGTCCCGCTAAAAATATACAAATTGAAAAGTGATCGGAAAAAGCGTATTTTGCCAAGTTACGAATTCCGTTTGATATTCGGCGCCGAATGTTAGCTTTAAAAGTGGGATAATCAGCGAAAGTGGTGCTCCGAAATCGTTTTAGCGGGAAAATCTCTATTAAAGTTTGAAATCAATTTGGTAAATGGTCAAACGCCATCTCGACTCACTTTGATTTTTTTTTTATCGATCTGAAGCTTTGAATTTTGTAAAGTGCTGTAATTTTATACTTTTGAAAGTGACACGCTATAAATTAAAACTGCAAATCCTCCCAATCCGAGATGTCAGTTTAATCAAATTTGTCATTTATTAATATTTTTTTCAAATTTACAATATTAATTTTACTTCGCAAACCGCAACGATTGATTTTTTTTCTCACTTGTCTCGACGCAATAATCGATATTTATATGTTATTTTAACGACCGGAGAGAATGATTGATCAAATGGTCATTCAACACTGATCAAACGGGACTTGGTTTTCTTTTCGTGCATCCATTAGCGGGTGATATTTGCGTTACATAAAGCTTTTAATATTCGTCGGTTTCGAAACGCGACGATAAACAGTGAACTCCAACCCGAGAAGCAATCGTAAATGGGACACAATCGCGCATCGTACCGTATTTTCCGTCTTAGATATTAATGAATTAAATTACGATTGATAGTTACCGCGTTAATTAACAAAATAGCGAGAGAAAAAATCTCCCTTGGAAGGGATTTTTTTTCTTTTCTTTTAAAAATAGTTCAACCTTTGAAGATATGTTCCTCCCATTGCGTTACATTTAGATTCCGATAAGATGCCGATTAGATGCGTACAGAGGCAAAGGTTTCTTTGATTTCAACAAATTGTCAGTCGTCCATTGTGTCGAACAAATACCAAATAAAATCGACGAAACACTTTTGTTTTATCACCTTCTCTTAGTTTCTAAATAATTGTGTAAAAGAATTAGATACATGTGGTTGCACGACGAGAGTCGTAACATATTTCACTAATCGTGCGTTCAATAATAACGTGCTTGAATTATTTTCACAGTGTATCAAAATCCGGAATAACATATGAATATACAGAGCAATCAATATTTGGAATAGTATTATTCAACATATTCGAAGCTTCGAATTTCTGAACTTTTCACACATTATGTTCACGCATTATGTAATTTCTGGCTCTAATAAACTTATAAACGTTCGTCGAATCATTACCGGTCAATATTATCGCTCATTTCGAAAAACCGCGTTGTCCGCCCTCGCCCTCCACTCCCTCAAGCAGAAGAGAATAATTCGGTTTTCCTTCTCGTCTCTCAAACATTTCCTGAAATAATCGATGCAGAGACTTCAAGGTGGGAGGTAGCGAATCGCAATCGACGTGCCGAAATTTATCCTGTCGATCGATTATCAGCTTATCAGCGGCGAACGTTAAAGAGATCTTCTCACGAGAGATCTTCGTTTGTGTGTGAGAGAGAATCGAAGGATTTCGAAGAACGATCTATTTCGAGTAACTAGCCGCGTAAAACGTTCCTCGTTCCCCCGGATTGGATAAATTCCGCGCCACGCGTCAATTCATCTTGAGGCATTAGACATAGCCGATCTAATGCGGCATTACGAGTGTAATAAATATATGCTAGTGACATGTGGGACGCGCGTCTTGCTCTCTTTTCTATCCCCCACTGTCCCCGCCCACCCTCCGTGGTTCTCTCCCTCTCTTTCGCTCCTACGATTTCATCTATCTCCGTCTCCTTCCCCATTTGATCTTTCTTTTCTTAATTGCCCGCATTCGAGCCGGCGATCCGGTTATATCCAGTTGAGTCGGCCGGCGCAGATACCGGTTGGCTCGCAACGGGTCATTGTACCACCGGTTTGCGCCGGCACACATGGGCGCCCGTACAAGGAGACTAGCCATATATCCCTTCTCCACCCGGGTTTCACAATAACTTACGTTAAGATCGTTCGTTTCACTCGCACTCGCCGTTTCTCAATTTCGCCGCTCTTGCCCGCACCAGCGTCGTCAGGCTCCAACGTCGGCTGGACCGTCTCGTTGCAAATCCACCGAGAGACCGATGTAGTTCCGAATCCTTTTTATTCTCCATAGGGATAGATTTATAAACCATGACATCGCCGGACGGAGATCCTTTTTTTTTATATACGTGTTTTGTCGATGCTGGCTGAATATGCGTACACTGAGAGAAAAATATTTGGTATTTGTAACTGTAATCGTCGCAGTGAAAGAATTATAGCCACGGGAGAACTAGTTTTTTTTTTTTTAAATAAGCGTTACCATAGTATCAGTGATATCAGTGATAACAACTTTACATGCATGTTGCTATTACTATTTTTGCGATCAAAGCCGTAAAGAAGGGTATAGTTGCCGAAAATAACTATAATTTCTCTCAGTATATTTGTCATTTTTGTAGATTTACATATTCAGACATAGAAATGTTTTTTTTTTCTAGTTTTTCGTTTATATGTGTTGAAATTATAATTCCCGAGGTAAAGGAAAGTTTAATATTCTGTCCCACAGAAACATGACGCGCTTATCGTCCGCTCCGAGACGAAAGTGACGGCGGACATTATCGCCGCGTGCCCGAATCTTCGCGTGGTCGGACGCGCCGGTACCGGAGTCGATAACATTGATCTTCAGGCTGCCACGCGTAAAGGGGTCATCGTATTGAAGTATGTGTACATAATGCTCGATTTTCGCACTTCATAAATTTACTTTTATAAATTATATATAAAATAACAAGCATCTCTCTCTATGAATTGGAGACAAAGTAAAGAATGTCAGTCCTCGTCAAGAAGTGAAATAAATTTTCAACAAATATAAAGTTTAGTAAAGTTTAGTAAATATAAAGTTTTGATCGACGTATCAATTTTATTTTTTTAATTAATTGAACCTAGATCGCCTCGGTAATTAAAAAGCTGAACTCGACGCAAATCCAAATCGAACAGAGAGTGACGGTGACGTCGAATTGATATCAAAATGATGAGAGAATGATCGGAAGATAGTCGGAGTTTTATAGTCATTCTTTCGTCACTTTGACGATATTTTGACGTCATCGTGATTCTCCGTTCCATCCGGGAGGGCTAAGACAGATATTCGCAAGACCCTCGGCGTTCAAACGCGAGAGGCGTTGCGTAAACGTCTGGACGTCACAATTATCCTAATCGAGTTGGCAACCGCAAGCCTTGCTAGCCGCATCCGTGCATAATCGCATTGCTCGCTTCGATTATTTCAGCACACCTGGTGGCAATAGCATTAGCGCTTGCGAGCTAACGTGCGCTTTAATATCCGCGTTAGCGCGTAATGTGGCTCAAGCGGCGCAATCGCTGAAGGAGGGCCGATGGGACCGGAAGCTGTACTCCGGTTATGAGCTGTCCGGCAAGACCCTCGGGATCCTCGGGATGGGCCGCATAGGCCGCGAGGTAGCTCACAGGATGCAAGCCTTCGGCATGAACGTCGTCGCTTTCGACCCCGTCGTGAGTGCCGAGGCCGCCGCCGAGCTCGGGATTAAAAAGCTCAATCTGGAGGAAATATGGCCCGTGGCAGACTATATCACCGTCCACACGCCGCTCATACCTCAAACCAGAAGTACGAGAGAAAGAGAGAGAGAGAGAGACAGTCCTTTGATAAAATAATTTTCTTTTTTTATTTTGTTACCATACTCGGAGAAAAATATAGTAATATATGTATTTTTCTCCAAATATAGTTACTATTATTTTTACTAATTTTATTAATTACCAGTATTCTAGACTATCGTATAAACTTAAATTAGAATCGTTTGGTATCATTAGACTTTAAATCTGGAATCGTAATTGTTTCCATCCAAAAATTATGCGCAATGACTGATCGGAGCCGTATGTTGTCCATAGATTTAATCAATGCGACGACTTTGGCGAAATGCAAGAATGGAGTTAACATCATCAACGTCGCACGTGGCGGCATTGTTGACGAGGAGGCTCTCTTAAATTCGCTCAAGTCCGGTCATTGCGGCGGAGCTGCTCTGGATGTCTTTATGGAGGAGCCGCCGAAGAATCCGATCACCTTGGAGCTCATCAAACACCCGAAAGTTATCCCGACCCCTCATCTCGGTGTGTAGACGAATCGCTATAAAAGCGGTCTCAAACAATCCCGATCTAATTAATAATTAACCAATAATTAATTTACACCCTCGGGCCGTACATTGAGAGGAACTATAGTTATTTTCGGCCTCAGTTATATCCGTTTTACGATTTTAACCGCAAAAATGTTAGCAGTATGTACGCAAGATATTATTATCACTGACATTATCGTAAAATTGATTAGAAAAACGATTTTTCTGATTATGATTTTCTCACTACGATGATTATGGTGACGAAAAATCAAATATTTCTCTCAGTGCACAAATATATGAAAGACGAGATATAGCAACTCTCAGATGTCTCTTCAACGCTCTCATGAAATATTTACCAATCTTCGGCACTTTAATCGCCAAGACGATGCGCCATTATACTAACAATCGACTTGATTACAGGCGCCAGCACGGCGGAGGCTCAACAACGGGTGGCGGTGGAGATCGCCCAGCAATTCCTCGCCCTGTCCGGCAAGTCGACCGAATACGCCGTCACCGGTATTGTGAACGCCCCGGTTTTGACCGCTGCTATGACGAACGAGAACGGACCGTGGATAGAGCTGTCGAAGAAACTGGGCCAATTAGCCGGTCGCTTCCTCAAAGGCAAGCTCAACACGACCGTGCATAGCCAGACCGTGGGCGCTGGTATGCAAGACAAGCGATTCATACACACAGCCGTGTTAGTCGGCATATTAACCGGCCAGACGAAAAACGGCCTGAACCTGGTTAACGCGCCGACCCTCGCGCAGGAGATCGGCGTAGAATTGCAAGAGAGCCACGTGGACGACGACAACCGAGCGGTTGTCGTGAAAGTCGGACAGCATGTCATCAAAGGTAACGTCCCGAGTCGAGATATCGGTCGCATTCAGGAAACACAATGGTTGTGCAATTCGTCGACATAAATTGGTTTGAATTTAGAGATCTAACGATAAAGACTTGTGTTTTCCGAACGCAATCATTGACGCTACTTTGACGATTTTAAGGATAGTGTCTCCAACGCGAGGACCGAACGAGTCCGTGTGCTCTACTCAAAAAAATTGAGAAAAGAAAAAGTTTGAAATAATTCCTTCCGTGCATTACAGGAACTGTGCGCGACAACGAATTGCTGCTACTGGCTTTGGACGACGCGGTCTTCGTGAACGGCATCGCGCTCAGAGACCACATTTGCCTGTACCGTGCGAGCAGGGTGCAGGATCTCGCCAACATCGTGAACGTCTTCTCCTCGAAGGCCATCAATATCCACAACTTGAACGCCAACGGCAGTTGGTTGATCATCCAGACCGGTCAGGAGGTATCGATTCCCGTTGACGGAATTGACAGCTTCTGAACGTTTTTCTTAAGAGAAAGGGATGAAGAGAGAGAGAGAGAGAGAGAGAGGATGCAGAGAAAAGCGTCGACAATGAGCGATCCTCACGAAGACGGGAGGGATGCGGAGGCACTGATGAATCCAGTATTGCTCGATTGTTAGAAACGCGCGGCGAGCTCTTACGCTCTTCTATCGACGCGCCTCTTTTTATAATTACATAAATCTTCTCATTCGTTAAATCATTATTTATTACCCGATTAAAGCGGACGGATCGGAAATGTCGAGGTGAAAATATTGCTATTAATACATTACGTAGACGAACGATAAGTATTTTTTTTTTTTGATTCTCCTTTTCTTTTAAGAAGAAAACTACATAAAAAGTAGTCCGTGAAATATTTTCGTCCGATTGCGTGCGGAAATACCGTCAATTATATACGAGACATTATTAACCCTTTGCGCTCGAGGCCTTTTTCGCTCGAGCGAACCAGCAACTCGAGAGGAATTAGCTGCTCCCGCTTATTTCATGAGTTTTTTACAGTTAACTTAAAATGATTTTTGACACAATATAACACTTTAAACTTGTATATTTTAACATTTTACATATCTTCATAGTTCAAAGAAAGACATTTGTTAAATGTAGCCATTACCTCATAAGATTACACACAAAGGGCTAGGAGTAGAAGCGATATTCGTTAAATCTAAATAAACACCGTTATCGCTCGATTTGCCGCCTCGATCCGAGTGGTGCCTGAGAGGCACCTCTCGAGCGCAAAGGATTAAAACTTATATCGCACTCTTACGCACGCACGCACGTACGTCAAGATAAAAATGTATAAAAAAGGGTATATATATATATACATATATGTATAGCATATGTCCGCGTATAACTATTTATATTTTTGTATTATTATTAGAGAGTTTGTTAATAAAACATCACATTTTATCAAATCACCGGTTCCAGTTCAAATTGTACGGCCGGCATCGGGAGAGCCCGCGACTAGCGCGCCCATGTCTCTACAAACAAAGCGTCTCTCTTGTACAAAAGGGAACGGCAACTACTCTAATCGTAGAAAGAGTCGATCTCGCCTCGTAAGTGCTAATATATTGGTCAAAAAGTTATAAAAAATATAACATTTGTAGCTCCTCGAAAAATAGTATATCCATGAAAATGGCCGACTCCAGCGTGCAAGAGGCTCTCCCGATGTCGCAATATATTCGTATAATCTTACAAACATGATAATACATACATCGATTACATCAGTTTGCTATTGTTAGCGATCTTCTCCCCTTCTCTCCCCGCCCCCTTCCCACCATCATTTCCTATTTACCGGCGGTACAAATGTAGCGTCCAAAAGAATCGTCGTGTTCTTTGGTGTACAGTCATGTTTTCTTGCGAATTGAGTGTGCAATTTTGCAACGATAGCCGAACGTGTTAAAGCGAACTTGCATAAAGTTAAATTGAGACTTCTATATGATCCTAAAAACTTAAAAACATAACATTGGTACGTGACACAGCGCGAGTGGGTATCACATTTGGAAAAAAAAAAAAATATATATATACACATATACATACATATACATACACACACACACACACACACACACACACACATATATATATATATACNAGAAAAGGAACTAAGAAAGCAAGAGTTACTAATACAGAAACTGATAATCAATTAAGGACAAATTGAGAAATTAATATGCATTAGTTTACAGAGTAATACTTATTATAAACCGCAATATAAATAGAAGAAAAAACGTAATGATATGAACAAGAATAGAAAAAATCTTTAGGGTACAAACGTTCACTATACATATATATAACGTACTAAATTTTAACAAGGTCGTGCATTTAATAAACATTAAATGACGATGAAGATCTTATATTCTCTCGTAACTGTTTGCCCGACAACAATTGAAGGTGAAGACGATGCCGTCCTGTAAAGAGACAGAAAGATAATTCCCTCGATTAAATGAGACAGCGCACGGTAATCGTCACGTTATGTGTCGTCGGAACGTGTTAGTATCGCGCCAAATATTTGTGAATGACACAAACAATAATAATCCTGAATAAACAAGTGACAAAAATCAAGTTTAAGCGGTCATTTTATTTTACTTACTCTGACTAATAAAGGAAGCTCGCACCAGAAGTCATGATTCGGCAGCATTTCCCAACCAGTTGCCCCCCTCAATGTTTTCAACACTACAGCGCCACCAATAAGATATATACCAGCGAAGGTGAAGAACAAGATGACCAGAACTGAACCTGTGGACAAGCCTCTCTGCGGTTCCTTTTTACATCCGTATGGCGATACCAGCATAAAATGCTACAAATATTTGGATAACTTACTTAAAAGCCTTATTTTGGTATGAGCTGACAAGTAACTTCTGATACTTCTGTGGGAACATATTTATTATGAATCACTGCTATCCATATACTTACATATGTTTTGGTATCCGGGAAAACCTGATCTATCATAAAATGTACATCACTGTTAATGACGCATACAATATTTATGATCGATGTCATATTATCATGATGTATTTCAAACACTGGAAACTTATTATTGCCGTTTGATAACTTCATATGTGTATCGTTAATTGTTCCAAGATTTATTATTTTCTTTGCTTTCTCAAGCATACAAAGCTGTAAGAACAGAATTTTCTTCATTCACTATCTGACTCGCTTTTGCTTCTACTTGATGTTCAAGCTTATGTGCAATTTTTAAGAGAAATTCTTATAATTTTTCAGCAACATAAATCTATTATTAAGCAAGTTAAGTAAATTAATTACTATTTCATGAAACAATTAATAGTATTATGAGCTCATATATAATTTCAATAATATAATAACAATAAGATCTTGATCTTTAATAATAGATGCTTATTCAATTGCTTATATATGTATGTAAAACAGTAAAAATATTAATTATTAAGATCATAATATATTTAGAAATTAGAGATTATGTTTTTTAACAGGTATCGACATAAGTTATGTATATGGTAAATGTAAATGATATCTGTGGCAAATAGGCAATCCAACAAAATATTCTCTACAAATTATAATGAATCATAGTTATCAAAATCCTTACTGAAACTCCACTTCCATTGAAACATGGGTTATTTAAATTACCACTGATGGGAATTGATATATCTTTACATGGGTGGAAGTATACTGTCAGATCATCTTTGTCAGCAATAAGCGGTCTGAAAATTACAATCAATTAATATTTCACGATATAACATATATTTAATGTATTCTCAATAGACGAAAATTATATTTAATGTATATTTAATGTACTTTCAATATAGGCGAAAATTAAGACGATACACATTTTCAATATAGACGAAAATTGAAACAATAATATAACTGAGAAGTAGTACGAAATAAGTCGCAAATTGTCGAAACGCTTATTTTGCATACAATGACTCAACCTAACCGAATCTTTCTCTTTTCTATTTTTTCCCTTTTTTCGTGCAAAAATGAAACCCGTTACCAGGCTTACATCCTTTCGCTTCTCAACTATAAAATAATTCACGTTCAAGGATGTTTACGGCACGGAAATGAGGTGACGGAGGTTAATTGTTTTAAGAAACTACCAACTCTTTCTTGTCAGCGAGGCTAGTCAAATTGTAATAAGAGTTGTCCGGTAGACGGCAAACGCAAGGCCCCAGTTGCGTGCATTCTGACGACGTGCTGTCGCAGAAGAGTATCAGAAATAACGCCAATGCGACCAACGTCCCATTACGACAGCACATCTTCCACCGAGCTTTGTTGTCGTTTCGTTCGCACCAACGGGCCTGTCACTTGCGTAAACGATGTGGCCGGCGATCCCGATGACGTTAGCTCGACGTAGATGTCACTCGTACCGAATTCCGCGGAAGTTGCGGATAAAAACAGCGAGCGAACGAGACAACGGGGGATAAATACTTGTGTGCGAAATTGAGAGCCATAACAGAACGTCAAGTTGTATCGTCCGTCAACGCTATTAAAAAAAGTACCCTTTACTCTCCGTTACTTATAATTTACAACTCAATAATCTAAAACCCATATTAGACTACGGATTGGGGATTGAGATTGAATTAAATTTAGCCAATCAGTGTAAAACTAACTAAACTCAAATTTAGTGAAATTTAGTGAATTCTATATCTGATTGGTCAAATTTCAATTCAATCTCAATCTTCAGTCCATAGTTTGATATGGGCTTGAAAAGTTCGTCTGATTCTTCATTGGATCGTAATAATTGATAACAGTGTTAAGTCGGTATTCATAGTTGGATCTTAATGTAAGACCGTCTTAAGTTTACCTTCGTAGCCAATGAAATGGACCGTAGAGCATCCGAAGATAAACTTATGGACGATCTTAAATATAAGATCCGTGAGGATTACCGACGGTATGCCCCATGACTTCTCTTTTTCTTTACTCTGATTTAAATTACCTCATTGGCCTGATTGTAATCCACAATCCGCAGTGACACGGGCTTTACATGTCAAATAGCTTTGGAAACGAGCCTTTAACCGGGCCTCTGGAGTCACCTATTGAAGGAAGGAAGGAAGGGAGGCAGGATCTTCGGTAGTACTTGTGGGAAGTACGAAGTGAGGTTAAATCGGGGTGGAGGTGTAAACCATGTCAATTTATCCGTGACAAGTGTTAGGAAGAGACTCGAGCGAGACGCGTAACATGACAAAGGCACGTGAGCCGTGTTATCGATAGTAATAAAACGTTCTAGTGCGATCGACGCTCCTTCACGATGACTGATAACTTAACGAAAGTTTTCGCAGCCGAGGACTTCAACCCGGAGAAATGTAAGTGATCGTTACTCGCACATACTTCGTTAATCGCTACGAGCAGTCGGACGATTTAATGACGGCTCACCGATCGCGCCGGGCGATTGCGTTTTGTTTCCAGCCGCGTTTATTACTCGATAGTCGGTAGTGTTGCATTACCTTCAGTCCGATCTATCGGCTCTGCTCTCACATTTCCACGATATTCTTCCCACTCGTAGTCGTGAAAGAGCTCAGCGCGCAATGTGTCGGTGCGGACGAGTTGAGGCAGCAACGCGCCAAAATACAGGAACTGGCGAACAATACGTCCGCTCAATTAAAGCGAAATGTCTACCAAAACTACATGCAGTTTATCGAGACTGCCAAGGAGATCTCGCATCTGGAGAGCGAGATGTATCAACTGTCTCAGCTGTTGAGCGAACAACGTGCCTTGCTGAGTACGCTGGGCTCCACCAGAACAGCTGGTGTTGTTTTCGAGGATCTCTCTGAATCGCAGCAAGAGAACTCGAACGATACTGTGTCCAAAGAAGAGGAACAGAAGCAGAAACTGATTCAACTGATCGAAAATGTGGAAGGCGCTCTGGTTGGTACAGTTACATTCGATACATAAAACACCTTATGTAGTAATGTCTTAACATTTACCAGGCCTAGTGGATATAGAACTTTTCGATCGCACACAATGAATCGTGACATTAGTGCATTGTGACTGCTGATTCTTCCGTGAACTCTGGCAGGGATGCTTCAAGGCAGCGGTGCACGAATATGTGGATTTATTGCGTGTGATCGAGAAATTCCATCGCCGCCAGACTCAGTAAATGTTACGGCTATCATGCTGCTTGTATCCATTTCTAACATCATGGTTTAAATCAACTGGCGATTGACTCAACAGAATTCACCAATCGCTGAACTGATCAACGCAACCGGTTGACTTAGTCCGTTGTTTACTTTTAAACTATGATGTAAATGGGTATTAATGTATCTTAATTGATAGGAATAGATTTATGCCTTTCCTCTTGCAGAGCTTAGCAGAGACTCCAGGACGTGCGTGCCTGCACGAAGGCTCCCTACTAGAGTTAGATCCGATAGAAGGAACGCCGCTGAAGAGGATCCACGCCTACTTATTCAACGATGTCCTAATGATCGCATCCTGGCTGGCGAACGGTGGCAGGCGTGGTCCGCCTAGGTATAAAATGCAGGCTGTTTATAATCTCGAGAGTTTGGCGATCGTCAACGTGAGAGATCACGGCACCGTGAAGCTGGCGTTCAAGCTCCTGGCGTTCTCCGACACGAGGGTGTTTCAATGCGCCACAGCGACAAGTAAAGTTAGTGCGTTCGAATGTGAAACACCGGCCACGGGACAGGAAATGTGGAGCGCGAAATCACCCGAGTCGATTTGTCCTTGCAGAAAGAGTGGTTGGATAAGTGCGAGCAGGCGAAGAGAGCGAAACTAGCCGGGGAGAATTCGAGTGGCGCCCCGGACGAAGGTAAGCGCGCGAAGGAGGAGAAAGTGCCGCCGTCTCGTTCGATGTCTTTGGATTCGAATACATTAGGTGAGGCTTACAGTTAATGGTGCTTTTGCTTTTTTAGCTTAACTGGTTGCGCTAGTTTAAGAAGTTTACATACACATTGAAGTATACGAAGCATATGTACAAGATTCTCATGGTTTTTTTAGTGTGCATAAATGTATTGAATTAGTGCGGCCAGTTCAGCTAAGAAAAGAAAACAGATCAAATGCAAAGACAGTTGTGTCAACAGCAAAATCATTTGTTTATTTTTTTTTTTTTCATCATAGAACCGTTTTTGTCATCGATCACAAGCAGAACAGTTTTTTTTAGTGTAAGACAGTCATTATACATTACTTAAGATAAAGACTTGAAGCATGAAACATAGCCTTGAACTGATAAATTATGGCCTTAACAAAATGACTGACTTATCGGTTTAAGGCAATGTTTTGTGCCTCAAGTCTTTACGTAACAATGGCTGTCTAAGAATCGGTCTAAGAATATGTCCAAATGAAATTTCTCAGAGCCTCCTTTCTTTTTTAAACGCGCTTCAAATTCTCAAGCATGCTCGGCTCGTAGAATTTTCTCATAATTACTTCCACCGATCGTTAGGCATGGACGACGACGACGACTCGGAGTATCACGAGCCGCCGCCGGAGTGGGTGCTGGAAGTAGCCGAGGATCTGGATTCCTGCATAGCGCAGCGTCACTTCGAGGAGGCTTACAGCTTGTTGGAGAAGGCGAAGACGTACCTGAAGGACGCCCAGTCAACGCCGTTGCTGACGGAGATCCAGACGAAGGTGAACGAGAGGGGTCGTTCGCTGGTCAACGTGCTGACGAAGGAGCTGGAGTCGAGTGCCGAAGCCAAGTCGTTGCAAGGCGGCGGCCTGAGAAGCGCGCGACGCGTGGTCAAGCTGCTGATACAGCTGAACAGGAGCGCACAGGGGTGCCACTTGTACTTGCGGCTGTGCAGCGCTGTGCTGAAGGCGCGCCTGAAGAGGATCAAGAGGGAAGGCACGACCGCGGCTTATGTGAAGCAACTCAGCGCGATCGCCTTCAGCAACATAGTGGAGATAGCCAGGGAATTCCTGAAAACCTTCCCCCAATCTACGAACTGCACGTCCGGTAGTAACTTAAGCTGACGGAGGACCCGTTCTGAGCTTTCTTTTATCGATCATAGTGAATGCGACTTCTCAATTGAACGGGGTAGTTTTTAAGCTTCTTTACTTTTTTTTTTTTTTTCCCCAATAAAAGAGAGTGCAGAACATGGACCGAGAAGTATGAGAGATATTGACGATGGGACAATAATTAAAATGTGTGATTTCGTTCGTTCAGGTTTAGTCGTGTGGTGTAGCCAGGAGGTGAAACACTTGACGTCGCACTTGGCCAAGCAACTCTTTATGCCGCAAGTTACGCTGAGCACGTTAGTGGAATGCATCGTCACCGTTCGAAGTCACTGCGATCAGGTACGTGTACTAGAAATTTGTACGCCTCAAAGAGAAGAGATGCACTTTAAACAGCTCGATCGCTTCTGGGGATACAGAATTCTCGGTGCTCCAGCTTTTATTCGCCCATTCAATATATTACTGTATTATCCAAATATCTGTTCTACGCGCGTGGAAATATAAATGCAATTGGATTATCGAGAAATTAAAATAGGATGAGTTTTAAATTTAAAAATTATAATTTTTCAAATTTATAAAATGATTTTTCGCATTTTCTTTCTCTCTCTTTCTCTCTCTCTCTCTCTCTCTCTCTGCCAGTTAACCCAGCTCGGCATGGATTTTCGTTACCAGTTGGATGGCCAACTCAGGTCCCCATTAGCCAAAGCCATCCAAGACGCGGGAGAGAACCGTGCCGGCACGGTGAAGCTCAACGTCTCGGAAGACACTTGGCGACCGACTAATCTGGAAACTAGTCAGAATCTCCAAAAGTTTTTGTCGGAACTTGAAGATCTCGGTATCGGTATACCGTCGTCGTCGTACTCGGCGAACGACTGTTGGATACCACTGACTCACAATACATTAAGCTTCTCCAAGATCTACGTCAGCCTATTGGAAGACTGCCTCAGCGTGGCTACGCCTGAGCTCATGTCCACGATAGATAACGTGCTCGTGTCCGTGATGCGGGTCGAAGTTCAACACTTGATTGTCTCGCTTACAGATCCGAAATTAAAGCAGGAGGTAACGAATATCATTACACTTGCTGTGCTATAAATAAATATATATATATATATATATGTATATATACATAGTTTTTTTTACTGCTTCTTCCAGCGAAAGTTAGTACAAAATAACGCAGCCTACGTGCGAGACGTTATCATCGCCCGGGGCCTGGAACTGTACAAATCCACGACAAATCAGAAATTTACGAAACTGCTCGCCCTGAAAGAGCAGATCGTGTTCGAGTCGCCGTCGCCGGCGAAACCGAGGCCCGCTCCGCGAACTTCAGTTCCTAAATATTCCACCACGGAGTACCTTTAACTGAAATAAGAGACGCTATGCCGCTATAAATTCAACGATAGAACCGTCGCAGGGACAAGTGCTTATATATGTGCGAAACAATGTATTATATTGTACATATGTGACAGAGTCGCTTTGGTGTAGCAAATACACAATACGCATTGAGATGGAGCGAAAGCGATCCGTCTCACGTCTAATGCAGGTACCACATTAGTCGTAAACATCGTAGGACACTTTTTCTAGGATGTATCTTTGTAGAATACTTGGAACGAACAAATGCGGCGTTGCCCTAACAGTGCGAATAATACAGTCTGTAATAATGTTGTAATATACCTAATAGATATTTACAATGAATTGCATATAGGTAATTCATGTGTATGCCTATGAGATTATTTATACAATAGCACTATTTTGTACTGTTGTCGCTGGAACTGCTCGTTTGGTTATTTTCTTCCAGTTTCCTCCTCTTGGCACGTATGTCGGCAAGGGTTTGTTCTATACTCCTCTGATCCTTTTTATTTTCGCTAGGAACTAGAAGGAAATTCTCGTGTCACGATGTGTCTCATGGTCGGAAGATGAAACGAGTTACTTCGCAATACAGAATATGTCATTGGCGCTGATATAACGCGTTGGGAATGTCGAAGAGCGATCTTCAGATGAGTGAATTTGTATTTGCGTTTGTACACGTCTACACTTACCACATCCGTAACTGCTGTTGTTGGCTTCTGTTTTTCTGGCAGCTTCCAAAGCAGCTTCCTTGCCGATCAAGTGTTGATACTTGTCTTTGTAGTAACTATTTGGAACAAATTTTTCTTTGTTTTTCCTAGACTTGGCATACTCAGCCGCTTCCTTGGCTTTCATCCTCCTTTCCTCCTTCAACTTCTTGGCAACTTCTTCATTCCATTCTTCGCCTCTGCGTAATATATATAATTGATCTTCAGAAGGAGCGTGTTCCCTCTTGAAGATCATGACATATCGGTCAATGTCTTCCTCACCAAAGGTATACGCCAAAACATTGGCTACTTCTGCTACGTCATAGCTAAAGTCGAAGACAAAAAGTCACGTTTATCACACAGAATGTTTCACGAACACACACACATATATAACTTCTAGTTTCACAAAGATATCTGCACTTACATAATACTTCTGTGTATTTTGCCCATAGCAACAAATTTGTGTTCTTTTGCATTATCATCCTGTAGGAACTTATTAATTTTCTCTTCTACCTATATATGAAAAACAATATCGCGTTACATGAAGCTGACAAGCGGTGCGGAAATATTAAAATGGAACTGTAAAAATTGAACCTGCTGCCGGAAAATCTTCAATCTTTCCGCCTCGGCTTTCTTCCGCTTTTCATACTCCTCCTTTTGTTCTGCATAATAGAAATGAACTCAAATGAACCTACATCTTGATTGCCTTGCGACAAAGCCGCTCGTCCATTTATTTACTAAACCGTACATTGATATATAAGGTTAAGATACTATCAAAATTGTTCAACTAACTTTTCATAAGCGCTTTTTGTTTGTCGCTTATTATCGGTGGTCTATCCATCGAGTTCAGAATAGATCCCAATAAATCCATGACTTTATTTGTTTCAGTTCCGTCGATACTACGAGAAAACAATCAAAGCAATCGCGAAAGTTGCGATCTTTTCGTAACGTTTATGAACTCTCTCTCTCTTTCACACACACACACACACGCATTACTGATTTCAGGTGGCTCCAGAGGATGTTTATGAAGTCTCAGGTGTAATTCACTTCACTCAACTGCGTTCTCTTTGGGCTCTCACGCGCTGTAAGCGTCATTCTATCTTTATTGTTTATTATGTGCCCAAAGAGAACGCAGCCTCAGTTCTGATTACAGGCAGCCAACCGGCGTGCCCCAACGCCACTAAGCAGGAACGTAGGAAATAACAAATATTGCTTGATGGCCTTGAGAAACTAGAAGATACATCATGGACCTAAGCCCGTATCAGACTATGGATTGGAGTTTGAAATTTGACCAATCAGTGTAAAGTTCGCTAAATGTTACTAAACGTGATTTCAGTTAATTTTATACTGATTGGCCAAATTAAATCTCAATCTCAAACCCTAATCTTCCACAGTGTGATACGGGCTTTAAATCCTTGGGGTTAACACAATGCACCCCCTCTCATGACTCCCGCAGTTCAGCAGGATGTGCGACGCGCGCGCGATATCCAATGAGCGTACTGCTTTCCCGGAAGAGCTACACGCTCATTGGATATCGTTCAGCGCGTGTCGTGTCGCGCTGGTCAAACAGCACCAACGACACATTTGATTGGCTATCGCAATCGACTAGCAACCAAGCAGATGTAAATTGGAGATTAGAATTCGAATTTCGATCTCGGCTCGCTTTTTGACCGATTGCTGGAGTTTCAATCTTCAATCGCAATCTTCAGTCTCCGATACGTGTTCGACACTCCTCATCTTATCATTCGCTACTTTCATCAATTCAACGAACAAACGTCACTCGTCTAAACGAGTGCAAGGAAGTGCATAGGAGAGGAGAGCTCTGCATTACCAACTTGACGACTCGAAATCCACGTCACCAATGAGATAAGAATAAAGACCACCAGCCCTGAACAAATCTCAGCCTATGAAATATGGGCACAGTGGGCTCGAGGGGGTAATTGAAGACGATGACTATTTTCAACCACCTCAGGCAAATATCTCCGCATTTGTCGTACAACGCGCTATTTATTTTACAATCTTCAACTGTCGCAACATTTTCTAAGCACTTAAGCGGACTTGCAATAAAGTATATTATATACTTACCATCATACCTATTCTGATTTATGGACGTAAGATTTACCGACTGGTCACAGAGAATACTTCGTGCGCCGCGAAATCCCGCAAAAATTGCCGATCCTCGTTTCCTCGCCTCGTTGTACATATCCACGTGAAATATAACGTCCGTGACATTTCCCGTCTCGCGGATATCATTGATTTCGCAGGGACGTCGGATCCAAAGGTCGTCGTCGTCGCACACACCGGCCAGATACCCAACGCGATTTCGCCGTCGTCTCCGGGAGGGCTCGAATCTCGCGCGGCTCGCGAACAGTCGATGTTTTGATCTCTGTAGTTCCGGTGGTGAGTGCGGCAGCAGCGAGGCAGCAGCAGCAGCAGCAGTATCAGCAGCAGCAGACCACGGGGGACGCACGCGGAGTAGCGGATACGCGCGTGTACGCGAAGTGTACGCGGTGTGCGACAAATAACTATTTTTTTAAACCCGTCCCGAACTCGGTCGTCGCCCCCCCCTCCCCGCCACCCCCCCCGGTGTCCGGATCGGCGTGCGTCGCGACCTGTCCCGTGCTGGCGTGTGTGCTCCTTACCGAGGAATACATTAATTAATTAACCCAGGCCGCGGCCGGCTGTCGTGGTGTGCCGAAACACAAACCCGATTATAATATGGCGAACAGCATAGCACCGGACTCGTGGGAACAGCAGGCGGACAACAACGGCGACATCGTCGCGGGACCGCCGTCGGCGGCGCAGGACAGCAAGTCCTCCACCTCCATCGAGAGCAAATTCTCGACTCTGAACGTGAACGCCGCGGAATTCGTGCCTTCCTTCTGCATCAATTCGTCGCCGCAGAACAACACCGCGACGGCGACCGACAGCACCTGCAATGTCGCCGCCGCCGTGATGAATACCGTAACCACCACCTCCATGCCTGCCGAGATACATCATGGTTAGCCTGTCAGCTGAATTCCTACTCTTTTTTTTTCTCCTCTTTTTCTTCACCCGCACACAGCGCCCGCGAGGCCGACATTGCCGCGCTCACCACGTTGTTGTCGTCCGCCTCCCGCGACTAACCCCTCTATCGACGGTGTCATCCCTGTCCCCCCTTCGGATCGCCCTCTCAGATCCTCGCAGTCTCCCCGTGGCCGCTAATTTTGCCGAGTGTCCTCACTCGATAACACGTCCAGCCGTCGTATCTGAATGCCATATGGTTTGACTCGTGTATCGTAACGTTCCTCGTTGGGAGTTCCCGTTCAACTCCAACTCGCCTGTCCTGTCGACGCTAGCTATTGTCTAAATAGTTTCCTCACCGTGTGCGAGTAGGCACGGCTTTATTTTCACTGGAATCGCGCCGAACGGAAAACTGGATAATTTACCGAGGAGGAACGCACATATGACAGGGTCTCGTTGCTGACGTATCGTGAATGTATTGTATCGCAAACTTTGGATATCAGCGGGCTGATTTTGTCATAAAATGATCGAGTGTAACCGTGAGAAAATATGGTGCTCGATACTACTTGGTGGTGGTCTTTATCTTTCTCTAAATTAAGTGGGACATGTCGCGAGATGGTGAACATATGCTTTCTTCCTTTCACATTCGCAGGAAATTCCACTCCCGTTGTTCTATCGGATCCAATTGGCAGTCGAGTTGAGGAACCGCCTGCTGGAGGAGGGGCACCACCTCCGAATGTTAACGACCAACTAAATACCAGTCCAGAACATCAGCCCGCAGATTCCTGGGAAGAGGCAGCAGTAGATGGCGATCCTTTGCTCACTCCTGAAAATGAAGAAGTAAGTGTAGCCATCCTTAGCGTGATTACAGCTTTAAGGTCAACCAGTGTGGCGCATATTTGTGTCGTATGATAATGTATTATCTGATCTCCAAATGGGAGAATTTTCTGATAAGATTCCTTCAGTATCACGCATTCTTTTGCAGAGGCACTCACTTATTTCGTCTTTTAAAATATGCGTAGAATTTCTGTCGACAACAATTTATAGTTAATATGTCAATCACATTAATCACTGTAATTAATTACAGCTTTCACTTTGCACCTGATATTATTTTCAGGCCGATAATGAGGAGGACGAAGAACTGGTTGTTAAAGTACCTAAAAAGAAGCCCGTCAAAGTGGCGGAAGATACAAAAAGCAAAAAGGAACATGTTAACGTTGTTTTCATAGGCCACGTGGGTAAGTAATATATTTGCACAGGGAGAATGTTAGTTTATCTTTATAATAAGATAGCGAAACGCATTTTACAAAAATACTACAGTATTATTAGTCATGTCTACTATTACTCGGATTGTAACTATGATTGCAACATAAAATGCAATCTATCATTTAATATCATTTAACCCATGCTGTTTACACGGATACGTATTTATTGCATTCGATTGTCAGGTAATATTGCGTATTGCGGTGATTATAGACGCTGGGAAATCAACTATCGGTGGGCAAATAATGGCGCTCACGGGGATGGTCGACAAACGCACCTTAGAGAAATACGAACGGGAGGCGAAGGAGAGAAGTCGAGAAACATGGTACTTAAGTTGGGCGCTGGATACGAATCAAGAGGAAAGAGAGAAGGGTAAAACGGTGGAAGTGGGTAGAGCGTACTTCGAGACGGAACGGAAGCATTTTACGATATTAGACGCACCCGGCCATAAAAGCTTCGTGCCGAACATGATCGGCGGCGCGGCGCAGGCCGATCTAGCAGTCCTGGTTATTTCTGCAAGAAAAGGCGAATTCGAGACCGGCTTTGACAGAGGGGGTCAAACGAGAGAACACGCTATGCTTGCGAAAACTGCAGGTGTCAAGCATCTGGTCGTGTTAGTGAATAAGATGGATGACCCTACTGTCGAGTGGGACGAAGGACGGTACAATGAATGCAGGTATGCACAAAACGCCACGTAATGAACACGGCCCAGTTCCTCTCTTTGTCTCAGTTCTCTGCATTTCTCTGCGAATCTTCGCTTTCCGTCTCCTCAAAATGTCCAAATATAAAGATGGACTCGGATAAATGAGAAAGTAGGACGAATGTATGAGAGCAAATGATTCGAACAAACTGTTGGTAAATTCTTGACATTTCAAGTATTAGTTAGAAACTGTTTTCCGCTCCTTTGCATCCACTGCTTTACCTTTTACCTATTAACATCCCTTATTTCGGACATCGGGATCAGTTTGCCCGGTTTGTTTTGCGTCGTTTTGAACGCGGAAAAATGTAACGTAGTATAGTTAGGATGTGTAGACGTTTTTATCGATTCCTATGAATGTGTTATATATATGTGTTAATAACGTTACCATATCTTTAGGGATAAGATACTGCCATATCTTCGTAAATTAGGATTCAATCCTGCGAAAGATCTTACGTTCATGCCGGTCTCTGGTCAGCTCGGTATTGGCCTAAAGGATCCGATACCTGAGCATCTTTGTAACTGGTACAGTGGCCCGCCATTTATACCGTTTATCGATTCGCTACCTTCACTCAATCGTAAGAGCAACGGACCCTTCATCATGCCGATTGTTGACAAATACAAAGACATGGGGACAGTGGTAATGGGCAAGGTCGAAGCGGGAGAAGCCAAAAAAGGACAGTCGTTGCTCGTCATGCCGAACAGGGTATGCGTGCTATTTCTTACGGTCTCTGTCGAACTATTCATCCCACATTCTACATCCAAACTAGACAACGGCCAGAAGCTTTTATTATTTCATAAAAGCTTCTATGTACTTCACCGGGGACGTTGACGCGTAAAGTTAGGTACACACTGAGCGAACGAACAGCGAATGCGCAATACGAATGCATATATTCGCGTCTATGACCTTTTTTTGCTTTTTCAACTATCTTATGAGCAAACCGACCTAATTCCGTTAGGATTTGTTAAGGCGTTTACGCATTTTCCAAATTGTAACGACGAAAGTTCGTCGTGCGTTTTTCGTTCGTACGCTCCGTGTGTGCACCCAGGCTTGAAGTGTCGCAAATTTGGCGCGAATTGTTTTTCATCTGCGGATAAATAAATATCACATAGAGTGTGCGTTGGAAAAACAACGGCTATGTAAACATTGAGCGATTATCACCTTCGTGAAGTTGAGGTATTTATTTCAATCCAATGTAAATCTAAAGATAATATTTCAGTAGCACAGTGGAACACGCTCACTCAACCGTTGTGTTTTCTAAACGCAAACCACAAGTGCCTTTTTTTTTGGACAAACTTATATTTGGTAGAGATAAAAAAAAGAGAGAGTAACACACGTTTATATACGAAAATATGTCTCGTGAATCCGTAGACGGCAGTGACGGTAGACCAGCTATGGTCGGATGACGAGGAAGTAACGTCAGTCGGACCCGGCGAAAACGTGAAGATCAAGCTGAAGGGCATCGAAGAGGAAGACGTGAGCCCCGGCTTTGTCCTTTGTGACAGTAACAATCCCATTAAAACTGGAAAAGTTTTTGACGCGCAAGTTGTGATACTGGAGCATAAAAGTATTATTTGCGCGGGATACAGCGCGGTAATGCATATTCATTGCGCCGCTGAGGAAGTCACGGTGAAGGCGCTGATTTGTCTGGTGGACAAGAAAACGGGCGATAAAAGTAAAACGAGGCCGAGGTTCGTCAAACAGGATCAGGTGGCTATAATGAGAATCGAATGCGCGGGTGTAATATGTCTCGAAAGATTCAAGTTGTTCCCGCAAATGGGCCGTTTCACTCTTAGGGATGAAAGTAAGCACGGTCATATTTTTCTTCTATTTTCTCCCTATCGCTCTCTTTCCCTTTCCTTCTCTCACTCTTGTTTGCGTGTTACGATACATCCATATGTATATCATTTCAGATAAGACTATCGCAATTGGCAAGGTGCTGAAGGTCGTGGAGTAAGGATCTTGCTTAAGTGTTACGACGGATCGATAATGAAAAAAAAGAAAAAAGAAATAAAAAAAGAATGATCATTATTTCAATGTGACGAATAAATGACGATGCAAGGCGAGCACACGATTATTAAGCAAACCAAATGGGCATGATAAAATTCCGGCAAATTAGTGATGTAACACACACACACACACACACACACAACTCACCTACGCAGAGCTATACATACAATACGCGCACCGCGCGCGACACAAGGGGGCTGGGAAGGGTGGGGGGAGGGGGGAAAGAAAAATATTTATAGCGCCTGATATAAAAGCAAATAGATTCGATTATATAGGTAAGGAGACATACACGAATCGAAACTCAAGAGCGTGTGTTCCTTTTACTAGATAAGCTGGATGATGGCACTTGCATTGGAATAATTATAAATGGATAATGATCAAATATTAACCGTGTCTCCTTGATAATAATAATAAAAAAAAAACACAAATATTTTTATTCTTCTGAGGTGCGATACATAAGTGGAAGTACAGTAGGAGATTGATATCGATCGCGAATTAAACATTAAAGAAAATATGAGTAATATTATTATATAATTATTATTAAATATAATTATTATTAAAGTGGTGGTAAGAGTTGGAAAAGAAATTTATTGAATAAATCAACAAGATAGTGTTATACACACACTTTATAATTATAAAATTAATATTACGATTATTATTATACTGTTTCTTATTATATTGTCATTAAAAACAAATTTGCAAAAAAAAAATATGTGCCCTAATAATTTTTAATAGAATTGCGGATGTACACCGTCAACATTTTCACAATATGACGGATTCCGTACATTCAGATTTATTATTCGAGCCAGTTGAACATAAATGAAGTATAGCACATGAGATTATAAATATGCACGAATAAGTGGTGATACATTCGCTTGTATTTTTGTATATTTCTATATGTAAATAATAATATATTTTCATTATCTATACGTCGAAGCCGGGTGTGTCGATGTGCTATACGTGTTTTTAGCTTTTCGTTATAGTGGCCGTTAAAATGTTGGAAGATAGAATGAAGTATAAGCACGTATGCGAAGAAGCAAAGTCAGACATTGAAGTTTCTCGCGAGACAAGTGCGTCTCGCGTTTGAAAGAAAACGCTCCTTTGTCACTTGAAAACCATTCTCTTAATCAGTATATAAATTATCGATATCGGTTTCATGCCGGACAACCGAATGAGAGCAGGCTTACAGCTCAGATGCGTGTTATTCCGTGAAAACTGCGTCGCTCTATTCCTAGGGATATATTTCTCGTGAATATATCTTTAAGAGCCTGTACAAGTTTCACCAAGTGTCATTGTGGATCCGGGGCCAGCTTCGCATACCCAAGTTTCTGGAGTACCTCCTTAATTTCGCGAAATACTGTTGGATCTTCGATCGTGCTTGGAATCTGAAAATCATTACGGAGACGCGGACGTTTATTAGTGGCAGGATAACACCGAAGGAAAGAATAAATGCGAGTTAAGGTAAGTCTTCGTCTGTTATTCCACTGTAGTCCAGAAGACTTGTATTATATTGTTGTTTACTACCTTGACTTGTTTCGACCGTGCCAACAAAGCGATAGATTTGCGGATTATCTTGCCGGAACGCGTTCTGGGTAACATGGTGATCGCAGCGGCGACTCGAAAAGACGCGATTGGCCCCATCATGTGTCTCACCTGCGCCACCAGTTCCTGATTTATCTGTTCTTCTTTGCTCGTCGCATCTGCAGAATATTTCGATGTAACATTTTCAATGGTGTATGAACGGCATCGCTCGAGAGGTCTCCTTATTTATCATGACCTTCAATTATCGTCATTACAAATCCCGATAATTAATTCGAGCCAAGCTTCAAGTTCAGATTCTATTACAGTAAAAGTATACTTGAAATTAACCGAAAAATATATGTGATTTTATTTGTGTACTCCTTTGTAAAACTCAATTCCCGAAAACCCCTCCTTTAATGCAAAGTCACAGACACATTTTTAAAGACACAGTACATCCTCGTAAATATTGATAAAATCATGACAGCTGTTATATAAAAGGTATTTATGTTGAGTCGCGAGTAACTTTTTTGTTGCATTTTTAAATATATATTTTAAATGTATTCTCAATATATTCTCGTATCGAACGATTAACAACGGAGTCTAATTGCACAAATAAATGTGTCGTCGTTAATAATAATGTATACTCGTAATTGTGCATAATATGCTCGCCAATAACTAGCTTATCGGCTCTCTTCGTGAAAAAGAAATCTACTCAGAAACAATTAATTTGTTAGAACTCTTTTCGTCGGAAGTTAATTGTGACTTCACACTGTCGTTGATTCACTTATTTCACGAGAAATAAATGGAATATATATTAGGTGATGTATTAACGAACCGTGACGTTTGACGTAAAGGCAGAGCGGCACTTCTCCCTTCGTGTGATCCGGCACGCCGACCACTGCGGCATCCACCACGTCAGCATGTGCTAGAATAATATCTTCCAACGCGGCTGTGGATATTCTATGACCGGCTACATTTATAATGTCGTCGTCTCTAGCCGTCACGTAAACATGGCCCAACTCGTCGATGTAACCCGCGTCCATAGTGTCGTAGTAACCCTGAGAGTTTATCGCGTGTAAGAATTGCAAAATTAACGTAGAGCGAATAAGCGGTAAGAAATTTTGCGTTAAAAACGGATCGCTGAAATGTTTGTGTTAAACAGGATGAATATATTAAGAAGTAATATGTCAAAAAGATGAATATATTGATTTAACATATATTTGTGTATTTTTCATGTTAAAATAATATAAAAATTTCAGTGGGCCGCTTTTAGTCACTAATAAAGTATTTGTATTTTTCGAAGATATTCAAAATGATAATAGTTCTTGTTTCACTTTATATCGAAAATAAATGATTTTTCCCGTCAACTCTTCAGGAGTCTCTCTTTCGGAGTCGCTACCGAGAATCTCAATGTTCCAGTATACGATTGCATTTTGCTTTAATTTGAATCCAATTTGAAGCCCTGAGTAAGAAAAAAAATGGTAGAAAATATGACGAAAAGAGTTCGTCTGTTTTTACGATGAGGCAAAATTAACCTGAAAACGTGTTAAGAAATTCGCAGTTGGCAGGCAATGCGCTTTCTCGACCAAGTTATCAGCATGATAATACGTCTCGTGTTAAGTTACTTACCGGAAACCTCGTGAAGTAAACTTCCTTGAATCTCTCGGGTGACCGGTATAAGGTTGACATACACCCAGGCGGCAACGGTAACTTTATCGCGATTTGCCCGAGTTCGCGTTGCGGCGCTATGCTTCCATCTTCTCGCAAGATATGGACTGTGAGTGGAATATGTGATTTATATGTAAATATGACGGACTTTTATGCATAAAAATTAATGGAGTTAATTAATGTAATTTAACAGAGACGGCCGGACGGGCAGTCGTGAAAAAATGCCCGAAGGGCGAGACAATTGATAACTTACTGTTATATCCGGGTATAGGAAGTCCGGTGCTGAATTTTGGCAAATTGGGATGATGACCGTATCCCAGGCACAGCGCCGTAATGGGATGTCCAGTTTCCGACTGCCACCAATTGTTTAAAATCGGCACTTTAAAGGTTTTCTCGGCCCAAGCCTTCGTCTCGTAGTCGCAAAACTCGCCGGCGACGAATATCGTTTTTAAGCTGGAAACGGGAGAAAAATTGCTCGTGAAAATCTCTTCTTGGCTCCACGAGGGAAATTACCCTCAGAGTGGCTCGGGAATGTTATGTGAGAGTCTCATGAGCCCTTTCCTTGTGAGCTTTCTCTAGTGAAAAAAAAATGTATAACAAGACGTGTCCTTAGGATGAACCACTTAGAGAATTAGAGATCTGATTTACACCGATCGTTTATGATACGCGTAAGAAGTACTATATTTGTATTAAATTAACTTGGTTCTAATATGTGTAAACGATGGCGTATCAAGCTGGTAGGATACGTTTGAAGAAGACTTATTGTGCCAGTTTAGTGGGTATCAAGCATATTTGGACGGTGTAAACTGTAGCATATCGTAATAATTGATTACCACTTAATAGCAAAATAATTGAAATCTCAATCGATTAATGCCCAACACTATGGTCGATGATAAAAAGGTTGTGACTCATTTTTTTTCGATGATAGGAAAACATATTTCTTGAAAAGCAAATTTTCCTACTGGATACAGGATGTGTTCCGAAACTTATCAAATAAGATGTTGCAAGTTTTTTGGCAATTGACCATTCACGATTTGAAGTCGTTGCTGCAACGTGAAGCTCGCGCATGACTCATTTCATTTCTCCGACATCGATGCGCGCGCTACTCAATATATTTCCATATATATTCTACTGGAGGTAACTTCTTTTTCCGAAAGAGATAAAACGACAAGCGCATCGCGATGCATATCACGATGTGTATCTCGCAACATGTGATTCCGCGCCGCGCGTAATTTATGATATTCATTGCAATGTAATAAGATCACCGCTTTCATGACGGCTACCTTTAAATTATTAATTCTCTCTTTCCCTTCTGGTTTCTCGTTTCACATTTTCTACAACATCATGAAGCACTGCTAGTAAAATCGTGCGCTTCATTTTCGAGAAAAAGCTGACTCGAAAACTAGACGCGAACAACATATGAAAATCGTTTGTAATTCGAGGTAACCGAGTTAATAGATCGATTAGGAACTTACGATTTTAACGAATATTTTCTCCCCACTAGAATTTCCGGATCCGCTCGTTTTATAACTCGCAGCGCAGTCGGCACGCAGAATAACGCGTTTACGTTGTGCTGCTCGATGATTCTACACAGTAAAAAGTGTGTATGTTAAATCCAATATTTTTCACATGTTCCAAAAGGTCCACTCAAATTTTTTTAACACAAAGCAAATAATATTAAGTAGTGAAGTAACGCAAATTATATGTCAAAAATTCACGGATACACTCACGAATAAATTATGTTATTTCAACACAACAGAATGTTGAATTCAATTCTACGCATCTTTAAATGACACAACCGCGATATGTTAAATCAGCACACGGCTATGTTGAGAACTCAACAACAAAACCTTTTACACGGACCGATTTCAACAGAGGTACAAAATGTTTTTTTACTGGTTGAAAGGGAGAAAACCGCGAAAACGAGAAGAAGTTATCGGTACGAAATTTAAGTGGCTGCTATTGTACGGAAATGAAGCAGCCACCCGTCAAAGAGGATTCGAGAGAATAACACTTTGGTTTTTCGCACAGAACGACTCTCCAACCTGAAATATTGACCTGCGTCCGGTGTCCTGTCGGGTTTTCCTTCGTACATTACGCTCGTTGCGCCGTACAGAAGGGGACCATAACAAATGTACGAATGCCCGACGACCCATCCCATGTCGGACGCTACCCACCATACGGAATTTTTATTCATTCCGTAAACTGTATTCATGGTCCAGCAAAGCGTCGCCAAGTGTCCGCCGATCGGCCTGATGATCCCCTTTGGGTTTCCTGACATGAAACGTTGTTTTTGTATTTTTTGTATTTTTGTTTTATTTAGAACAGATGTGTTTGGGAAAGATCTCGCAAAAAATAATCATATATCTCATTATTACTAAGAACAGTAGATTGACCGATAAGTAAAGTTCTTTATTCTTTGTACCAGTGGCATTTATTGAGTCGGGGAAGGTTTACCTGTGGTTCCCGATGTATATAGTATATACAATGGATCGTTAGCCTCGACCATTACGCATGGATGAGGTTTTGACCTTTTCATGAGTTCGTCCCAATCGAATTGCGACTCCAACAACGGTGATTCCCAAACATTTCTTCTTTGAAATATAATACACTTTGGCTTCGTTGCAGTGATCATATCCAAGGCACCGTTCAGCATAGAAGTGTATCTGTGTTCCGAGATAAACAAGTTAAAAGAAAAAAAAAGATTTATCGGTTTATTTATTGGAAATTGCGGATTCGCCTTGAAAGTTAAAAAATATCAATGTTTAATGTAGTTCTAGTAAATGTGTTCAATTGTGAATATCGTTAAGGAATTCTCTTCCTTCTTTTATATTTCTAAGATGACATTTACATTGAGAAATCGCACGTAATACTTCGTGTGACGTTTAAATGCGTGCGTACCCGCTTTCTCATAAAATTATAGAAATAATAAAAATGTTCGCCACATTATTATTAAATACGACAAACAGCAATTACGAGAGACTTGTTGATCTCAACGTTATATAAAAGTTAACGCGATTTCTCATGTCCGTTGAATGTTTTTGCATTTCGTCCGTATTCGTTCAGACTCGCATACGAATCGAGCTTACGTATAAAAGAATGCATAAGTAAGCGCAGCGCCGCATTGAATTAAGTATGTCTTACGTATTACGTACTGACGGAGGCTCTTGAGTGCTATAATATATTGTAACAAAGGCAACATTTGTATTGACTGCGGCAATACTTATTAAAGAACAATGAGACGTACTTAATCACTTTAGACGGTTCCAAACCGCAACTTGCGGCGATAATAACCTTTGGCTCGGCATGGTCTATCCTAGACGCCAATTCCTTCGCTGCGAAACCTGAAATACGCAAATACAATGATATCAAATCGACCCAGCTATTGATCGAAACACTGTGTTCCCGCAAAACATCTAAAAATCGTTGCATCAATAGAATTGGTCAACAGCGCTGAAATCAGCGCAATCAACAGCGTTTAACCTCCCGGAAATAATTGTATATTTATATATATATGTGGACATATTCTATACATAATTACATATAAGAAATTTCCTCTACCGGGTTTTTCGATTCAATAGCAATATTATTGAAATTAATCCATCATACATCGTTTTGATAACTTCTGTATTATTAGTTTTAATAGTATTATTATTTTCCTCTATAATAAAAAGTAAAGTTCAAAATTCGAAGAGTTCCTTCATCCTAATTAAACACGTTGACTACAACACTGAATTCACACATGAGCCCAATTAGGCCTAAATTCTCGATGTGTTATAATAACGATATTTGATCGCTTTTTATTTGATATTTTTCTAAATAAAGTCGCTCCTAATCAAATACGTTGAGATCACGTTGAGAAAAAATGTTTTTAATTTTAGTAAATGCATTTATTAAAATATATTTTAATAAATAATATTTTAAATATAAATCTTCATTACTAAATATAAGTCTTCTTTACTTAATTATATTAAACCGAAGTATAAAATTTCGAATATAAATTTTGTTTTAATGTTTAATTTAATTTTAGCATACTATATTTTAATTAATATTTATTGAAATTTAGTAAATATATTTATTTAATTCTAAATTTGAAGATTTTAATGTTAAAAAAGACGTTTTAGTAAATATTTGTTTAAATTCATGTTTTTAAACTATCGAAAATAAGAAATAGTATACTTGAAAATAGTAAATATTTTTCAATATAATTTATTGCATTTCGAGGAACATATATTGGAAAGCGCTGCTCTATTTTTCTCCTTAATATTTTTAATAATATTTAAAGCGTTTTACTGATTTATGTATTAATATTATTTCTATTATAAATTATAAGTGAAAGCCCCGGTAGAATTTGAGAACATATATGGACAATAAGAAATATATTAGTTAATTAAGGCGAAATAGCTANGTAAGTTCGAATCCGGCCAGTGATAAGCAAATCTTTTAAATAGAACATAAATGGAATCGACTAATGACATGATTAAGAAAATTTCAGAAAAAAATCGTCGACGTCTGAAAACAACACAATAAAAAAGACACAATAAATATAGAAACTAATTAAAAGAAAATACAAGATTTAATACGTAATAGTAAATAATTTTTTTCATAATTTTTTCATTTCAATCAATTTTTTTCATAATTTAATAAAAATTATTGTATTGTAGAAAATATTTTTTTATGTTTAGTAAATAATTGAATTTAATAGAAGAATTATTTTCATTAAACAAGTAAATAAAGTGCTTATATTATAAAGTACGCTCACAGTTGTATACAAACGAGCAGTTTACATTAAAATTGAAACTAATTTTCTCTTCATCAGTACATTTTTTCTCAGCATAAGTAAAACCATCACTCACACATAAATAATGGGACTCAGCGGAAACTTAAGTATCACCTAAATCTATGTTTAATATGGATTACGTGGCACATAATTTAACGTAATTAAATCAAAATAATCAATCATCGGTAATCAAAACAACCCGGATAATCAATATAATTAAAAATCGTTCTCGTAATTACTATCGTCGTATTGTCATTACCTCCAAAAACCACCGAGTGGATTGCCCCTAATCTAACAGTGGCTAAAATCGCGATTATCGTCTCGGGGATCAGCGGCATATATATGATCACCCTGTCCCCCTTGCGCACTCCCAATTCCGCTAACGCGCCCGCCAACAAGGACGTCTTCTCGAAGAGCTCGTTGTACGTTACTTTGCGAATTGACGATGTTTGCGGGCTATCATGTATGAGAGCTGTCTTCTTTCCGTAGCCGGCGTATACGTGGCGATCTACTGCATTGTAACAAGCGTTCAATTCTCCACCGACAAACCTGCGTGGAGAAAGAAAAAGATAGCAAATAAGAAAACGCACCTCCTCTACGAGAGATGTTCTGAGTGAAAAATATTAAGGAGGAAGATGGAGCAGCGCTGTCAAGTATATGCCGCCCTTTTGTCCTCTGTAATCGCGAGGATTCTCCATTTTTATGTAATACTTTTTTATGTAAAATAGATTTTTAATTTATTTATGTGAGCACAAAATGAAAAATTGACGCTGTCAATCCCTTACAGAAAAATATTATAGGCTATGATAAATATCGGCCAGATATCGGTAACAACGATGCTTGACGTACCACTTTGTGAATGGCTCATTAGAATTATCCAGCACCTTATGCCAAGGCTTGCTCCAGTCGAGATACCGGCCGATCTCACTCCAAAACTCTTCCGGGGATTCCAGCGATTTATTGTACGCCTCCTCGTAGGCAGGGCATCCGTTTCGATGAGGGATCATAATGTAATCTGCAAGGAGATAATAAGAACAACAATTATTCCTTATCGTGTATAAAGGCACTACCAAAGAGCTTTGGTAAAACATGTAATTTACGGTATAATATCAGAAGTTACCTTCGGGCGATATGTATGTAAAGCGAACATGTAGAAACATTGTAGAATATGGAGAAATTATGTGAAAAGCAGTATTTACTTTTCATACAGGGTGTTTCGATAAACAACACCTCCAAATTTCAGTTGAGATACATTTTTTAACAGAACGTGCATCTTGGACGATGGATCGTAGTGGTTCTCAGTTACGTACCGAGATACGTTCTGTTAGAACATTGTTTTACATCTCGATTGAAACATGAAAGTTTTTCGCCGTGCATAAACCACACACTCTTAAGTCGTGTGGAATATCATTCAATAGCATTAAAACCAGTGCCTGTTATGATGAAACAAAAATTCCTCTTTACACGGATTTAACTCGTCAACTGAGTGTTTCAAGCAGTGTTTGTACGTGCTTTTTATTTGCAAATATTTACAGTTTTATCCTGGACGGTTACATATTGCTGGCCCATCTTTTTTAAAACACTTTGTATATAACTGTCCAGCGAGTGCATATATTTAATAAGTCATACGAGCTCTATGTGTGTATCGCGCTAAGCTATTTTTATATTACGCGCTATTTTTATATTACGTGCAAAAATTAAAGCATCACATTAGATTCAAGTTTGAAAAAAATTTTGCAGCTTGAAATTTGAACTTCTTATAGCCCTCGCTGTCCTAAAATAAATAAAGGCACAGATCAAGATTCACAAAATCTTGAAAGTTTGGTCTGAAATAAAAAGTCATATACGAATTCTGTTTGAAAGAATGAAACTTCGTCCTTAATTTGTTGACTGTCGTGCGAATTTTTTTTCTCACCGAATTATTTAATGTTAAGGCAAAAAGCATTTTCTCGATTTTGACTGATCACAGAAGACGAAAGGCTCAATACTGGATATTCGTTAAAGAAACAAATATAAAGCTCCAAATTTCCTCTTTAAAATGCGTTTCTTTCACAATCATTTCTTGACACAAGCAAACTTTTCATGTACAAACCGAAGTAAAATATAAAGTTAAAAATTGAAGGATTGATGCGTTTTCATTCAATTGGATATATTGCGACCAAAAAGGGTTAAGAGGAACTTGTGGTATATTAATTCAGATATAAAGTTTAGGATCTACTGATTTCAACGAACCCAAAGTCAAGTGGCTGCGATGTTATTTCACATATATTCTTTGCGTTCGAAACAATTGAGAAAGTTGGCACATGCTTTATGTGATTGCAACCGCAGAATCGCCGCACTGACTTATGAGGAATGTAGGACGAGAAGAGGGGCCGCGCGGTACAGAGTTCGTAAAAAAGTTATTTTACATATGTCCCTCATGTTTAAAAACAATATATTTATGGAAATTATGTTCGTTCTATCGTAACAAAATCGCCGCACTGGCTTATGGATGCGAAATGCTTATGGATGAGAAATAAAAAAATAAGTTTTTGTGCAATATGAGGCTCACAAGTGAGAGATGCCCGACGGTACTATCTTAAGAGTTTGTCCCACCTCATCATGCACATTTACCTGTTATATTCTTTAATCAATATCTCAGTAATTATTGTGGTTGCTTTGCAAAATGCCCGAATTTACCGATAATCTCTTCGATAACAAATTTTATGTTAAATCTAACACACTTCACATGTCTCAAACTGTCTATCCAAATTTTCGTGTTGATTTAATCCAAGGTAAATATATTAAGAAGTAACAAAAATAGCATATCAATAGTTAATATAAAAGTATAATACTTTGATACTATTTGTAAGCAAATTTCATACTAAAAATAACATGTTAAAAATTTATATTAAATGTAACTAAAAGAAAATGTTTATATTTTTATATTTTTTTCGGTTACACGAACGTACTACGCTCATATGGCACTAATATCGTCCCACGATATCGTAGGTCTGGTTAATTAAGACACGTAACATGTTGCCGTCATCTGCAGGAGACACGATTCTCATTATTTTATAAAATAACATTGATCATATTTTGTACCACTCGCGAATTTCACTTCATAACTTCACTTTATATTTCATATGTGCAGTTATGTCACTTTTGCAAACAGAGAATAGAAAACAGCGCGACAATTATATATAGGATATTTAACATATAAAATATACATAGTATATCAACATCCCAATAAGATTACGGTAACTTTAAATTGTAAAATGGTAACATTCCACCGAAATTATAATAAACCTATCATAATCACAACAACCTTCCGGTAACGTGAAAATGTTTGTTCAAACTTATTTCATTAACTTCTCAGGAAACTTGGTCGCAACATTGTATTAATATTCATACTAGGCACATTTTAATCTCGATAAATTTATTTTATATGAAATTTTATAAAAAAAAACTGTCGGTCATTTTTTCTACGTTGAGATTCAAAGGAAAATTTGCTGAGACCTAATATACACAGAGGAAAGAAATTTTCACCTCATATCCCTTCGTGGTTTCAATTCCGTTCGGCAGCCTATCTGTTCACTAGCCGCGCTCACTATAATTTAACTTTGAAATGATCCAAAAAGTATCATCGACTTTACTGGCATTGACAATATTTTATGTTGCTCATAAAACATTTTAATTACTGACACAGACAATAACTAAATAACGAATGATATGCAACAAATATTAATATAATGCATATTACTCCACCAAAGACGTAATGACTGTTTTTTTTTGAGTTTTTAACCAAATATTATAATGGCGAAATGCCAGTCACTCAATATAGAATTATCAAGAATTATATTTCTACAACGCCCGCGAGCATTTTGAGAGGTTATTACGCGACAGAAATTGAAATTCCTCCATATCTTATCTTCCTCCTTGAGTCTTTGTAGTTGGCTTTCAAATTATCCAAATTTAATGAGTCGTTTACGTAAATACGCACACATACACACATTAGACGCCTCTGGGGAAATATGTTTTGACAAAGACTCGAAGCTTGTTTCACACGCTTCTTCCCATTAATAGTTTCCTTGACGGGTCTGAGAATTTTGTTCGTAACGGTAGGTAGATTGTATCGAGCCTTGGCGTGGTTTGAGACACGTGAAGAATTTACAAAATATTGCGCAAACATCGTTGATTCCCTGTTTTGTATTCGACGAAAGCCAGAAAGTTCTCCTTGATGTTACCCGTTCGCGCTCAGGGGATGACGCGCGTCCGGGAAGATTTAAAGCGTTGATTTGTTTAATCGCCGTGAGATAGCGGTGGACAGTGAATATTTCAAGATGCCGGCAGCACAGGCTGATGCGCGGCGCTTCTTACTCAGCATGAATAATTCATTCAATGCGACGCGACGCGCGCTCCGTCGCGACTTCCTGGTGGCAATTTTCTATCCCCGAGTTCCGTTCTCGTATTTAGCGCTCGCCCACGTTTGTTTGTGTATCGTGAATTACGGACTTTCGTGCGACACGCTACCTTGATACCACGCGGGTGACCGCGACGCCAGCGAGAAAACCGTAAGAAAACCAGCGGTGGACCACTATGGTCTACCCCGTCCTCCCGCCCCGTCTCGCTCCGATTCCCTGTAACCACGCGTCGTCGCGTCACCTGTCCCTCTTCGCACCCCATGAGGATTTCGCGATATTTACACCTTACGGAGAAACACGTAAGCAATCGGGAACGGCGGCTTGAAGTAAGACGTAGAGGGTTTTAGCTTCAGCCTCTTACGACACGCGTGGGCGATTTCTTCCCATATTTCGGCCGGAGAGTGTTTAGATAATTTGTTACACTGATACAAAGCGTACTTACTAGCTACCAGGTAGGCGAATAATGAACATCGCCGAATTAGAAAGTATACGCTTCATCTGACTGGAATTTAATGAAGAGAGTCGGAGATAAGAGAAATTGACACACGTGCTTAAAAGATTGCCGTAGAAATGTTCTGATTTCCTCTAAGGTGAAGCTGATAAGATAAATATGATTTACCGAGGTTAAGTAAACGATTTAAAACGAAAAAAAGGAGAAGATAAGTGAGACCATATATTTCAAGACATCATTTGCGAAAAAGTTAAAATTAAGGAAGATCGTCTTTATGTTGAATTTCCTAGCGATGAATATTTCAGCTTCGTGATCTCCTCGCAAACATCTCTTGGGCAGATTCTCCGGGGGTTACAGCCGAGGAGTTCTCAGGATGTATTCAGGTAGTTGCGGTGGCACCTTATTTCAGGAAAATGGAAAGTTACGTAACCCGGAAGCAATTTTATTAGACGGAGAGGGAGAGAAGGAGAGAATGAGAGAGAGAGAGAGAGAGAAAAATCGAATCGACACCGATGCGTTTATGAATGTTTGATGTCGAATACCAGTTGATATTTTTGTCATTTCCTTATAAAAAAGTATTACTGCCTATGATAAATTGGCCGATATGATAAATTATTGTTGCTCAGTAATTTTATTATTTGCATGAGTAATAAAATTACTGGGCCATAATAATTCATTTTCATCGCCGGCCAATTGATCATAAGCAGTAATACTTTTTTGTAAGGGTTTCCGACCTTGTAACAAATATTGTTTTTATGTCAAATTAAAAAATTTTTATAAATCTCTAAGTCACATAGTTCTTACGTAAGATAAAAAAGATACGGAATAAGGTGACCGCTTTTGTAACGCCAAATGTAACTAATTCATTCTACATTGACTTTTTCAGGACAAGAAATATTCCATTCTGACGTTGACTGTGAGTCAGACTTTATATGTTTAATTCATAATCGGCTTGCGCATTTGTAGCGACGTAAAAAAGAATGGATTGAAAAATAGAAAAAATTAGGAAGATTGATTAATTAATTAATTAATAATCAGAGAGATCAGGAGGACGAGAAAGAGAAAGGAAAAGAAAGAGAGAGAGAGGAATGGAGAGAGCTTCATTTAGTCTACGCTCTGAAACAAGAATACCTTCAAACGTGAGAGAAAGAGAGAGAGAAAGAGAGGGAGAGAGGGCGGGTGGAGGAGAGCCAGAAATGAAGAGGGCGAGGGAGAAATATATGACGAAGCTACGCGAAAACAACAGATGCGACCCAATAATTTAATTTGAGCTGTAGGTATTACCGGTGGATGTAATCTGCGTCTCCGACAGAATTCGCGATCGGCGCTAATCGAGCAAATATCGAATAAAATTTAATCGCTCAGTCCACCGTAACACATTGCTAGTTTTCAAAATCGTTTATAAACGGAGCGCATTAAACACTATAAGTGTTTTTTTAATGTGCCTTCATAGAAATAAAAAGCGGTTTTCGAGCTTAAAGCATGGGAGAAATTTGTCAGAACTGATCTGTTGAAATAAAAATATATGACAAATTTGTATATTTACATAAACTTTCCACACTTTTGGATGTGTTTATGTGTATTGGTTGTTATTTTAAGCTTTATATCTCACATACTTCGAGTCTTTCCTCCTGGAAAACATTATTTGCTTTTGTTTTACGAATGTTTAAAATGATTTTGTTCGATGTTTTGTTAGAAGAACTATTGTCACTGAGCCCAGAAGATGATTGAATACAGCGAGGGTAGCTTTTGGAGATCCAAGGAAAGAAGCATGCATCTTATTTAACGCAATTTTACTTCGATCGTCCGGAATTAACTCGGCTGTCCTGACTACTATTTCACGATTTGTTTCACTTGCGAGCCACAGATATACGTACCGTTGCCATCTGCCTTCCGTGATATTCTCGGTAGCACGATGCACGACTCCAGGCATGGCTTTCCTGAGCTTTCGGACTTGGCGTCGAGGAAATCGGGATTCATCTGATGTAGCATCTTGTGGCTGTTGATACGGTGGATAACGTTCAAGCGCGATATTTACAGCCTATACCAGTAACGTCTTCGTGCCCACGGTGTGGGGTCCATCCACGATGTGTAGCCGGCTACGTGTGTATTTTCACATATATTCGCAAAGTCAACAGTAAAGGGAATGTCAAATGAATTGTATCACGAAACTTATGCAACAATCGAACGTCAAGCATGCAACTTTCGCAATATCGGAATATCGAAAATATTTAGATATAATTTTGAAGGCTCACATAAATATTAACCCTAAAACACCACGCCTTCGGCGAGACTTGATTTTTAACACACTGAATATACAGTATCCAGCTACCTTCAATTGTTAATAACTGCTTGAAAAGTGAATATTTTTTAAACATATTCATATTTAATTCAAATAGCGGAATGCTAAGAACGCGCCTGCGTCATTGTAATTACGATTGACGTTGATAGAAAGTCAATTTTGAAAAAAGCTTCAATAGAAATTTCTTATTCATAGAAAACGCTATTTGCTTAAAAAAATTACAGCTTTTTTATCAAACCATATTGTATAAAAGGAATAGTTATTCTGTTATATATATAATTATAAATTATTAACAAATAAATATAAATATAAATTTTATATCTAAAAACAATATATATACATATATATATATATAGTTTTCACGAAGCTATTCTCAATCGTTGTTACCATTGACTTTTCAGTCATCGAAAGGGGATATATGAAATGTATCGCGATAAAACCTACTGCAGTAGTAGCTACTGTATTTTTACACTGCACTGTGCCTTCTCTTTGCCACACAATTCTTCCTTCCCTTTAATATTTGCTCCCTTTCACCTTTCCTCCTTCCTTACTACCCTCTCACCCTCCATGCAACTAGGATCCATGTCACTATTGTATTATGACAACGAAGATGTATGATACGTACTTTACGTGATTGCACTTGCGGAAAGAAGATGCGTGAAGACGCGCGTATCGTGAAAAACTAAAGTACTTGTAGAACTTAAAGCCTGATATATAATATCATTTATCACGTGACAACACACTCATTTCCTGCACGAATGTTGACCCACAGGTCGTCGCATCAATTTTAAAGTTCAATCGTTATTTGCGTGGAAACTCGAGCTACGACTATATTTTCACGTAAGGGATGAATGGCAAAAGCAAAACGCAAGACAATAATCTCAACATAAAATTCCGCGATATAAGGACGTACGTGTAGACTACTTAAATAATGTATTTAACAGCTATACAGAAAAATATATATTAATGGCACGAAATTAACATCGATACCATACTGAATAAAAGGTATTATTATTAAGAAAAAAAAATAATGGTCGAGAAAATATCAATAATCTGACTAGATTAAATTCACAAATTAAATCTTTTTTTTTTTAATTATATCTAGCCTTAGACCCGTTATAGCACAATTACAGTTCATCTATTACTTTCATAGCGGTGTTCTGAAGTTTCTAAAAAACTATTGGGCGCAAAATTATCAGATAACGCTTACGTTACTGCGTGTATGCGAAGGTACATTCTATTTGCAATGAATAGAAGAGTCACCGTCCAGACAAACTACACAAAACATAAGCAAGTAAAACACTTGATCACATCGGGTGTTTAACTCATAAAGGGTCTAAAATTAAACTATTGTAATCTAAAATGAATTTAAAAGTGAAGCGGATGGAAAGGTGAAGATAACACTAAAACAACAAACGAGATCATTTCTCCAAGAGAGATAACGGGATAACGAAATTACTTGCCCCGAATAATGTCGGGGAGAACCGCAATTAATAATCACATCTTCAAGGCCATAATTTATCTTTCCTGGTGCCTCAAAGGGCGCAAACAAAAAAAGGAACTGTTTTCTCTTTCTTAAGATATTCAGACACGATTTCTGGAAATCGAAATGCGTATATTTGAGATATTTGACGAAACTTTTTTTTACTTTTCGAGGAAGAAGAAATGTGTCAATCCATCGCGTGTTTTGTACATAACGTTCCTTGATGCAGAACTGTATATCCGCGATAAGCGATCCGCTTCGATTAAAAAATATCGCACTTCGTGACATTTCGTAATCCGTCGGCCGACCTTGTCGCACGGTAACTTGCGAGTACGCCGAAATTATTGAACGGCCCCTCTCGAATTGGACTCGATTCAGACGGGGCGTGATCGGATCGTGCATTGCATATCCAAAGGTATCGGATACTCCCGCACCCTCACGCGTGTTCACATTTTTCATAACAGAAAAAGAGGAAGCCCTTTCTTTTCCCCTCCTAATGTCCATCTCGTGCGACATACAAAAATAATACGTTTAAAATAACACGCTTTTGCGTATGTCTAGATTATTAGTTATAAGGTATTTCTCGAGCCATCTCGAGATCGTCTGTGTCAACTATTAATACACAATGTAGAGCGTAACATGACAATTTATCCCGCCGGTCAAATAACGGCTCAGCCGGCTAGACGAGAAAGAGAATTGTGCGTTGCGCCTACTTCGCAATCACGGAGAAAAGAGCTCCGGCTTTACACGCGAGATTTCCACTTGAATATTTAATCCGGCAACTCTCCAAGATTCGTGATACGCCGGGTGAGTTCGAATTTCGGTTATTCGTTTCGCTTTCCGTTACTCTAGACATGCACAATGTAACCAAAAGAATATTATATTTTACTTTTCAACGCACTCGTGCACGGAGAGAGAGAAGCGAATATTTTACCGTCGTAATTATTTTAAGACGCGTATAAAACAACGATTAACTTAAAGTGGAAATAAAAGCGGTAATAAATATGATAAAAGCGACAAGAGCGGAAATAAATATAAAATAATTTTTCGAAAACGGATCCACCAGAATTGAATTTGTACGCACAGTACATCTTCGCTTAAATAAAGAAATGCTTTGCCTCAGTAAAGATTTTCTCGGCGGAAGTCTCTTATTTCAAAAAAATTATGTCCATATTCTTAAGGTCCTCAGAATTGTCGAAATATGTATCGTAATTATGTATTATATTTTATTACATAAATAGTTGTGAATCTGTCGAGTCGCCAACCAGCGCCGTCCACCCGCAAAGTGTTGAGACAACTTCGAAGCATGTTCTACTTCGATGTGCACATTCTGCCTATCTTATTTCTCATATTGTTTCAAGAAAGGACGAGAGACAGCCCTTATCCTTGAAATACTCGCGTTGCGCTAATTTTATCCAAGTGACTTTTATCCCTTTCGTGTGATTTTTTATTTTTTATATAGATAGGAGAAATTAATCTTATAGTTTTTGCGGTTTAAATTTTTTACCTAGAAAAAACAATTCCCTTTCGGCGAATTATCTTTGATGATTGTGATCCTGCACAAGAGGTGTCCGCTTTAATTTTTTGTAAAAGTAGTAAAAGTCGATGAACATGTGAATTATGCATTACTTATATTGTATGCAAATAATACCTATATAATGCGCTGTCTGTGTACTTAATGTTTGATCTAACATGACGCGACATGACAAGGCAAAACATCCAACAGTTTAGTTTCGTTCGGAGCATTTGTATACTACAAGTGTTTGCGGCGTTTTATTCCTTATCTCTCTTTGATTTTGCTCACATGCCGTGCATAAAATATTCTCCTAGCAAGTTTTGTAAAGTTCTCCTACCACGATTTTCCGAATATCGTATAATGGATTATACCGTCTAATTCATCGAGTCAGTCGAACAAAGTTGAAAACAATATTATATAACTTCGAAGTGGATGTTACGAAATCCTAATGGTCTTTAATTTCTCATGAATATTGTTTACTGCCTAGTCAACGTAATAATATGGTCGATATATGACACGCATGAATTTTTAAATCATATTTTATACAGCTGGAAAATTATTTTTACGTTGTTATATAAACACTTCACTCTTTTTCAAAAGTACAAGTAATGATTCATATATATATATATATATATATATATATATAGATGTCGTACGACTCATTTTATTAGTTACGGAACATTTAAAGATGAATTTGAGTTATAAAACAGTATTCTTATAGTCGGATCTAAAAAATGAAATCCGACTATGAAAACTGCCCTATAACTATATTATAACATATTTGTAACGTAATTTTTAATTTTCAAATTATATAGAAATAATTGGCTGTGTCAACTGTGCAGTTATGTATGAAAAGACAGTAAAATAATCAAATTGTAATATAACCGTTCTAACATTTTCGTTATATAACTTCTTATTTCTAAGTATACAACAGCAATTAAGTACGTTAACTGGGTTTTACTTTATACCTTAAGCATATGAAACAATTTGTCTCGAACGATATATTCCTTGTTTTTGCAGCAATTAAAGTATTTACTCAATTATGCTTATGATTATTCGATTATGATTATTAACTAGGCGAATAATTCAATATTATGCACCTCGATAATGTAAGTGTCACGTAAGTGACATTCGAAATTGTATAAGAAACGCATTGCGAAGAGTTCCCACGATCGAACAGCTGATCGTCCTACATGAGACGTAGAACTCGATCTTCTGTGAAATCGAATTGCGACACAGTTATCTCTACGTGATCGACAAGGTACGAATGTCAATGCATATCTCTTGCTGCGCGCAATTCAGTCATTGTATTTGAAGCCACAACGTGGCAAAGTGCACCAGTGAGAATATCGCTAAAAAGTATTTCTATTACGGAGAAGCTCGAAGTAAAAGAGCAATTTCCCCTTATGGTAAATGTTTGTATTGTACGGGATTCATTAATATTCGTCGCATGTGGTCGATGTCGGATTAAATGAAACATTAGTTTAGTTTATTTTTGTAGAAAGAAGAGAGAGATCTAATTTGTACCCAATCCATATTCATATCTATTATATGATCCAGTAATTCTGAGAACGTCAGTTGCACGTGTTACATTATATATAATATAACGTGTTCACCAAATAAAAAGAGAGAGAGAGAGAGAGAGAGAGAGATTGAAATTCTACCTACACGTGTCAAAAATAGATGTTTCATTCGCTAATTTTTTTTGCTAACTTTTTTTAATAAATAATAACCGACGGCTAAAACTAGAGAAACTCGAAGAAGCGAAAGAGCAATTTCCGCTTACGAAATATTCTGTCTGAATTAGAAATTTTATCAAATTTTACGCATTGTTAATTTTTTTCTATGTTTACAGAGATAAATCCGCAAAGATTACTTACAAAAAGAAAAGTCCTCCAGTCAATTTCCAAGATAGACTGCATGTGGTGATGTGCTGAGGAACAGAATTAAATTTCTCCTTAGCCGAAATGATCGAGCTGTTAGATTGAACTTCCATTTATAAAACTATCAGCCGAATAATTTACGGATACGAAGAAAGGCTCCTCTTACGGTTCATTTTAATGATTTGAAAATTGTCAGTGGCCGAACAAAAATATTTACTCTCAGATTTACTCTCGTAATATTCCAAAGCGAGAGCAGTCTCTTATTGCGCACTATTAGCAATATTTAAATGATGCACACAGCGAAGCCAGAGTGACGAATGAGACTTGCGCAACGCTAAGTTACGCTTGCGCTAAGCTATTTACGCTTCGCGAAAAATTGGTCCGCTCCGTATCGCACCTGACGTTTCACTATGTCGTACTTGATATATTCTACGACTGATATAGAATCGTGAATAAAACTACTGTTACTTGTGACATTAACTATTTATTGCACCAGGCTAGCATTCATGCGTTTTGCATGTTGTTTTTGCTTCTTTCGCGCTTTAAAATTTGCATAAAATATCGAGGAACAAAAGACTTCTGACCTTTTCACCTCAAAATTACCAAACTACGAAATGTGATTGAGTCATACCTTTGATTGAATTTTATTGTCATATATGTGCGTACAGCGGTGTGGAGAGAATAAGGCATTGCGAATATCCATGAGACTAAGTGGGAGTTGCGCCTGAGTTATCATTAAAGTGCTAGTGTTGTTTGTTATGGCAAAAATTAAATTAAAATATGTGAATCTACCGCAGACAAACTGTAAGATTTATTTGAACGTTTAACAGCGGTATGTTTCAGGTCGCCCCGCTTTAATATATTCACTAATTATTTAATTAGATCGTGGTCATACCGACCATCGACCACCGTCGCAGACACACGTGGTCTTCATGTGGGTCAAGGAACTTGCGCGGCCTGAGGTACCACTGCACCAGTTAAGCTAGGCGCGTGATGACATTCGCACGTGGCATATGAAACGAGAGGGTCACATAAAAGACCAAAATTACGAAAAAAATGTTTGATGTCCCACATAAGGTAGAGCCTGACGTATATAGTTTTACGCACGTAGTTTCATAAATTTCGTACTATTTACTATATATTCCGCGCCAATTTATAGGCACATACCACGCGAGTCACGGCGTAAATTCCTCGCTGCGAATAATACGCGTATTTACGCGAGATAAATTTTAATAAAAAAATCATTGCACTTTGCGTCGATGCACAAATGTGCAATGATAAATATCCATAATTGATTTCTCTCATAATATTATGTAGGAAAGTATTCGGATGATGTTATCGAAAGGTGAATACTTTATGAGATATTTTATATCCTATACCGAAAAATATTAGAATAAAGAATAAAATATCTCGAAGAGCATTCACTTTTCAACGATCTTACCTCGGTACTTTTATACGGTACTTTTATAAGAATGAACAGGAAAATCAATTCGTGTTAAAAAAAATTATATATGATTCTCTTAAAAAAATGAAGAAAGGACCTTAAAAAGTCATTAACTTATGTTCTCCTCTAAACCCTACAACTTTTGTTCGGAACATTTCTTTCCCTGTTTTGCTTTATTTTTAAATGACTCACTTCCTATATGGAATTTCACATATAATACTATATAATTATTATATTTGATTAAATATATATATATATATATATATATAGAAAATTTCCGGGTGTTCAGTTACCAAATCTTGGTAATTGTTATCGAATCCTTCTTTCGGTGTGCCGTTCATTATCGCCAGTGTATTCGTCGATGACACATGACACTTAACATTCTTTCCTGTATTTACCACTTGTCACTCGTCACTCATACATATCACTTACTAATTATGCATTACTGCTATCATCATTTCCACGCATAATACGCCTCCTCTCTCCATAAAAGCCTCGGAGACTTCGCACATATCTTAGGCCTCTTGATCCCCGCGGCTTCATGTAATATGCATACACGTCGGCTCGCAGAAGCAACAAGTTCGTCCACAATCGAGCGGTAGCGCGTGCGATCTTCGTGTCGCGGGGTTACGCGCGTGTTATGTAAGCACATCCGCGCGGACTCGCTTCGGACTTATCGTGAAATTTGTATTATTCCATACATCGAATAAAGAATGCGCGCATCGCCCCGTCGGAAGGGCGGCGGGCGAAAGGGCGAAAGGGCGAGGAGAGCGAGAAATACGCGCCGTCGACGTATGATTTTTCCGGCGCCCCGTGGAACGCGCATGCCGCTCGGTACGGCGCGTATTTAAGGGCTGATCTTCCCCTGTTCTCGCCACTGTATCGCACGGTATCGTCAGGTTCTCTCCGACCGTCGCTCTGCTAACCCTCGCGCGCGTTCTCTCTCCCTCTGTCTTTCTCTCTCTCTCTCTCTCTCTCCCTCTGTCTCTCTCTCTCTCTCTCCCTCTCTTCTCCTCCCATTCTCTTTCCCAAAGCAGTCGTCTTCGCGCACGTCGCCCACCACTTTCGCTTCCGAGACGGACGCGAGATTTCACCCCCGTCGACGCAACGACCCTCCGTACTCTATCTACCGTTGAGCTATCAGCGGTTCTTCGGTCGCTCGCGGGTCTTCGGGATCGTGCGCACCCCCGTGCGAACGTAGATTTCTCTCTCTCTTTCGCAGAGCTCATCCGTACGGACGAGTTGCCCAGCTTAAGCGCTACGCAGAACTCTGTCGACGTCTTGCAACGTCGTCTCCTCGAACGCCGCGAAGTCTACCGCTGTACTCCGCGCTTTCACCAGGTTGGTACAATTCGAACCTCGCAGAATGCCTCACGCACCGGCTCGAGCAATTCTTACGGAGATTGTTTGATTCTTTTGGTTGCGCGTGGACTTGTTTTACGGAGGGCAACAGGGGGACGAGGCCGGCTTTCCGCGTAAGATCTCCGATCATTGGACTATTCAGTTGTTTCTTTTTTTTTATTTTGTGTCCGTCTGTGCGACGCGGAGAAACCGTGGTGTAAGTCTACGCGTGCCCACCATATTGACCGATAGACTATATGAACAAATGAATGTTTTCGTTTCCGTCTGTTATATTGGCGCTTTCAGTAACTTGTCTCTACTATTTGCTCTTGAATTTGACGAAGTAACGTCAATAACAATCGAGAATCTTTGCTAAAAATAGCAGTCGTTTTATTCCTTAAAAATCACGCGTCCACTTATGGGTTAATACGTTCCTCGTTATATCACGAGCGTCGATTCTCTATATAAATTGATTTTAAATTAAGGAAATATATATATCTCCACCATAACTTCGTTTCAAATTACAACGCACTAATGAGTAACATTCTTAAGTTTTACCTTATGTTCGGTTTGCTTTAAGCAAGTTTCTAAGCTTTAAGCAGTTAAGTTTTGTTTTAGAATAAGATCTGTTAAAAATACACTTTTTAATATAATTTGATAATTTAATAATTAATTTTGTAATCGAGTAATCCAGACCGTCGCTCCCTTGAAATTTGACGCGAATGTAATTTGAGGGGGAGTTTATCCGTATAAAATTGCATGTGTGAAAAAAATTAAATTGGTAGAAAAGATCAATATCCGTGTCTTCAATTTGCCATTATGGAAAACTTGAGAATATTCCGAAATAATTATATGTAATTTGAGTATATAAATAAGATTAATAATTTTCAGATTAATGTAAAAATGTGAGATATACATAAAAATTTTCTATTTTTACTTCCTTCTTCCACGAGGAAGAGAAAGAAGAAATTAAAAACCTTCTGAATATAGAATCGGAGAACAGGTATATAGAGAGAATATAAAATCAATAGAGAAGTCGAAACGTATTAAAACGATTTTAAAGCAATCGAGCCGACGCGTAATCCGTTTTCACCGAAATGCTTTCCAGCAATTGCACTCAATCACGGCTTATGCGCCAAATATCATCTCATATTTTTTACTACGTCGAACGTATTGCAGAGCGGAAGGGCAATATCTTTGGTGATGAAATTTTCAAATAAGTGAAGTAACACGCAATATGTCTGCGCTAATATATCAAATATTACTTGCTAATTTCCCTCCAAGTTTTTAAGCCGATGCACGAAAAACGGTCGGTTTATGAATGGAACGTAAAACAATTCAACGCGCAATATCTCGCTCTCACTAAAATATCTGCAATAAATTTTTCTTGGTTACTTATTAATGTCAGGATCTTTGACATTTTCCTACGGTACTCTTCTCGTCGATTGTTGATGGATTTGTGCCAGGACAACGACGAGGCGCACAGGCGGAAACTGGTGCAACCTGCACATTATGTACAAGTCAAACATCTGATGTGGACATTTTATATTACGGCATTTCCACGCAAATCGGATTACGGATTACGTCTGCACGTAGATCTTAAATATCTCTTTTGTAACTTACATCGCGCATTTTACACGAGATATCGTGTAAACTAGTGGTAACATGGTGGTAAACTGACACGCTACAATCTCTCTTGTGAAACCCGAAATTCGCCTTTATTTTTCGAAAATGTGGGCTTTATTATTTTTGAATAATAGGAATTGCATGATTTTTTTTCCTGAAATCAAACTTCAGAGAAGCAAATAAATAACAAGACATTTCAATTTAATTCGAATGAATTTTGGACTTTAATTTGAAACTTGGCTTTTTGGACATATCGAACAATATGATACGCAAAGTGGCGATGAATAATTGTAGTCTTCATTATTTTTACTAAGAGGATATTAAGCCCAGATGTTTCATAAAAGGTAACGTTACATCGTCAATTTTATGCCGGGTCTATCTATGACACTTTGGGTTTACTTTTCACATTGTTTACAAACAAAAAAACGCACAACTGTAATCTAATTTTTCGAAACGCCACTTTCGAAATTTGATGTTTCGAATGAGTTGTTACACGGTAAAATTGATGGCAATCGTGTCACTATACTGTAACGTAAAATCCAACATATGTGTCGAAGTTTAAGGTGACGTCGAAACTTTAAAATTGATAGTTTGCTTTATTATGTAAACTATTCCGCACGTGACACATGTATGCATATTGTGATTGACTGTACTTACCTGATCTGTACTTACGTGATCAACTTGACACATAATACATATTCTCATGTTATACAGGGAGTATTGCGTACAATACGTGAATACATATATTTATCAACGTTCTTATCGCCCGAAGTTACAATAGCTCTGTAAATTTGTACTCGTAAATTTATATATTATTGTTTTTATCACTATGTCTGCTAAAGTAAAGTGAGCAAATGATTTAATCATCTACAAATACAGAAACGTGATACTCTGTCTACGCTGTACGGCAAGGAACTTCATTAATCGTTGTGAGAAAAAGTTTTCTTCCTTTTTTAAATTGAAGCACGGTCATCCATGAAACAAGGAGTGTTCTAGAGTACGAGTGGATTAAGCATGTAATTTTCTTATTTTTCCTCATTTTTTTCACACTTATAGTCAGGAAATGAGGTAATACATCATCATGTTCAAGCTATTTGGAGACAAAAAAAAGATGCAGAAAAATATGACTTTATATTACTTGACAATCGTGCTATTTTCGCATTTCTTTCTTTTTCCTCTAATATATCTTAGAGTCAATGACAAATATTAAAATTATTTGTATTTTTTGGGAAAATGAAAGTATTCAATTTAATATACTGAAAATCTGAATTTCGCCTATATAAAATTTTATATAATTTAATTGACATTGCTCGAATATTAACCATAAATGATTTTGACTCAAATGCTGAAAGTTGAGCGTCATGACGACCTTAAACTTCGCGATTCTATTGAAATTATTTAACTTTGATGCGAACTTAAGCTTATGCTATTAGAATTATTCAAATCTTAAAATTGAATTTCAACGGAGACAGCGGTTTCCAGACAGCAGAATGCCTAAGATCGAGACGTAAGACGTCTTAAAGACATCCTTAAAATGTCTTATGTCTCAATTTCAGACAGTTCTATTGTCTGGGATATTGCATAATGACATTTGGATGCGCGGTTAAATAGAAAGTCCGGAATAACTTCATCACAACTCATTTGCGTCATACAACTCGTAGTTTAAACTTCTCCCGTTGAGTTTTCAAATTATAAGATTTACACTATACTTTCCTTTAATTGCGCTTACCTTCGTTAAATTAATCGTAACCTTCCAGAAAATGTAAAAGATTACAGAGTACTATTTTAATGAAAAATAACCGTATATTACGATATACGTGCACATTCGCGCTTACGTAAAATGTTTAAGTTTCGTAAAAGGTTTGAGCTCCTTCAAATTGTGCTTCTCACACATTTTTACACATCGCCAACAACAAAGACGGGTCAACGATATGAGACCACAGATCCCATCTAGGTGTGATTTCGCTTGAATACATACGCTCGTCGGTCTCAAACGATCTTATATCGTCTCACCTTTTCCCAAAGCCCACAGCTACTCGGCCGTTCCTGGCTGTCTTGGCTGTATGTTATGAGGAGTCTAGAACGAAATCTCATAAAGAGCAATTTTCTCGTTTTCGTGTTCTTGTGAAACGAGATCTGACTTTTATTAGGACAAATATTACCGAGAATTTCATGCTTTCCTTTTCGAAGTCTTTCACCTTTTTGAAATTCTTCACGTTATGCATGAGACAGCATCGAGAAATACTGTTAGACAGTAAAAAATTTTAATTATTAATTTTTTAAAACATTTTTAATAATTAAAACATTTAAAAAAAAATTTTTTTTTTTAATATTTTAATTATTAAAAACGGTTCAACAAAATTTCTTCTTACCTTAACATGGGGAATATGTTAAAAAATATACAAATATAGGTTTAATTAACATATTCGCCTTGTTAACATATTACTTTTTAATATATTTCCCGTGTTAAGGTAACACCAAATTTTTTATTGTGTATGCCTAAATACGATTTTTTACTATTGTTATACACATGTGCAGAGTGAGACGACAGCCGTTACCATCATGAATATCTTCGAAAAATAAAAATATTTTGTTTACGACTGGATAAAAAATGAAAAATGTTTACACGTGCTCCGAATGGTAACCGCTGGTATATAATACATTTTCCGTTAGATACATTTTCTTCTTCTGCTTCTCATATTTCGAAGATATTTAAGGTTGGAATAGCTATTATCTTATCCTGTATGTAAGTATAGTTTACAAAGGTGTTGTATATAAACGTAACTTTTCGTACGGCTATATGTAGCGATGTTCGATCATTTTCCGAGAAAAACTTCGGTACCTCGGCAAGTGATGGTGCTAATATATATGCAATAGTTGCTTCTGGGATTAATAAACTGCCGCCCGATAATCTGAAATTCAAAAAACCTCATTTTTCAAACTTCTTTATCGGAGATACTTGACTTTAGTTTTCTAAGAAGAATGTCCAATAGTCTCAAACAGTCACACATATAGCTCGCAAACCGTTCAACGCATCCAAATTTTGTCGCTGAAGTAATCATCAATATGCAATTGTTAATTTTGCGCATTGAAAACTAATATTAATTTCTCATTTCAAATACTTATACAAATCAAATTAATTCTGAGTTTTTAAAACATGAAAAATTAAAATCAGCTAAATCAAAATTATTCCATAGTTTTCGCGCGGTTTTTATTATTTCACATCACTGAGCACCGTACCGTGTATTAACTGAGATTGCGTGGGTTATCACGAGCGATCAATCTGACGCACAGTGATACTGTAACTCCCAGGTGCTGCAAGTTTAATCGTGATCGTTGCGCGTAGTGAACTCGTAACGCATTCTGTATCGGCATCCATACCATTCGCGAACGCCTCCCCGGGTATAAATGAAGCAAATTGCATTTAGACCGGTCTTGGAACTACTCGTCCGTGCGACTATTTTGATGCGCCTATTTGCGACTATTTCGTTATCGCGATCGTATTCGGAAACCTTTGGAAACTAACTTGTAGAAACTGAGTATTGTAGTCGCGAAACGATAAGATAGATTTCTAGTACTCGTTCATTGTTCGCTCGTGTGTGTGTGCTTTCGGCCATATATTAGGGTGGAAAAAAGGTATTGCCGATCGCGTATATAAATATCCAGTGAACGCTCGATGCAACGAACGTTTCTTGCCATTTTCTCCCGTTCGAATTCCGACATATTAGTAATTCTAATCAAACGAATTCATTCGCCGAAAGAAAGAAAAAGAAACCGACGAGAGAACACGTTCAAATGAAAAAAAAGGATATCAAGCAGAAAAAACACAGCTGCGTTCGGTAATATTGCAAACGTCTGAAATTTTCCGTTTTCATCCCACATTTGTGATTGTGTATGGAGAGAAAGAGAAAGAAAGGAGAGACCTCTCTCGCGTCATATTTCGGCTTCCGCGATATTAATATTTCATCGTATCTTCGTAGATAGTTTCGCAGATCCCGTTTACGTGACATGCATTATTCCGAGATATCAGGTCGGCTCAAAATGTGGAACTGCTTTCAGAATATATGCGTTTATGTGTATGTATAACGTCACTCATGCATTAACGATTCAAGAACCCTTAACACACAAAGATATGATTCGCATTGATATATGTATTCCGTTCGAACCGTGTCGTTTGTAACGTTTTAAAGCATTTCTTTCTCCTACTTTTCTCGCAGCCCAGTTTCCCATCCTCTGCTAAGATAAACAATAACTTCCTGCTTGACAAGATACAGAAGTGTGTGTGTCACCTTGTCTTGTGTTCGTTAAAAACACAAGACAAGGTGAAATATTTTCCACAGTCTTCCGTGACTCCTGACGTCAAACTTCTATCACTCTGCTATATTACACGTTATCTCTCGGCTTAAACGTTTATTCCTCTTTAATCGCTCTTAAGAACACCGTCGCCGCATTTTCCGTCGTTCAAAAGTTTCATTATTATACTCGACCATCGAAGGCACCTGTTCTCGTCGGTTGATTTTAGCGTCGGCTTGCGGGTGAGTTTGAATCGGGAAATCGCACTGCGCCGTGCGTGCGCAGTGTAGACAATAATTATGCGCATCGGTGCGAAACGTATGAAAACGCACGTTTTTTAGTATTGAATCGTATTACTCGCTCGGCGTATCGCCAATATTTGCACACACACCCTCGCAGTTGATTATAAATAAACGCAAACAACTGCGATGCTAACAATTGTCGCTTCGGCCTTTCGCATTTCGATTTTGGCGCACCGTCGAGAGACGTCAGTCGAAAAAAATGAAGTTTTCGACGAGCGTTCGGCGTTCAAGCGTTCTATCGCGTAAAAAGTATTCCGAGTCTAACTGAGCGTCCGCGTGACTCGCTGAAAGCTGATTATGGCTCGCTTGAAGCGTTCGGAAGAAGCGGGCACAAATCTTCGCGGAGCTTTTTACGAGTGGTCAGTATGCATGCAGAGAGAAAATAATGATTCCTTCGTGATTTCGATTCTGAGAAACGGCCACAGTCATTTATCTATTTTTGAAGCTCGTCGCCGTTGCTAAACCTCGGTAATCGTATATAGATAACCTTGTGACTTATGCTTATATAATCTATCCTTGTGATGCTGGAATTAACATTTCGACTCGGATAAGCGTTCACGAAGTGAACAATTACATGTAGCGTGCGGGAAGCTTGCAATTGATGAACGCACTGCAAAGCTATAAGCAAACGTCCAGAAAGCAATCTTCCAGATCGGTCCGAATGCTCTAGCGGGCCATAATCAGCGTCCTTCCGACTCGCTGGAAACTTCTCTGATCGCTTCCTTTTCGACTAAGGGAAGGAGGGGTTTGTTCACAAGCTATCGAAAAATTCAATGTATGAGCGAGCGATGAGGGAACCGTATGGAAACACTTATTTAGTACGAATTGTAATTTACTGCAAACATTTCTTGAGCGTTTCTCGAAAGATTTTTTTGGATTTAGTAAGAAATATCTTTAATTGAAACAAATTTGTCTTTTAAAACGAACGAACAAGCAAACGAATATTTGTTGACTCGCTCGACTCGGTTGATTCAACAAACAAGATTGTTTGGCTTCTCGGACGATAAATATCTTTACATCAAATAACATCTCTCTTTTGTATTTTCATTAGAAACATTACAATAGTTTTTATGAGTAATAAGTGATTTGAGAGAAGTGACACTATGTATCAGAAAAATATCGAAGGACATTTTTTTAAATTTCAGCGGGACAATATTTAATATATACTGAAATGAATTATTTCATTTGGAAACCAAATATTATTTCCTCTAAATAATACTATCCTTCCTATCAAACAACATTGTTACTGAAGTAACAACATTTCCACTCCAAACCAAATGATATTTGATATTAAATAGTATTGTTAATATTAAACAAACTTAAATCAAGCATATACACGTATTAAATCCGAAGAATTTGTCTCTTTTTCTCAGTGCGACCAACTCGCTGGAAACTTCCTTGATCGTTTCCTTTTCGACTGGACGAGTGCTGACGAGTATTCGACATGGGGAGATATCGATCGGAGCGTCCGTCCGTTCGAATCACTACATGATACTGCGACTTTTATTTCCGGTCCCCGTTACCGAGTCATTGAAATTCGTCTGAATTCGTTCGATTCGCACTGTCAGTTTGTCTCGGGCGTTTTGGACGACTCGGAGGCCTCGTTTACGAGGCCGCGAACCTTACTCCCGGCGTCGTAACGTATATCGACTATATAACAGGTGTGTCCACATAATAGGTGTAGCGTACGGCAAAATATACGAGATACGATTACTCGGTTCGTCAAGCGAGCATCGGTGGAGCAGCAACAGGTTGCCTATTTGCCGGAATCCGCGTACCACAATCGTATACGTGGCCTCGTAGGCGGTGTGTGAGCTCACCGTAGCAAAATATAATCTCGCGAAGGGCGTATTCGGTGCTTACATACATCTTTGAGTAACTTTGGATGAAATCGGCCGTGGTCATGTATGTTTCACTCAGCTTGATTTCATTGTTTCCGCCCTCACTCGCTATCCCCGCGGGAAATTTCGACGCTGCCGAAGTTGGCAATTAGAACCGTATCCAAGTCGATTGCGCATACTTCACAGTCGTACTGAGAAAAAAAAATATCTGTAACTATAATCATCGTTGTAAAACAATTATAGTCATGAGAGCGGATTTTCTACTGAGTGTTGTGTTGGTGATAACAATCTTATATGTACGTTTTTACTGCTATTTTTGTGGTTGAAACTATAAGAAAGTCATGGTGGGCCTTCGAAAATAATTTGTCTCAGTGCAAGGAACCATTCTTCTTCTCCTTATCACTTCTCGTTGCGTTCTCGTTGTGATCCATTACCGGAATGCAAACTTGGCGCACCGTTCGTCATCGTCGCCTAATACTTCGAAGCTGACGCGTTTCCTTGACACGTATTCCGTTCTATCCCGGTCTCGTCCTCTCGAGGATCTTCCGACTCGCCCGTTTCGACTGCCATTTGCTGCTCGCGTGCAAAGAAAATAAACACTATCAAATAGTCCGAGCGTATACACGAAGAGCGTCGGATGGGTAACGCGATTTCCTCACTTCGAATTCACTCTTAAGATCGTATTCGTATCGTATATGAGTCCTATTTATCTGACGCGCTTATAGATCGCCTTCTCTGTAACGTGATATTCTAACATCCGCCTCCCTCCCTCAAAAGGGGGAGTCCTCTGTCTCTCTCTCTCTCTCTCTATTTCTCTCTTTAATATTTTACATTCTCTTTTGTATCACTTTTCAAATTTCGGGACTTTTATTTTCCGGGATTATGCATGCCCACCTATACATGTGTAAAGAGGCGATAATACATAATATAATGTTATCAGCTAATTTACGCGAGTCCACGATCATAAATATATTTCCATTAACCGGTGATTCACGATCTTAAGGTTTGACCCAATTCATCATGAATTTAACATAATAAATGATACATACATTATGCAACGTGAGCGCGAATGAATGTGCGGGACTAACTCTCTTAAGACAAAGATAGGAATTATTCAGGAAAATTCTAAGCTATATTGAAATGATACTTAACAACAAGTAATAAACAAAGTAATAATAAAACAAGGGATAATAGCGAAAAAGTAAAGAAAAATATATCGGGTAAGATATAATAATAAATATACAGAAATGTAAATGTAACATTGACGTAAAAAAACATATTGACTTTTTTCCTTAGCTCTATTTTCCAACTTAGACTCTGACGTCTGAATGTTAATTTGTTATATCAAATGTTTTATGGAACACAATTTCTACGTGAGCTTTGCTCGCATGTCAACTGTAAAATGTATTCAGTGACTTAAATATTACTTTATATTCAACGTTTTCACTGAACTATAATGTCGACATAGGCGTGTATTTTTCTTTTTTCTTACAGTCCAAAAATGATGAGCTCAACGTTGATGGTTCTTGTGTCCGTAACGACCATGGCGTTGATATCCGGCGAAGCTTTTGCCGTGTTACCTGCTAAGTGCAATGCAGGATTTCTCGAGGAACTTCCACCCAGACTCCGTAAATTTTGCATCACTATCGCTAAAGTATGGAACGCCAATGGCATGAATAATCCTGTCGACGACACAGGTAGTAGTCCGTTTATCGATGGTGCGTCTTTTTTGTTCTTAACATATTATATTCCCTCATTCTGCCATGTTTATCAGAAATATCCCATACAGAGTCATTGATATGGGTATCATTATAGACAGAGAAGTCATTACTACAGTATATCACTATAATTAATACTTCCCCCTCCCCCCTTCTTCCTTTCTCGGCACTATACAGCCTCGTTTGAGGCCTGGACCTACTTCTTCTCTCTTTACCTATGCATGTGGTGCGCACACAGATTATACATATGCAAATGGGACCTACAAGTTTTACGTCGGTTCCGAACGGTAGTTGGAGAGAAGAGAGCTTTCGTGGCATGGGAAATAAAACTCTTTGGTAGTTTGCCAGACCACCGAAGAGGAGCGGACGAGTATGATAAAAACCTTTTCTGGTTCTGCCGGGGATTGTTGAAACCCGCGACTCCTAGCATGATAGACTAGTGCGCTGCCTACCATGCCACGCTCGCGCTCACTGTAATGAATATAATAAATATAAAGATAATGATATAATATCCCCGTACAGCATTCTAATGCTTCTTTCTACATCGGATTTTTTTTGTGCCTTGAATAATTTTAAGATATAAATATTCTAATATATATATAATTGTAAGGTTATATTTCATCAATCATTTTAGTCGTTTACTATTTCCGTGCGGGCCCGACATTTCTATATATCTATAGATATATAGGTAACAATATAGAAGTGATATCGCGCAGTAAAGGTAATATCGTTCTTATCAAAGTATCATGTGTAGAATATTATTATGTGGGAAATCAGCATTGTAAATACATATGACGTTTACGAACTTTATAAATATTATATAAATACATATGACGTAAATACATATGACGTAAATACATATGACTTATACGAGCTTTATGAATATATACATGTGTGAGGTATCTTGCCTTTTACGTATCTCCTAACAATATTATGTACGTAATATGTTTGCAAAAACGACCATATATGGATTTACTCAGCAGCGGAGAGTAATCGAAACCATTCGTATAAATCGCACCTCTGCTGGAAGACGGTCACATCTCTGAAATTATCAAATTCGAGTTGTTGCCACAATTGTATCAGGAATAATATTGACACAAGGATAATTTTTGAGATATTCGGTAAAATCAAGAGGGGTTGTCCTCAGATTTTTCTATATATTAATTTTACGCGGTATCGTGCCGATTATGCTGGATGCCGATCTTTTTTTCATTCGATTATTTGTACTTTGTATTTTCGAGTTAAAGTTTGCGCTTGCGGACGATCACGAAGATTGCGTTGAATTGCTTTCAGAATACCGAGAGTTCTTGCCGCTATACAACAGTGATGTCAAGAGGCAAGACGTCGATCACATTTTCCTACGCTTCGGGAGACGACGTTAGAAAACGACATCTACTCTGTATTCACAAGCGGCAAACGATCAAGTTCTCTTCAAGTCGTCCGATCACCTCATCATCGATTCGTAGGACATTTACCGGATTATAAGGGACCGCAGTCAGCCGTGCCAAAAGACGATCTCGTCAATGTTGAAAAAACCTGGCTTCTTCTTCGATTATTACACTTGAACGGCGTTTAAGTGTGAAATCAGTCCCCTTTTAGCGTTAAGTCAGCGTGAAAGTGAGTACGTTTCGTTAGGTTTATATTGCGAGCATACACTATTGCGTTAGCTCGTCCTTCTCTTTATCCATTAAACGAAAATTTCAAAAGACGTTAAGCAGCGATTAAGCGTTGGTATGTTTTGCAAATTTTCCATCAACGGCCAACGTCTTCAATATTTCTTGAGAGGCAGAATTTTATCCCAGAAATTTTACTTTTCCGTACAAATCTTTATTCTCCAAATGGAAGAGAGAGAAACATGAGCGAAGGACAATTTTTTCCGAAAAAGAATTATAGCATAACACTTCGAAATGTGTATTCTTGTTCATCATTTCTGCTAAAGAATTAAAGGAAGATACAAGTTCCATGATATATATTCCCCTTCCTCGTTAGTCGACTAATTTCATGTGCAATGGCAAATGTCCTAAGAATGAAACGCTATTTTACAGAAACGATGAAAAAAACACTATCTAATGATTCTAGTATTAATCTCAGAGATCTTTAAACAGTATAAGAAAAAAAAACAATTATGCGGTTTAATTAAAGTCCTTTATAATGTAATGTGGTCTTCTCAACGGTCTTCAAATATATAACAGATGTGCGGTATATATATATATATATATATATATATATATATATATATATATANATATATATATATATATATATATGCCGTTAGGCATGACATTAGATGCGAGGCAGAATCGGACGGAAGGTTTCGATGGAAACTTGACCAATAAACGTTGCGTTTACACAGCAACGCTAATCCGGTTTAGGTTGGTGGGCTGGTCAGTACTGAAGCGTTTTAATTTGTTTCTTATCGCTCGTTACACGTAAATAAGAACTATATCGCAAATACAACAGCTTGCGCTCTATCTATGTAAATGTATATCGAGTCTATTAATTCCACGTCTTGCTTCAACTAGTTCTTTACGGTTTGACTTTGCATCACCGGCTTTACGCGCGTGCGTAAGAACGTAGTTGTGCCGTGTCGGTTTTCGCGAGCGACTACTATTTCCAATTAATCACGCTCATCTTCGCGCCGCCCGCGAAGATAACGACCGTATTATCCGCCAACGGGAGAAAGTAGATGGTTTTGTATGGTGACGAGCTCGCGCGCAAATTTATTTTATAAATTGACGATGATTCCGCGGCGCGATCCGCGGAATCGCTTCGAATGTCTCCCACCACTCTAGGACGTCCTAATCGAATATCACCGCGAAGAGCATCTTTTGCGTCTGATCGAGAGTATTCCGATGCCGGAGATACGTGCCAAATGTTCCGTTAGGAGGCCTCCGCCCTGAGAGACCATTAGCATCACTTTCAAACGTCTCGACGTCTTACTCGTTAAATATACTCGCAACGTTATGAATGTATTATCACACACGGAACGGACGAAACCTGTAAGATACGACGGTCGATTCGACGATATGTACTGATTGCACGTATGTACACATCGTGAGATAACAATATATTTATTATAACAGGTATAATATGGCATACAACACATACATATATATATATATAAATCGATTCTCTCAGAACATACTTGTTGGTTATTCTACACCATCCCTTCCTATCTTCGGTCTACCACCATCCCTTCCTATTTTCTAGCGAGATATCGCGAGTCTTTTCGGCGTAACGAAAGAAGACTTCCAATTTATTACATTGTGATGCGATGCGATACATATCGGCATTGTTTGACTACCAATTTCGCTCGATATTTGCTCGGCAATAACGCGATGGATTAGATTACGTGACTGTGCGTCTACAAATAGAAACGAAGAGAGAAATTTATAACTAATTAGCATCAACTTAAGACCCATGGTATCACATATGTATATGAGGTGTGTGCAAAAATTACTTCTTTCTTTATCTGATGTAGCGCAGCGAAATGTAATTTGCGCGCCAAATGACGCGATGATTTGTTCGAAAACTTCGAGAAAAATTCTTCGAGCTTCGAGGCTAATTCTCATCGGCTCAATTTCCGGCGGCGATCGAAGTATCCTGCGGAAATCGAGCTAGTCGCTGATGAATGAAAGCGAGGATGAGAGACGCTGAAGCGTACAAACAGATCGAGTATCAGGAACTAGCTGTACGAGGTCGGTAAGAATTTAAATAGAAATTTCAATTAAAATTGAAAATATTATCAAGTTGAATATTAAACACTCTGTCATTCCAGTGAGCTATTTTTTTCTAACGTATATCGTTCTACGGACCCAGGAAAAAAAAAGGTCATACATAAATTCATTTTTTCTCGAAACTTTGCGTGCTATGTTTTTGGGACGCGCACTTCTCATAAATATTGTTATTAATGACAGAGTCATATTCAAATATATCACGATATTTACATGTAAATGAAACGAGAAAAATTTGCCATTGCATAAAACATCGAATTGTGTAATTCAGCAATCACCGGAGTTGATATCAACTGCGGGAATATAATAATAACGTGTAATATTCGCATTAAACTTTACTTCGTAAAATTCAGTATAAAAAAGACAACAAACTTACGTTTCGCTAAATCGATTAACCAACATCTGATTTATTACTGCAATACGAAGTAACTTAATCATATGACAGGATATCTTACCTAATTTGAGCACCTTGAATATTGTTTCAACCAAGCAAAATAAGAAATCTCTCAGACAAAAATTGTAAGATCTCGAAGGAGACATAAAACAGTGACTTTAATGCTATTTTAAGTAGAATCGTAAGACTCATGACTTGTTCTTGTAAGACTTGTAAGAACTTATGCATAAATCAGCAATTCTATGCCTACCGTATATCAATCTCTCGTAAATATCTACGATTTCTCGTAAATTTTACGGCTAGCTAGAAACTGTAACGGCAAAGTTACAATTTCTGAATTTTACTAAGACTTTTAGTGTTATTATGAACAGAAGAATCGATTTGTGTTAAAAAGAAAACTAGGTGATTCCAGAAAAAAAATGAAATTGACCTTGAAATGACCTTGAATTGTTGACTATATGCAAAGTTACGAATAGCATATTGGCATCCGAATGAAGAAATGGACGTCGCCCTCGAAATAAATTCTCTCCCGGCGAGCATAAAGACGTCTTAGACAATAAGGTGTCTGAACGACGTCTCTGAGATGTCTTCTAGGCATGCAAGTTATATGGCTTGCTCGCGTAAAATGCACGGACATTCGAACTCGGGGTCCTTCTCGAATTCGTCCCGCGGCTCCCGGAGATTGATGTAGCGCCGTCGTCTCGGCAATTACCCGTGCGGCAATATTTGTTCGTCCCCTTCGTCGACCCTTCCACGGCATCCTAAGTAGCCTTTATCGCGCGTACGAGCGAGCGAGCGCGCTGGGTAAAAACGTGTCCCAATTTCGCGTCGTGCATTTCGCAACTCGTATTTTATTCCCGTCGCGCGCGCAATTTATCTCGCTTCCACCTGCGCAAATACCGTTGCGAAATGCGGTTTCGCGGCGCCGCACCGCTGGGACGCTCGTGCGCGACGGAATTTGCCGGCGGAAGCGGATACGAAGAATTCGTCCAACGGAGGTTCTCCGGCCTCCGTGATTGCGTACAGCTCTTCCACATTTCTTTTCATCCTTGTTTTATTAAGATTATTCAATTTACGTACATTAATTTATGTACATTAAACTTTACAGCGAGTTTCTCGCCCTTCTTTTGTTCTTAGTAAGACCGGCGAAATTCGCTCTACCTGAGGTGGAAGAAAAATCATAACGTTCCATTAGGAAGAAACGTATGTTCTAAGGGAGGAGAACATTTTCTTCTTGGTTGTCCGTCAAGTAGTTTATAAGTGGTACAAGTAATTTATAAGTACATAAGTACACGCATGCACGTTAATTGTCATACATCAGTTTACCTTCTATTTTGTACTTTAGATTTTTTTAACGTGCACTCTTCGACACGAATTGCGCTTTAACCTTCGTGTGCGTCTTCTCCTTTTACGTTCTTACTTATTATATCTATATATGTTATTTCGCAACAGTCGAATCACTAAGTCTAATCGCTACATGAATAGTCGGGCATTCATTGAGCTTCTTTTGTAATATTGAATACAACAGCGACGCTGTCAAATTTGACTACCCGGATACCCGGGTCTTTCGGTATCTGAGTAAATACGGCGAATTTCAAACATTATTATCTATTAGAAAAGTCAAGAATTTGTAACATCTGAAATTAGCCGCAAAATCAGTCACTGAAAGACTCGGATACTCGGATACTTAGTCAAAATTGACAGCACTAGATAGTAGTATCGTGAGATACGTCTTCGATATTAACAAACTTTGGCACAATGCAAAATATTAAAACGGTGATAAATATTTCGCAAATTTTTATTAGAGAAAACAAACTTTAAATAAAACCGATGTAATAATTTTCTTAACCGTTGCATTCAAGCGCAGCAGAATACACTTAAAGTCAGTCGGAGTGACGTCCCTAAAGGTTTTGTATGTTTCCGTTATTAAGTAACGAAATTCCAAGCTTTCTCATCACTCTGTAAATTAATATATATACCTCTCTCTCTCTCAATATGTGTGTGTGTGTGTATGTGTGTTGAGTTTAGCGGAATAACTTAAGCAATTCAAATAATATTCTTAAAATTAATTAAAAAAAAACACAAACAGAGCAACTTCGACTAGAGTTTGATCACCTGAATAAACATTTAACTATCACGTCAAACAAATTTTCGTGTAGTTCTCAATTGGAAGAACAAATTAGAATACAATATGTAAGCCGCAAAATACATCATTATGTGTAAAAATCTTTATCTAGGCATTTGCACGCAAAATTTTATCGTCGTGTTTTACGCCGTATTGACTACTCGAGCAACGATCGCGTGTTGTCCAACCGAGACACAAATATGACTCAATATTCAGAATTATATTTACAACTATAATGTTCTTCCTATTACATAAACCGACAAAACGCATTCTCATGCAATATCGTTCCGTCATTTCTGCTTCACTTACTTTGTTAATTACCATAAAAAGAAACATGCTTATTTCCCAACCTATTACGTATGCAACAGTTGCAGAACAATGTATGACGAGAAGGCCATTTTCATTGTATTTACAAGTGATTCGTGAAATTCATGATAGAACACCGTGACCAAGTGTAGTATTAAAAATCTATTCTGCTTCGAGGGTGTCGTCACAACCAGAATTCTACCATTCCTCTGATACGCTAAGTCTATTGGTTGAATATCCTGCATAACGCAGAATATTCTACGTATGGAACTCTCTCCGCATGATTTTAAAGGCACCTAGTGACCGAGGTGTTTCGAGTTTCCTAACAGACTAAATAATTCGCTTAATATTCTGCAAATGTGATTGCCTTTAGCATAATTCTATCGCATAATTCTAAAAGAGATTGATTCGAACTCGATCGTTCTGAGAAAGAAAGATCATTTTTGGCTCTCACGATATTTGAATCTAGAACAATGTGGTCCGATATATATACCCTTTCCCTTTCTTAGACCATTTTAATTATTCCGGTAATTAAATCCCCATCAATTCAATCAACCTCGGTGACAGTCGAGGATTACACTTGAAACGATCAGCCGGTCAGATTCACTAAGAAAGCATGAAAACGATGTCTCGAAAATACGATGGAACTATGTACATAATCTCACAACCTGACGAGCATATTTAGAGCCAAGTAACCAGTTAATTGAGATTCAGCGTGACGTGATACGGAGGCCGCCATACGGCAGCTCATGGCAGTAAAAGTGCTAACGTAAATAATATTTCGAAGAACGCGGTGCACCTCTACCATATCCTATCATTTTCATTTGCTTAAACGAAAATGGAATACATACATCTGTTTCTGAGAAACGAAAAATGACGAATCCTAGACTTACTCACTGATAAGAAGATTCGCTAATCGTAACGTTCTTCTGACCTAAAAAAAGAATTAATTTAAATTTACACTCTTGCTTATCAGAAGCAAGATTTCCTTAAAACAAATACGATGTTTCTGTTAATTCCAATTCACGAGCTCGTGAATGAGGTTTCGTTGTATAAACTGATATTTGGTTATCTTATCTGCAAAATATATTATTAAGTAAGAATATCGACTGCGGTATCGCTAATAGGCGCGCTAGGAGTCAATTAAGGCTGGCGTCGCAGGTGACAATGCTGCTGATATCCTCGTGACCAGAGTGTGCGCATATGGACACATATAGACACACGGACGTATAGACACGTGGATTCGGGTATGACGAGAATGTCGGTAAACATTGAATCAAATGATTGATCGCCAAGTGCGACGGTTGTTTATGGCGGCGCTGAGTGGGGGGGCTGGGGTCAGCAATTTGAAACAGCGCTATGCTTCTCGTCGGCGTAATAGGATACCGTTACCACATCGCCACCTACGTTGATCAGGCACTGACCCTGGGAACATCGGCATCAATCAGGTTCCTGTTAGTTTTTCATGATCAAATACATTCAGACTGATCGCAAAATTGTGCAATTGATAAGTCTTCAGACATATTTTGTCATATTTATCAGCCCTTGGTTTAAAGAAAGAATAATAGACCTTCAAGAGCCAAAGCACAGATTTCCTAATGTTATTAAATATTAACATTATCAATAATATATCTCGGCAAAAGGATATAAAGCTTATATGTGTATTGATTATTCTCCGGTCTACGTACGCGGAGAATCAACCTTCCACGCCGAGCGAATGCTTTATTTCTTTTAATTCCTCAAGGGACTATGCCATAAAATGCCAATAAACTCATCCGTCTATCCAATATTTATTAATTTCTTCATTCTGACAAAAGAGAACAAGCGCATGGAAAAAGGGGGGGAAGACACTGAAGTAAAAGCGATGTTCCGACTTACTTGATTTTTGTGTGGGCTATGAAGAAGTACACACTGCGTCATTGAGAACGCGACCATAGCGTTACCCCCTAATGCTGTGATGTGGGCGCGAACGATTGCGAGAACTTCCATTACGAAACTGTGAGTGAAACCACTCAGTCCACCATTCTATTCACACACACCATCGTCGTTAACGATCACTCTATCACGACTTCAGTATTTCGTGAATTATCTAATTTAAGGAGGAGGTAATTTAACAGGAAAAAGCTCACCTCCCGTATAGATGTACTTTCGCGGATGAAGAAGAAATTTAAGTTGCCTTGGTATCTCTCTATCCTGCCACCCGGCAGGTAAGATAAAGGTGTTATGTCTACGCCGTATCTCCCTTTCAAAGGCACCTGCAACAGAGAGTAAAATGAAAATTCACTAAAAACTCGGCAGAATAAATTAGAGCTCAGTAGAAAGTAAGAAAAAAGAGCGAGAGAGAGAGAGAGAGAGAGAGAGCGAATAACATTAAATCAGGATACATTTAAAGGAGGAATTCTCACATGTTTATGTCTGTGAGTCGCAAACGTCTTCGAACGTAAAGGCGAACGTGGCCTCGGCTTCTGCATAGAAACGCTGTTTGAAACTGCGAAGCTTCCCACACAAGTGCGAACCGCATTGTCGGATGCGACGTTATTATCCACGTGATCCTCATCTAGGCTAAATATCATATCACTGTCATCTAGCGGAAAGAAAACAAACAGCGTTATTAAGTGTTCGACGAGGAGGGAGGAGAGGGTAATTCCACATGTCACGTAATATTGGAAGGGGGCAAATATTTTGCGATGAAATTATAAAAAAGGGAAAGAGGGGAAGGTAAAAAAAAATATCCAAATTTAGCGTGACGTAATCATCAAATGGCCCTTAAACGCAGTTCGCGTGCGGAATTGCTTGAAGAAGTACCTGACTTCCTCACTTGATCCTTGCTCAAGGAACGACATACGATTTTCTTTTTGTATCTGTCCGTTCTCAGGGGTTCTCCCAGTCCAAGCGCCATGCCGACGACGGTTACTTGTATCTCATCCTGCTCGGGTAGCGCTACTCTGAACTGCATATCGCAGAGCGCGCAGGGAACCATCCTCCTCAGCTTAAAGCATAAGGACTGAAACAAAGCGGGATTGCGCGTCACAACGAATGTAGCATGTAGTCATGTTGCATCGCACGGAGCGGTAACGCTACCTGAAGTAATCGGGCGAAGAACTTGGACGGCATCGTCGCGGACTGTCCCGCGGGAATCTTCGTCCTCGAGACTTGCGTAAACATCTGCAAATTTCGGACGATTTCCAAATCCTCCAGGCCGGGAATCGTCTGCGTGTTTACCACGTGAAAGTCGTCGGGCGGCCTGTCGTCCATCAACGACGATATCCGATCCAGGTCCTCGATGTCGTCCACCTCCAAGACGCAGGTGTCACGCGTACCCATTCCGAGGTCAAGTTCCGGTAAGTCCTCGTCCGACTCGTCCGTATCGGAAGTACTCGTGATGCGTGCGCTTTCTGCTTCCTGAAATCGCGCAAAATTGACGACGGAAAGATAAACGTTAGGACACGCTGCATCGCTGACATGAGAAGGTTTGAAACGCGACAACGACAAGTTTATATTTATACATAGTTCCGTAGGAGAGATACCGCGCGCGTTTACGTACGCCGGTGGGCTTCAGGTGATAAAACTCCCGATTCTTCTTCACCGTCTCCACGATGGACTTTTGAATCTCCGCCAGTTGCTCGTCGTTGTGCCACGAATTACCGGACGCTATTTTCGGGACGATGGGCGGCGGCAACGCCGTAAGGTAGAGCGCGGTGCCCACCGCCATACCGATTATCAGACGCTCCCCCACGGAGACCTGCAGCCTGAGGCCGAAGATCGCGTTCATGCCCTTCATCCGGAGCTTGTTCAGCAGCAGACTGTGGAGCTCGTACTCCAGGAAGGGCAGGCAGTCGGATATCTCCTTGGCGTTCAGCTCGCCCCGCAGGTCCTTCTTGTTCTTGCACACGGTCGCCTGGATGAAGCAACCCCTGCCGGTCGTCGGTATGTTCGCCGGCACTTCGATCGTCGTGAACATCACGTCCGGCACCCGGGCGCGCTTGCATACGGCGCACTTCGACACGTTCACGCGGAACGGCACGCTCTTCTCGCTGTACGGCAAGTGGCAGAGGTTACACCGCAACTGAGCCTGGCCGCAAGGCCCCTCGTGATCGTTGTTCTCCGAAGAGTGCCTGCACGCTTTGCCGCTCTGCCGTTCCGAGTGATTCGCCACCGGCGTCTCGCCGTCGGCCTTCTCCGTCTTCGTCGCCGCCGGCTTCAGCTGGCCTTTCTCGCGATCCGAGTCCACCGAGGCCGCCGTGCCCAGCTGGAGCTTGTTCATACCTACCCCGTCCGGTTCCTGGGCCGAATTGTGCAGGTTTATGACCGCCGCCGTGCCGGAGGCGCTCAACACGCACACGTCGTCGCTGTAGGAAAGGGTCGTTCGTATCAATGATGTGTGGAACATTTGATTTAGAAAGAGTATGTCAGAGTGTGGTATAGAACGTTACTGAAAACCGATTACACCGATTCCGGAAATAAGTTCCCGAACAATCTCATCGGTGTAACTGAACTTTCCGAATCAGGCGAAACAAGGAGGAAACTTGACGCGTGTCCGCGAGCGTTTGAATTCTCGTGACGTTTCGCTTCGATCGGTGCTACAACCTGCGCAACGACATCTCACCATATACTGGTTTCTTCTTTGTAGCCTATAACTACGTTGCAAGCCAACGCTCTCGCGTGTGATCTAACTTCCATTCTGATCTCGGTCCACCAAGCGTCACGGCCCTCCGGCTCCTCCAGGTTGCTTATCCTCTCAAGCAGCTTCACCGATCTCGAGCTCACCAGACCGCCTATCTCCAGATATATAATTCAGTTTGTTGTGGCATTCGGCCTGACGTCAACGGTTTCCCTTCGTTGGAACCGTTTTAATTTTATTCACTAGCTACCAATTGGACGCGCTATACCTTAGATCGAGGGTACGGAATCCAAGACATGTAGTATGAGCTTAATTACCTATATGTAGTATGAAGCCAGGCGGATAGTGTTGCATGGTAATGAACGGGTACTCTAACATTTCCAAGGTGTCCTGGTTCATGGATCTAACTACCGCGGCCGGTGTCCTTAACGGTGCTGCCATCGATCTATCATTGTTGCCAAGAGAGTTACCTGAGACAACATGATCGTTCCTCTCATCCTCACTTTCTTCCCTCTTATAAACTAATTTTTTTCTTCTTAATTAAAAGTGGCTTAATTAAACTGATTTAATGAAAAGTTACTTAATTAGAAGTGATGAAAGACCATTAATATATCGCTGGGGTACGTATGCACGTAAAAAGAGACTAAAAGTTTTCTTATTATAAAAAATAAAAAAAAAGAAAAACCTGAAGCTTCGAAAAAAAATCTCTCAATATCTTGATACTTTTCTTATCGTCTTTTAGTCGTCTCTATGATCATCAACCGATTCTATCGTGACTACATGCGGTCTCATTAAAGCGACGAGAATGTCCATTTTTATTTTAAAAATTAGGTTTATTATAAAAAAAAAAGAAAACCTATAAAAATGACTGGGACTTTCGGAAAAGTCTCGCATTATCTTGATATTGTTCTTTAGTCGTTTGCTATTAATCGATCGCTGCACAGGGAAAAATAAGCATCGCCGGACTTTCCGCCCGGGAAGGGGGAGCCTACCTTTCGGAGTGACGCTCAAGTCGGAATCGCTCGACCTCCTGTGAAGCGGCACGCTGGCGAGCGTTCTGCTCGCCGGCGACTGGGAGACCTTAGCCGCGACGGACGGGACGGCCGGGAGCGGATAAGACGGGCTGATCGAGGACGCCGCCTCTTGGTCCTGCTGCCTAAGATCGGGGAAAGGACGGGACACACACGAGTTGTAAGTCATATTAGCCGTGTTAGTGGGCTCGGTGTGATCGATGTGACATAATGTTTCGCCTAGATTACAGACGCTACTGCATTTGCGTATCGCGACCGCGTCGCGGCTCGCGGTCGGTTCGCTGGCCGCGTTAGGCGACACGTCGCTGCGGCTCTCGAGCGGTCTCTTCGAGATTTCGGACGCGTCGTCCGCTCGACTCGAGCCGGCTGGTGTGCGCGTATGATTAGGAGGATTATGATGACGTCGGTGGTGATGATGGTGATGACGACGGTGGCGACGACAGTCGGCCAAGCTGGGGAGGGAGGAGCCGCAGGAACGGGGGCGGGACGAGGGTACCGGACGGTGGCCCGAGGACAGGCAGTCGGGGGTGGAGGAGACGCGGGGCACGCGGAAGGAAGCGTCCCTCTCCTGATGGCGTCTCCTCGTGGACGCGCGCGAAGGAGACGACCTCTCGCGCCTCCTCCGTCTGCTCCTCAACGAGACGGCTCTCTTGACGCGGCGCGTCGACGCGCGCTCAGCCATCATCTTCGTGTCGATCAACCTGATCAGGTCCAACATGCACCTCTGCCTCTCCGAGGTCAGCCTGGAGCGCCTTTCCCCGTGACGTGGCGAAGCTGCGTCGGTCGTCCTCCGCGGCGCGTCCTTCTTCTCGTCCAGCGACGGGGATTCACCGGGTCGCGCCGATCGCCTCTCTGCCTGCGTGGGCAGGCTACGCGCCCGACAGAGATCTCGTTGATGCCGCGTGAGATGCACACGGTGCGTCTTTTCCTGGGACGAGCCGCGTTGCTCGTCCTCCTCCACCCTCAGGCTCGACTTGGCGGAGGCGTCTTGGACGTCTCGCGGCTGATCAACGGATGACAGGGGACCGTCGGTGTCCGTCGGGTCGCGCGACCCGTCCGGCGAGGCATCCTCGTCGCTCGGTAACAGTCGGCACGCGTCGACATCCGAGCAGCTCTCGTGGACGTCCACGGTGATGATGGGGATGATCTCGTCGGGTCTCCCTGTGCCCCCCGGCACGTCCGAGTCGACCTGCAGGGTGGAGCGGGTCCCGTTTCTCCGGTGGGTGCTCGGCGAGCGTCCCGCCCCGTCGGACCCGTCGAGCGAGTATCTCGAATCGTGCAGGATGTTGTAGCTGGTGTTGTCCTCCGACGAGTCGTCGTCCGGGCTGTCTTCTTCGTCAAAGGAGGACGCCTCGGTCTCGCCGGTCGACGACGAGGCGTCCTGCTCGAGTTGGGTCTTGACGTCGCCGGCTTCTTCCTCGCAGCAGAATTTACTCTCTTCGTCGCGGGGCTGCTCGTTGCTGGAGGCAACGATAGACTCGCCGATCTTCACCAGAGGCATGGTCTGTATGGATCCGATGAGCAACGCGGCCATTACCTTACCGGCCTTCGTTTCCTTCAGGCTTCTCGGCTCCCTCGGCGTGGGGTTGCGCACGCTCACGATGAAAGATCGGACCGGGTCGGCGAGGCAGTTCTCCTCGCCGACCGGGTCGAATTTGTCGCGAAGGCTTCGGATCTGTCTGGAGAGCCGGTTGTTGGGCGACTGCCTCCTGGTGGAGTCTTCCGGCGGAGCCAGCATCGTGCGCAGAGATTTCACCGTCTCGTCGATCAGACACTCCGGCGTGGTGGGTTCAGGAGCGCCGAAGGTCCTCAGGCTGAGGGTGCTCGAGGTGTTGGAGCGGAAGAAGGGGATGCGGGGTCTCTTGTGCGTCGCGTGTCCGGGTGTCTCCAAGCGCGTTAGCGAGCACGAGGACTTGGCATGGGAGAACGGGAGACGCGTCCTGTCCGCGAGTCTCGTCGGTATGCGCAAAGGGTAAGAAGCGGGAACGGGAGTGAAGAGCAGCAGCGCGCTGTCGTCGGGAGGCTCGGTTTTAGTGCGTGGAGGAAGCGCGAGCGCGGCACTCCTACGTAAACGCATGCAAGTGGGAAGGACAGAAAAATAGATCCATTAATTTTCGCATGAGCCACGCAGCCACGAGAGCGTGAGAGTGGTGCGCGAACGAAGACAAAGAAAACCCGGATGAGGAAGGACGCTCCTCCTCCGAGAAGGAACACAATTATTCGCTCGGCTCTCTTTAGCCGAACTGGCTGCACCAGTTCAAGAAATTTGCGCTGAAATGCACACTGAAACATGAGAATCTCGTACGTATGACTCAGTGTGTACGTAAATTTCTTGGATCGGTTCGGCTAAAAAGAACAAACCACCTACGTTCATCACAGGAAATGATCGGACGGCGCTCAAGGGGATGCCGAGGTCGACGACGAACTTGATACACGTCGATAACGCGGAGGCGATCTTCAAAATGTTATGTTGCGTAAACACTGATACAATCTTACTGCCTTTGTATTTCTTGTACGCTATCTAATTTTGTGCGGCCCGTGCAACGTAAGGAGAGAAATCGGTATTTCGCCGGCGAAGTTTTCAAGTATAGCACCCCCTTAAGACCTCCGTTTCCTCGCTGCATTTATCCTGATTCGTGACACCGTGAGAGAGAAAACAAATGTCCCAAATTCTTGAGGAATAAAATTGAAGTAAAAGGCAACGTTAGAGACGAGAAAGACACACGTCGCAAGAATTTTGCGAGTGTGTGTTTCTCGTTTCTAACGTCACTAAGCAACGACTGCAACGAGGGACTTTAATGCCGCAACGATGCAAGCAATGGGGAGAACGATGAAGGATAATCAACAGCGCGATCCTCGTTTACCTAATTGCTTAGATTCGATTAATTCGATCGGTATGCTCGGATATCGCGCGTACCCCCAGCCGTGAGACAGCATGCCTATAACGGCCACATTTCCTTGTACGAAATTCTCGAAATAGCTCGTTCGCGAGAGAGCCAAGTTTATGGCCGTCTGTTATGCCGAGTTGGCGACACGCTTAATTCGCCCGTGCGATGCCAGACGCAATTGCGTGGTAACGTGTCGTTTATTGCAATGGTCCGACCGATTATATTTGACACTCTTCCGTGCCGATAATCGTTGATTGGACGTCTAAAAGTACTTACTCTTCGATGTTGACGCTGTCGCAGGGGAAGCCGAGAACATCGTGCAGCTTTACGAGCGTGACCGCCGTACCAATGCCTCTCGCGACGATACCGGACTCGCCTTCCAGATCGAAGTTTTGCAGATACCTGATCAAACGGTATCGGACGATGAAATAACGATAAACGACGAAACGGGGGCTATAAGCGATATATGAATAAATTTCATTGGAAAAATAGGAGGAAGCCTACGCACCCTATCACAGCGTTTCCACCGAGGTCCAGTGCTTTCAATCCGATCTTCCTCTGGACCTCTCCGCTTAACTTGAAAAACAGCGTCTGGCGCGCCTCGTTCGACGCACGGGGAGTTCTTATTTTATCGATCCACTGATATTCCGGGTCGTCGCTAACCACAAGCTCCTCCACGAACCCATGTATCATCTGGGCGTGATATCCGTACGGTATATTTGGCGCTGAAACGATATCGAGATCATTATTACCACCTATGGTAATCATTTCTCTCGGAGATTGCGAGTACATCCGGACCGAGTTGCCAGTTGTGCTTACAATAGAAAAATAGCACTCCGCAGGAGGACTGCCTAAACTTGTTGAAGTCGGAGAATAACTCCACCTTGATAATAATATTCACTTCGCCGCGTATGCCATGCATTGTGTCGTACACAGGTATCCATCCGGTCATAACTGATCCTGCGAACAAATGTGTGAATTGCAAGAAATATTTCAGAAACGGTATAAAGAGCGATAAATAGGTTTTGCATTATATATATAACGCATGTATCACCTTGTGAGCCAGCACTTGTGTTCATAGCTGCCTCCAGAGTCCAAATATTTTTTACTGGAGGTAGCATACCAGGTAACAATAGTGGATTCAAGTTTATGTAAACCTTGCCTATCGCGTCATTCGCAGAATACGTATCGTGATCCATCAGCCTGATTTGCAACGGCTCGTCTTGCAATTCAGCGTCGTCAACCTCGAATTTATACCACTCAGAATTCCACTGGGGATTCAGAGATTTTCTGCACACATCCGTCTTATACGTTATATTGCCAAACTTTAGTTCCACATATGCATCGGTTGTGTCGCCGGAACGATCCATAACAGGCAGATTACGGCCTGCTAATATTTTCACCTTTATTTTACCAGGCATCGCGTTACCTTAGGATTCAACAGACGATCTGCAACAAAGTACATTTGTCCATCAATATCAATAATTGATACGGTCAGAACATTATCAATTTTTGCTTCACGTCCGCTTTGCTGCTGTTAAATATTAAAGCATATATTTATTCATATGTTTAGGCCGACATATAGAATATTGCAAACAGTGTCAACTGCTTGTTTTTATTTGAACTTTGAGTAAGCTCGATCTTGAAATATTTTCAAAACAGATGCGCAAAAATCTTCTGAGATAAACCAAGATACCTTTACTTCGTCCCAGAGAAAGTTTCATGCAAAGAATATAACTTTCAAAATTCTCAACCGACGTACCTCGATACACGTTCGCTTAAATAATTCCCAGGATATTACGAACAACAAGTAAAGGCTCGTCAGACACTTTCTTAAGGCAATAGAAGCGCGTACTGCATTTGATCAAATTGACGTTTCACGAGCAATAATGAATATTTTGTCAATGACTAATTACATCTTCTCGATCAGCAATCGCGATCTCACATATCTCTCTTATCCTTGATACAAACTGGCAAATCGCACAATGCAAGAAAATACACGGCTCCGGCGAAACGCGTGACAGAATTTGCCTGACGATTTCGTTTCGCCAGGATAGAGTAGGTTAGAGGTCCGCTGCGATTTTACCGACGATCCATAAATTTAACTACTGTTATGCATCCTATGTGTGTCTCATTCCGACCCCGATTGAACCAATTCGCAGGGTGAGAGCACTTAATTGTAAATTATGTTCGAGACATTCGTCTTGAGACGCGCGCATATTTCTAGTAATGGAAAAAATGTATACTTTCGGATAATTTTATTTCTGCCTCGCATCGGTAACAGGTCACATTAATGAATACAGACGAGTAGTCGAATATATTACAATACGTAAGGAACACCGCATAAGCGAAATTTCTCTCTTAAGCATCTGCAATGTACGATGTGTTGTTTCAGTACATACATATATGTATAATGCATGTAATTAGCTCGATCATTTATCAAGCCATAACACAGATATAATACAATTAAAATACTAGTGTACAAAAAAATAAATAAACTTAAGTCGCACTATATTCACATTCATGAACTATGCACGAAGTAATACAATGTGTACGACAAGCTGTCGCACATCCTAATAACAAATCGCATAATCATCGACTTATCTCATAATTGGTACTATGTATGAGTAAAAGCGCGATACAATCCGTAATAACGCGCTTTACCTGGCTATCGTTGTAATTATTCTTTGATGGTGGTAGAATAAATATATATCAAGCAATAATCCTGGAATGATCTTACGGAGCGTGCCGACGAAGGGAGTAGCGGGGATTATTGACAAGTATTGACTAAATCGGCAGTCCTCACAACTAACTATCGCATCACGTCTATCCGTGATCTTCGAGACATATACTGACAAATATCGAATATGTGCACGGTCATTGATTGCATATAATATACATGTGCAATTGAGAATGCACTCAACAATAAATATTCGGCGTCATATACGAGAATATAACAAGTTTATCTTTATATATATATATATATATGTATGTGTGTGTATGTATATATATATAACTATATTATTGCTATTCGATAATTAATAATGGAGACGTAAATTTCCCGCAATAATCCTGATTAGGAAACATCGTTCCAGAACATCATTGTACATTCAAGATATTAATTTCTCAACGCCCCTCCCCATATAATAAATAAAGCAAATTACGTAATATAACTGCACAAGTACATTCAGTTTGCTGCTTGCGGCTGCTTTTGTCGTCGTCTCGCGTCCGATCCTAGCGATACTCAACTTCTTTCTCTATCTACGCTATAACAAACAGGGGGAAGATCGAGGCTAGTTGACTAAAGGGTTAAGTTGGCTAATTGATTATTTCTATCGTTTTCTAATAGGTTGCAGAAACGAATGAATAGGGATTTCATCACTAACTTTGACACGTTTGAAATCTCTGCTTGCTCGATTCGGTAAACTATTAACAAACAATAATCAATAATCAATTAGCTAATTTACCCCTTTAGCTAACTAGCCCCCCTCACTCCAGTCTCACTTACTTTTCATTTAATGATACAAGACACCATTTTGTCTGTTCCGTATTCGATGAGTAACAAAGATAGGATGATGCTTGTGCCGACTTGCGTCATCAAATGGAAAACACCCAATCAAGATTATAACTTAGAGAGAAAGAGAGAGACGCTAATCTTCGCGTCGAGCTGCCAAATCGGCGGTAGACGGTGCAATTATCTTTGCAACAGCTAATGTAAATAACCTGCTTTGCAGCTAACTTTGTAAGTACCTTGCTTTGTAGCTAATGTAAGTTCTTCGCTACGAATGTCTTCCTGCGATTTCGTCAATCGTGTATTGAAGATACGTAAGGCATGTAAGGAAGAAATGCACTTGATAGAATGCAACAGACGATTCTTACGCTAAAATCAGGTATTGCGTTTGCCGTGTACCAAACACTTCCTCTACCTCTTTACGTAGTAACTGTACAACAGTCGCGCACATTACTATGTAACAATCGTATATTCAATCGAGTCGCAGCAAACTATGATTATCTTCAAATGCGTGCATATACACAAGCCCGAACAAATTGACCTATTAAGCTCTTAAAAAGACGCAAAGCGAGGAAATCTGTCCCTTTGGGTTTGCCATTATATTGCGGTGAAATTTAAGATCGAATGGAAACTAGACCAATACACTTATTACACGAAGAGCTACTACACGAATCGCCTCGACATATTTCCTTCTCAAGTTTTTCGCTTACGAGACCGATCGCTTAGGTACCTGCTGTGACTGTGGTCCGCGTTCGTATCTCAAAATATGGAGTTAACACGCGTTTCTGGATATGCACCGCAATGGAAGCTAGTGTTATTCTCTACCTAATACAGTAACTTGTCGCGACACACGGAGGATCACACCAGTGTCATCGACTACGTTTCGTTCTACGTCTACATAAATTACTACAATCCGAGGGTGCGTTCGTTTCGAACGGTTCGATCAGAGTCGCTTCGATCTGAACGGCGCGAAGAAGGCAAAAAACGAATGGATGAATACATATTAGGGTTCACAAGCGCCCGCGCGATCCCTCTGTATCTACGTTTTCCAAACTAACGCAGCCCGAGATGGAATACTTCTTATTCTAGGCCGCCTTCCTCTTCCAGCTTCGATAAGAATTTCGGGAGCCTGTAGCTCGGCTCCACTTGACGTGCCATGTCTATCAGGCACAACAATTTCTTAATACCGATGAATATGCTGCAATCATAATGATAAATCAGTCGACTGGCTGACTGCACAACCATGCTATATGCTAAAATACATATAAGTGTGGATCTATAAGTATAGTAAAATTTTAGCCTTGTACGTATTTATAAAATTCGATCGAACAATTGTAAAGTAAGAAAACTGGTGCATTACCGTTTTCCTTGAAGTTTGGCGTGCAAAGAAGCCACTTCGTGCTTCGTAAATAGATCAACTTCTTCCAGGACACTCAGCAGATGGTCAGGGGTTGACAAATTAGGCACATGAAGAATGGTATTAAATGCCGAGAGTATTTCTAACTCGTCTAAAACTTGTCTGCGAAGAAAGTGTGTATTCAGAGTGACACAGTCAGCATTGTAATTTGAGCCGTACGCGACCACGCGAGGTAGAAACTGCTTATACTTACCTGCGACTGGAAGTGCATAGAATCAACAATTTACGACCAGGTGGTGGTGACTTCTTCAGTAACAGCAGAAGCGCTTGCAATGTCAGATTGGAATATCTCGGTCCGATCGGGCCGTAATCCAAAAGTCGTTCTATATTATCGACCAAAATGCAACTGAGTTGCGAACGATATGCATCGTCGAATACCTAAAATATATAAACACGCGGATTTTTAGCGATCATGCTCGAAACTTGAATATATGAGAAATAAAACAGAATAGAAAAGAGTTTTCTCGTGAATAAATATCATTTTTATCATTGTTATAGAAAGAAGACATTACCTTCCGTATGGAGAGACATTTCGCAGACTCGATAAAACCGACCATATCCTCGGGCGTGCACACTTTGACGAACGGGAAGTCCGAATTCTTGGCGATTTGCGCGGCCAGTGCAGTTTTCCCGCTATTCGGCGGACCTTCCAAAAGAACAGACACAAGACCGGATCCCTCGGTTGCGCGGGCTTGTTGAATGCACAGGCTGCCGTCAGCGAGGATATCGGCCACTGGCCTACCCCAGTTGATGATTCCGCGTGTCAACAATTGACCCAACAACTCAGCGCTCGTGCCAAATGCCTGAAAGATGCGCGAGGTCAGCCTGCAAATCTTACGCACGCTGGAAATACAATGGAAGGTCTTCCAACTTACCGGCTTGACATCGTGCTCCAGCGCGTGGAAGAAGTCACCTTTGGTGACCATCAGTTTTTCCATCGCGGCCGGATCCACCTCTACCTTGCTGGAAGCTTTTATCAGACGGTTCATGGCGGTACTCTGAGCGGCTCTGACCAGACCTTCCAACTCCGCGCCGCTGAAGTTCTTCGTCAACGTAGCCAGTTCTTTCAGATCCACATCGCCCGCAATTTTCTTGTAGTCCCTCATTCGCGCCGTATGAATATTGAGAATCTGGTACCGTCCGTGTTCGTCCGGTAAGCTGATCTCCATTTGCAGCTGGATGAAAAGTCGAGATATATTTAGAATACGTATCGCATGGTTATACATTCCCAAGCAAATTCAGTCTCACCTCCAATCTGCCGGGTCTCAACAAGGCTTCGTCGATCATGTCTCGCCTGTTGGTCATGCCAATGATAAGAATGTTATTCAATTGTTCAACACCGTCGATCTTCGCGAGCAGCTGATTCACCACGGTGTCGTGCACCCCTGTGTTCCCGGCGACGCTACCTCGAGACTTGCAGATTGCGTCTATTTCGTCAAATATAATGATGTGAAGTCCACTGTTCGGTCCAAGCTAAAAGCGGGAAGATCGTTCTATATCTCTTTCCTCGATACGCGTAAAGTATACGATTGGAATTTTTGCGATTACGAGTTTATGTAACAGCGGAATTTTTCAACTGTTTACCCTCTTTTCTTCATCTTCCGCGTCGGCGAACAATCTTCGGATGTTGGCTTCACTCTCTCCGACATACTTATCCAAAATCTGCGGACCGTTTACAATTTTCGGTTCTCGGGCGTTCAACATCGTTCCTATCTGACGAGCCATCAGTGTTTTGCCCGTACCAGGTGGCCCATACAGCAAGATGCCTTTCACGTGCTTGCAGCCCATTTGAGTGACAACCTCCGTCGGGAAGACACGGGATGCGAACGCTCTGCGGAAAATCGCGCTGAATTCCTTATCCAAACCGCCGATCCCCATTTTCTGGAAGTCCCAATCCGGGTTGATGATCGTCTGTCGAACAGCTTTCCCCTTAGCTTGCCCGACGAGGTTCAGGCTGGAGTTTTCCGCTTTCTCAAATTGTATTATGGTGTCACCCAGGCATCGGCCCAGCCTGGTCTTCTTGGGCACAGTGTTCTGTCCTGAACTGATAGCCGACAGGTCAGCAGCCTCCAAACTCTTGACAACCAATCCAAGCAGTTTCTTATCTTTAAATTGGAATGCCAGCTGCTGACCCACGGTGAATGCCTGGCCTGAAAACTGTAGCAGGAAATCCTTGGCCATCTCGTCTGTGTTGTATGGGTCCAAAGTGACACTGGAATAACAATTAAAAGAAATTATGAAAGAACTGGTTAAAAAGTCTTTATTCTTAATTGTTTCATCTTATGTCTGTTCTTCTTTGCTGAATTAGTGCAGTACTTATAAAACTTAAGAAGAGACAGATATGCAATAAAGACTCGGCGAAAGGAAGAAAAGAAGAGAACCAGTACAAGTTAGTGCAGCCAATTCAGCAAAAAAAAAAAATAAAAAGAACAGACCTCATACGATACATAGGAATCGTTCAAAGCACATACGTTTTTTTCTGTAGGAAATCAGCTTCTAAAATGATATTGCACAAACATTCTGTGTTAGAAGTCGGGTCAAAGTGATATGGCCGGACCTCGATTTCCTGATTGAGTGACAATGTCGCCCATTTCCGCTGTGGCAAGCTGAAACCGACCGTTCCACGAGGTATCTCATGATGCCTTCTTATGGTAAACACAAAGTGGTAATTTGGTGCAGTAGTTACTTCGATATGCCTGGAATAGACATTAAAGTATACTTAGCAATGAATAATTTATACTGATGTAAAAGCAATTCAAGATATTATATCATGTTCTATACAAATATACAGGAAATATTTACAATATATCTGATAAATTTATATATATGTGTATATATATATATATATATATATATATTCTTGGGAAGTGGTAAAATACGTTAAAAATAAAACACAGTTTAAATCAATAACCATGCCCATACTTTTCTCATGACAAATTCATCACTATATTACGAGCGATTATTCTCATTAAACCATTGTAAAAAATCGATGAAAATAAATGTAACCGCACGGGCGATACATATGGATACGTAAATCGACCTGATCTCGACATGACAGTTCAATTTGCACAATTGACGCCAACAAAACAATGATGATCCCCGCAAGGTATTTTTACCTGACATCGTCGGGGAAATCATCGCCGTTGATAATAGCGCAGTTGGAGAGGGTGAGCTCGTCCGTGGGACATCTCATTGCTTTCATCCGCTGAAGCATGACAAAATTATGTCAGATTTTATACAAGGCGATGACGCGTGGGAAAGCTTCACGAAGGGGAGTATTGATGCGATTTCGACGCGTGAAGGAGGAGGGATGGAGAGCAGCGTGCGAACTGTATGGAAAACTCGTCTCTGTCGTCGTGAATGCGGGAGAGGCTCCGCATTTTCGCAGCCGTGTGACGGGGATTTCGGAGGCGATCTGATGACGAACTTCGTTCGCACGTATACTCACCATGGCTGACATTTTTCCGGACGAGAACGAGCAAACACTGGCCACTGCTGTGATACAGTGGCGCAACTACGCGTCGACAGCTCTGATATTGATGAAAGCGAGCTATCCACGATCATGCGCGAGCGGAGGCGAACGGTCGGTAAGGTAAATCACAATAAATACATTGTGAACACGCTACCTTACTCACAGCGCATAATATTCTGGCGCGCGCATAACATTTAGAAATATATATTAGATATATATTTAGAAACATATCTAAGAGCATTTTTGAAAAGTTTCACTTTATCGAAACCGTTTTTTTAATAATTAACAACTTCTCGAATATTATCAATTAGTTTTTACTATTTAATGTTTAATATTTACTATTTAATATCTAAAGATAATACAATGATTTATAGTAAATATTTAAGGATACTCGCAGAAAGCACACATTAATAATATACTCATTACAGAAATAACGTTTAGAGAATTATCAGACCCGTTATTTCTGTAATTTAGTTCCAGGATCTCCGCTACGAGTCGCCACTATACTTAATGAGAAATCGAGGTTGTGATATGACTAAACGATGGAGTCAGATGAACTTATATATTTCTCAAGTAGTATGACTCAAGGACTGATTAGACATATTTTCCATTGTAATAAAACATAGACGAAATTCAACAGGCTGTAGTTTTCGCAATAATGATGCTATCGTTGATGAGATCGTTTAAGAAGCACTTTAAAGCTTGAAGTTTCTAGTTTTCAACCACATTAGCTATATTAATGTTGTCGTTCATTTTCGTCGAGATATTTTGAGTTGAACGAAAATGGCGACCGTTCAATTTCAAACTTCGTCTTTCAGTTTTCCGAGCGAAAAATTATTTGATTCGAAAATGTGACACAGGCGTTTTAAAGAGGAAACTTTAAACTTTTTTACGTATTTGTTAACGAATGTTGTACATGCATGTGAGATTCTCACGCTTCATTATGCATAAAGTTTCTGAACTAACCAGTTCGGATAAAAGAAACAGACCAAAGGATTGATTGAATTTGAAAGCATCGAGAAAATGTTCGATCCTTTAAGGAGAAGAAAAAATCGATTAATCGAATCGATACTATCGCAATTTGTAAGGTTATGTGATTGCCCCCATTCAATCAGTGTTGTGTAAACACATAAATTAGGCCTTGCCACTTGCGCATTGCTCGCACTATACTTGGCAGATATTAAATAGTGGCATATCATCAGGTGTCCCTTCATCGTCGCGAATTAATTGTGTAGTGATGAATATTCATTAAAGGATGGCGAGTAAAGATGACAGTTCCTTTATTACTGTACCGGGTTTCTGTCCCGACTGCGGCTCGATTCTTCCCTTACTCAGTGACCAAGGAGGAGTTATATGTTATGCTTGCAAAAGAGAATGGGGTGCCGAAGGTATGTCTCGATAAAAGTAAGCAATAAAGTGAAAATGATTACGGAGATATCGTGCAATCAGTTACCTGCAGAGTTGAGCATACATTGAGAATAGTCACAAGAAATTGAAGATGTGCAATTCCTTTTATTTTTCAGTTTTCGGTGACATGGCAATGACGCATACACTTCATTTTAACTCTAAGCATACTTATCGATCCGCGAAAGAAGCGGATAACGAAGACAGTGCAGAAGGGCCAGTTGTAGAACGACGATGTCCTCAGTGTCAAAACGACAAGATGTCGTACGCTACTTTGCAACTGAGATCTGCCGATGAAGGACAGACGGTATTTTACACATGCACCAAGTGCAAGTACGTCTCTATTTGTGGCAATGCTCTCACCGATACAGAAGCATTTATATATTATCTATGTATCATATGTCTTCTTGCATATTCCTCAAAGTATTCAATAACCAATGAATGGTCTTTCTCATTTGTAGATACAAGGAAACGGAGAATTCTTGATGCAATTTTGTATTGTACATACGATTTTATGCCGAACGTTTTATCACAGCGGACATGTTCCTTTTTATTCGATTCTTTCGATGACATATGCGTGCGTGTATATGTTCACTCAGGTGAACATGCATCTATTCACTTTTGTAAGAATAACGAAAAATATTAATGGAATTCTCATAATTGTTTGAACCACAGCATTGAATACGGTGTCCCCAATTCCGTATCTTTGATTGCTTCTAAGGTTTCGTTGTTAAACGTTGTTTACGATCCATGCATACGAGAGAGCTTGCGTCTCTTTAATCCGTGGGATATAAACACCGTCTTTAATAAAACATAGAGCTTTATTTATAATACACTCAACAAATAGTGGTGAAGAGAGTACATCCGTCATAATTTTATAATTCTACTAGGTCGTCATTACTGTATTTCTTTTTTTTTTCTTTCTAACAATGCGACATTACCTTAGTTAAGTGTTCAATTAAGTAATTCTGTATGTACAATGCGCGCATGTCGGGATAAAAGTTAACAATTATTTTAATAAATTCATCTTGATCCACTCTCGAAATTGGTACGGTGGTCCTTGTGTTAAAAAACTTCAATAGTTAGAGAGTTTGTCGATAGTCTTTTGCTTATCCTATGTGTGCATTTACACATCGGCACTAATATCTGCCCGTAATCTAACAATAATAAGAAGTAGATATGCTATCTCATGTTAAGGAAAAGTATGCCAGTGAATTAATCGCTGAACTTCATACGTACACACGGCAATACTTAGATTACGTATACAAATACAATAAGAATACAAAATACAAATAGGATATCAAGCGTAATTGCACTTTCTTAACACTCTGGTATACCCACATCGCACAAGCGCTATAAAATAGAGAAATATGATGCTTAAAATACCTAAGAGACGCATTTTTTTTTCCCTCCATACATTTGGAACACGTGAATCCTCATTCGTTCAAAAAGCGAAAATACGGGGAACCAATGTAGACACGCCTTTGTAAAGTCTGCCTATCTTTGAGGAAACTTCGAGCCGATTTTACCTTGAATTCGAGAGGGATTTTACTATGAGGCATTTAAGGGTATAGAAAATTAAAAAGCAGTTGCGATCTTGCTGGAAATAATCGTGCGTAACAAAGCATTCGTCGCGCGGTAAAATCGACTCTGAAAGTTTCGAAGAGGACAGAGTCGTCGTTAATATGTATGTGTATATGTGTGTGTGCACCACGCATTTGAGACATTCTTATATATTTCATTAAAATAACATGAGGGGGGGGGGGATTATAATATTTTATAACAACAATGTTATAAAACGATGCTCTTATTTCCAAATATTATATATCTGACAGCATATAGTATATGTTTTATAAAAAAAAAACATTATGCCTTTGAATATATAGCTTGCACTATCATAACTCTTTATCTTATTACACGTTCTTTATGTCTTTGTACACGTTATATATATATATATTTTTTTTTTGTAGTGAAACATCTCTCTCAAAATGTGCAACGGTGTTGTTTAGATAACAAAAATAATATGATGTCGCCTAACTATAAATCGTTTACAAAACATTGCTTTTACGTACATCATCGTCGATTCTGAGAGTAGAAATCTTGCTTGCTGCTTTTATGCTGCGGTTTTTCACATTTATTTTCAAGATTTCGAATATTATAACAATCGATCATATGAGACGGCGCTGTGAAAATGCACGGCTCTCTTTTCAGGAGAGGACAGCCCTAAATATATTCCAAAAATTAATCCGCTCGGAAAAAACCCCGCTTTCTCTTGCATGTATACAATTTGGATTTTTACGTATTATTAATTGATTACATTGTGTCGGTGGATGTCATAGAGTTCAATCGATTTTATTTGTACAATATCCTTAGTTCATCAAAGCTTTAAGTAGCACAACAGTATAATTATCTTGTAATAGTAATTGTTAATGTCATATATTAGGGTAATCGATGTTATTAATTTGTTCTTTGTTACACGTAAGAATTTCGTATTTTTGCTGAGTATTCCAGAGCCTTAAGATAACATATATGAGTTCAGAGAATTCATTTTATGATATTAAAATCAAGTTAATGATTCAGCATATCGTAAGTAAATTAACTGTGAATCCAATATCGATAGTTTAACCTTTACATTGTAAATGCTTGGCAAATATATGTCAGATGCGAATAAAAGTAATTTTACACGTCGCGTTCAGTAGGCCGTAATAACTGTCACACTTCGGGGAGCGTAGTCGGTGATAATCTTATTGTCAGACAGTATACGCGCGATACTATGTATCGTGCACTGCAGTTTTCTAAATTTTCTCGTCAACAGGATACCCAATGATCGATGATAAATTATTTGCGGACGAAGCATTCGTGTTTCACAGTACACCGAAAATGTCATTCGACACATTGTTTCTTCATTAAAAATATATCTTAAAATAAATCCCTATGTTTTTCGAAATGTTTTGAAACGAAAAGTATTTCCCTGTCGCTTCTAAGTTGTAGTGCATCGTATTACCGGTACTCATCGAGGGAGAAATGCTTCTTTTCAATTTCGTCTCGAGTGGCATACGAATATCACGTTTGTACATTGCGAAAATGACTAAAAAGCCTATAAAATTCCGGGAATCTAATGACTGAACTCATATATGTGAATATTCCGATACCGTCTAAGAAGCTGCACGAATACAGTAACAAAGAATCGAACGAATCTACCGTATTAATGTCAGAAACGTATGTTACCTCAGATGGTCAAACATATTCACAATTTGATTCGCTCCGAGACAACCGTAAGAGTCCACCAAAAATGTACAAGTGTACGTCCAACGACGATCGTTTCGTGACAATTTCTATCAAATTTCACTACCAATTTCACACAAACTTCACAACTTCGGTAGATCCACCTCATCGGGGAGCTTTGCTCAGATGACGCGATGTCGCCGGCGTCAAAGATTCACAACGGGACCTTTTACGTTGACTTTGTCAACGGTGAAAGGCGTCGCCTCGTGTTTTCACGCGATGACGCGAACTCGACGTTGCATCAAGCTCGACCGTCGTTTGACCATCCGGAGAGAACAACCAGTTTGCGCGGCCGATATACGCGATATTTACGATACGAAAGCGCGAACAAATGAGCGAACTGCAACGAGAAATACCGAAATAGTACCTTTAGTACTTTGTGGGGTCTCGACAGCGAGGCGACCCCGCCGTCATTAGGCCTTTTAATGCACCGTTCCATCGGGTTACCTTAGAAAATGTATCAAAGATGCTTCCCTCACAGACCTGCCCTGTGCAGTTTCGCGACGACTGTTGCCGTAAGATGCGGTCCAGCAAGCACTGCAAATGCTTCGAAATACTCCTCTTTCCAATCCGCCCTTTATTCGGATCCAAAAGATAGATGGAGAGGAAGAAGACATTTCGAAGCGCTTTGTAACGCTTTTATTGGCTTCCTCTACTCGCGCCGTTCCTCCAGTCGGTTCCCACCGCGATTCCCCGCCGCTATATACACTAAACGCTCATATTACATATCGTACATAAACTATGTACACGTGATATAGTATTTACAAGTGTGTAAATGAGGCAGGTGGTATACAGCGTCTAGATTGTCATCACTAATCCGTGCTCCGATCATGACGACGTCTGAAAGCACTCGTCCAGGAAGTTCTCCAGTGAGTGGTATAGGTGTGTCCGCGACTTGTCGATGCCGTGATCCTCGTCCGTGTAAGTCTGCGAAACAATTTGCATTGTGATCGTATTTACTCGATTATCAGCTCTCTCTCTCTCTCTCTCTCTCTCTCTCTTTCGCTCATCGCGCGGCGAAAGAGATCCCAAAGCGATCAAATGAGAACGTCGACACAGACGAGGTAAAGACCATCGGCCTTATGGGATTTGGTGTGCAGGAAAATTTCACTGTTTGTATTTTACGCGTAAATGCCAAATCCTCACTGCAGGAATGCAATTTCACGAAAATATTTAATATACTTCATTGTAAATTTGTAGGTATATATGTCGATGAAGCTTCGAGGTGGCCGTAAATTACAAAATTAATATTAATTATGCCGTAATATTGAAATATTTATATCGTATGACTAGAAATAGTCGGTCAGCCTTCTTCAATTACCTCCGGGGTCCTTCGGGGTCCCCACGAACATTCACCCAGAGCTGAGGGCCTCTAATATTATCTCGTCGACAACGTCAGTCTCAGGGACGTACCTGTTGTCTGAAGAGGATGTCCTTCTGCTCCAAGACTTTCGCGAGCATGAGCGACTGTTGATAGTGCACGTTGTCGTCCAGGGTCCCGTGGATCAAGTAATACATCTTGTTCTTAATGTTCTCGACCTTGTTGAGCAGCTGGCCTTGCTCGTAGCCTTGCAGGTTATCGGTGATGGTCGGCAAGCCCATGAATCGCTCCGTGTAAATCGAATCTGCGAAACGAAACGACGACGCGTCACGGCCGCGTTGTCGAGGGCGGTGCGCGACGTACCGCCACAGGGAATAACCCGCTTATACTCGCGCGGGAAACATTTTATGCGGAAACTGCACAAGTGTCTCACACGCTTCGCATAAGTCTTTTTAATACCGTCCTGTAAATCACGCGAATTTTCCCTGCGCGCTTTAATGAAAGTAATGCCGGCATGAATTTAAAGTGGCTGAAGAAGTCACGTTAAAGCTGAGGCGCGTCTTTCCCACGCGGAGCCATGCTGCTCTTCATTAAAAGTCCGACACGCGGAGAATTCTCAGGCAAATCGCGTAAGGCCAAACGAGCTTAACGTACGCGTTGCAAGTAAGTCGCGATCTCCGGAAATAAACTCTTTCCTGACGACGTTCGTCCGCGGCGAAGAACAGAGCACGAGGGAAAGAGAACGAGCAGCCCGATTTAAAGGCTATTTTATGTCGGCGGATCAATTTCATTTTATCATCTGAGAGAATTGTTCTCTCTCTCTCTCTCTCTCTCTCTCTCTCTCTTCGTGAAATTATTTTAATACTTTGTAGTCCGCCGATGATATAATGTCACGATATGAAAACATTAATATATTAACGATATACACGTACATGTATGATTGAAGGTAGATATGTGGAGAAAAGCAAAAGTGAAACGTACTCAGTGACGTCGAAAGAATTGTAAATAAAAGGGAAGAGAATCACATGGAAATGTCGAAAAGCAATATTCATAATCTCGAAAGATCAATATGCTTACGTTTGACTTTTCTCAGTTAGGAAAAAAAAAACGACTATTTTCGATTGTTTGAAAAACAAGTGCGAAAATTGAAATTTATTATGTTCACTGTGGTAAGAAGAAAGTGTTGAACTTTACGATCAAAGGAGCCAATGTGCTTTAATTTTAACAAATGCTTTTATATCGGCATTTATTTGCAATGAAAAAAAAGTGCGGTTAAGTATGAATAATAGACTCGGTTTGTTCGAGTCAGAGAGAGAGTTTCGTGCGAAGGGCGGGCCGCAAAGTGTTAAGTAAAAAAATCACTTCGACGCGTAAGTTATCGTGGCGCTATAATCTCCAAATCGCCCCATGTCCTGTAACAAATCGGCGTATACACGCACGTACCGTAAAGAGCCCAGTCCGTAACAGGCGCGACGGACATGCCGCACTTGAAGACACCGTCCAGGTCCATGGCTAGTGTCATGCCGGTCGCGTATCCACCGTAACTCCAGCCCCATATCGCTGTTCTAGTACGGTCGATGAAGGGTAATTTGTCCTGCAGACGCCTGCGAAGAACAAGGGGAGAAAAAGCCGCTCTCATTGTAAGTGCTACTCCCGATGGGAAATCGATGTTGTCGGGAAATGTGTGACGTGGAAGGTGGTAGTCGCTCGCGCGATGAAATATCATCGGGCTTACAATGGTGATGGTGTAATGTTTAGATGACTGCGGATAATGTCTTCGATACACTCGAAACTAGATTCAATTTTATATCTTTCAACAGAGAGCTTTAAAGTCCCCCCCTTCCCCCCAAAAAAGGCAAAATATTACGCCGGTCTGGTGGTTTTCTTCTACACATATTTTTTGATCATTATTCGCGTTTGACGTAAAACGAAAGTCAAGAGATGCTTGTTTGACGTTTTACAAAATATGCGGGCGAAAGGGGTTTATTATGCAAAGGGTTCGTGTAATCGATGTTATCAACATTGTAAATTACATCACCGCGGAGGGAGGGTGAAGCCGTTGGTACGCCGGCAGAAACACCTGTACGGAAAATTTTGGAACGACATTAAAAGCCGGGCGCCGAGGGGAGGAATTTCTGTAATGGATTCTTTTGTCTCCGTACATAGGACGATCGCGCCCGCTAAGGCACTACGAAATTGCCCCTCTTTTGCCGGAGAATACCGCGGCGCGCGCTCGTAAAAAGACAATCACCTTTCTCGCTAAAACACGCAGGCGGGATCGCAGTCGACCGCTTTCGCGATAAGAATCGACGACTACACTTTGTAATTTCTGCCCTCATACCCCCTCTCGCCCCTCGCCGTTATCTCGCGCGCATTCCGCGCGATCGTATTATTATGCATGCGACTGATGTGCTTCATATTAAAGGCATACGGCACACAATCGGCTTTCACGAGCGTTTACGCATTACGACGCCGCAGCGACGATCTTACCTTCCTCGAATGAATCTTCTTGAGAAAATTTTCCCGAGTAATTAGCATCTTCGCGGATCTCAAAAGACGCGACCGCTGAAGCACCGCTCTACGGTTTTTCGCGCGACAAATAAGGCTGCGTCCCGATGTATTCACCGCCGGTACATCGAACATTTACAGTTCGTGTTAAAGTGTGAGTGTAAAAACTGAGGGGAAAAAAACAACGAATAAACAGCGAATGCGAACGTTCGATGATACGGTTCGGAAAATGTATATACCTTAACGAATCCGAGAACAGAAGGTTCATGTGAGTATATTGGCACACACGTAGTAAACGAATAACGAACGAGCACGGTGAATGCGAATATTCGTTGTTTACGGGAATATGTATAGTCGCGGAAAGGTTGCAACACTTCTATTTTTTATTACACTGTTAATCATGTATCGGTCAAAGTTAGAAGTACACGATGAAATAAAAACGTAATTACGAGGGACATTTCGAGGTATGCATCTCGAAACGGCCCCCGTGATTACGTTTTTATTTCAACGTGTACCTCTAATTTTGGCGATACCTGGGTTAACAATGTAGTTTCGGAACGCATCCCCGTGTCACATGAGAGAATTTGTTTTTCAGTCTCGTTCTCAGGAAATACATCTTCCTACCGCGATGCGAAATGCGTTACGAAACGCGCGAAAACGAGAGTGAGATCTCGCGGAAGGAACGTTCCTCGAGATCGAATGCGGCCGCGTCTCGTGATTCCCGGGCGCGAAGCGGTGCGTTTTCCGATAGAGGAGAAGGCCGGGGGAGAAAAAAAAACGGGAGAATTCGTACTTCTTCCTTCCAATCTTTTCGGGCTATTGTCTCTGGCGTCTCGTGTGTTCGATAATAATGGCCCCGGCGGGATCAGCACCGGCCGACCGATCCCACCCCCGTGAAAATAGTAGCGACTTCCCTCTCTCTCGTACACGGCGACGCAGATTTCGTTTCCTCCCCCGCGTCGCGAAATTTATTTACCTCGTAAATCGACCGGCGGCCCGTTGAATTCTATTTCTTCCCCGTGAGAAAGAGAGGCGAGTGGAGAGGGGAGCTCGCTCGGATCGAAAGAATCTTTCCGCCTCTCTTCCGTTTCTCGCGCTCGGCTGACCGGTATCCTTCTCCTCCTCCCACCCTCTTTTTCATACTTTTCGCACGCACACATATTCGATGCTCGTTTTTCAGTATAAATTGAAAGCTATTCGCTTAATTCGCGCGCGCGCGCAATCGATCCGCACGAACGGCCGCGCCGTTAACAACGCGCATTGACAACGAAGTTTACTCCCGGCGTCCTGGAATACGTGCGGCACCCCGGGGCTGCGTCGTCTCGAGTGGTCTTTCTCGTTTATTTATCCGGCGGACAAAGCGGAGAAACCTTCTCGGAGCGACATTCCGCGATCGAAGGATCGGCGGGACGAGATAATGCGACACCGGTCACTCCGCGATTAAGCGGTGAAATTAGCGTCGGGGAACTACAGGCAGGTTGGTTTCGATGACGGAAGCAGGGCTGGCGCAAGAGCGCGCAGGATAAGGGCGCGGGTCGAGAGAACGGGCTGGAAACCTAGCGGGAAAGAGAGAAAGAGGGAGAGGGGAATACGGCAGCGGGGAGAAGAAGAAGGGAAGAGAGAGATCGTACGATAGACCGCGGGTCGACGGGAGAGCCGGACGATTCCGCAATCGTTTGGCCCGCTTCCAAGGCCGCGACTCGCTTTTTACGGGCTGGACGCGCCATGCGATGCACCCCGGCAAAACACTGCGGTGGTAGATATGGGGAGACGTAGGGGGATAAAATACACGGATCGCGAGCGAGTATCCACGTACTTACAGTGTGGCGAAACGAAGCGCGCCGGACCGATGGGGGGGAGGGGTGAGAGAAGAAAGGATATAGTGAGGGAGAAAGAAGAGGGGGTGGAGCCACCGTCGCCGATTCAAACGTTTGTTCTAAACATCGCCGCCTCTGTTGTCCCGGTCGCGGTGGACAGTCGTGAACACCTCCGTGACTCGTCGTTGTTTAATTAACTGCATTCCTCCCGGTGATTCCGACGCGGAGATTACAGCGCGTCATCGGCCTACGTGAACGGCAGCGGTGAGTTTGCGGCTTAGCGGCGCGTTGTCGCCCGGAAGGGTAAAATATCGCCTCGACCGCCGAGGAATGAACGTTATTCATCATGCCCGGAAGTTTGATGTTTCGGTTTCAAGATGGACGAGCATATAAGTGGTGAACTCTCCCTCTCTCTCTTTCTTTCGCTCGCTCGCTCGCTACCCGGGCCGCTCTTCGTCTACCTCTCCATCGAGATAAATTGCTCGCGGCAGCCGGTGGAAGGTACGAGAGAGGAGAGAGCCTGGGCGTCTCCAGAGGGAGAGAGAGAGATGGAAAGAGACGAGGCACAGCCAATAAATTCAGATAAAAGTACGAGCAATTTTCTTCTTGTTAACGCGCTAGGCTCCCTCTCTCTCTCTCTCTCTCTTTCTCTCCCGCTCTCTTGAGCTACTCGTGTTGAGAAAAAGAACTTCATTAAACGTGGAGCGAGCCTCGCTCGCGTGGGAGAGTGTGGGAGGGAACCGAGAGTTAGATTAGTTAACTCAGGGTTTAGCGGATTACCCGATCGCGCCGCGATAAGTCACTTTGGTCGCGGCGAGGCCTCGCCTATAATTAGGTTTGTCCTAAAGCGAAACTTTGCCGGCCGTTTTCAAGGGACGACGACGACGACGACGACGACGATGCTGTTAGCCACGGCACTCGCCCGGTCTCGACGATTTACGCGTCCGTTACACCGTAATTGTCGTAGAGGTGGTTCATTCCGGCGGCTGGACGCGCGTCTTCCGACGGTGATCTCGGGTTAACAACGCGTCTGCCGCGGAGGTCAACCGCGATTGTGAACGAGTGCTCGCCTTGACTCGTTCAGACCGCGGGAATACGATCATGCTTGAGCTCGAGATTCGCGCGAGATTCACGGGAGACTCGCGCCTCCGAGCGAGTACGGAAGACCGCCGGTCGTTACGGTGGGAGATTTACACGAGGTGATTTCGGACGAGTTCCGTTAAATTTGAGATATCTCAGGTATTCGAGATGGAACCGGAGCTCTCGCGCCGCGAAACTCTCGTTCGAGTTTGGGAATTATGTCTATGTTACTAGTTCAATAGCGCGATCAATCTTCCAACCCTTTTTCTTTTTCTTCTTCCAACAAGTTAGCCTGGATTTCGATCATTTTCATTCAAAATGCTTTTCGAAATGGAAGTTTCCGAGGGGAAGGCTCATATTCAAAATTACTCTTCGGCGACGGAAAGGGAGGAAGGGAGACACACACATATATACTGACCTGGTGACGTTGATTTGATCGATGATCTCGACGGTGCCGAGACGCCGATATCCGGCGAACAGCATGTCGTTACCCATTAAGCCGGAGCCGCGGCCGTCGATGATGGCGAGTATGATACTTTTGTTCGTTACGAGACACGTGCCCCAGTCGACGTTGAACTTCTCAGTCACCAGATTCGAGCCCGGCCCGCCGTACCTGAGAGACAGAGAAATCGTAGAACGTATGTCAGTCAACGAAATATCACGTGTCGCATTATTGTCGCGAAATCTTTCATCACGGTTATTCCACGTTTACTCGCAATTTCGCGCACGTGTATATTAGAATTCTAAACATGTAATAAATAGTATATATATATATGTGTGTGTATTCTTTATATAACATTCTATTATATATTCTATTATTATACGTGTATTCTCATATGACACGCTGCAACTTTCATTCTTTTACATCGGTTAGAAGTAGAGCAGAAGAAAGGCACCGGGCGAATGTGATATCTGTAGAGATGTGATCTTAATTTCTCAAGTTGAAGACAGGGAGAAATTTAAATGAAGCCCCTGCAACATTTGTTCGGGCCGAATCGGCCTCTTCCTCGGTTTAAAAACTCCTAAATGTCGCCAATGCAGCGGACTTGGCAAAAGTACCCTTCCTCCGACTGTTTAGCGGACAATTCTCTCAGCTCTCGCGCTCATTACAGTTCTTCAACGATCGTTTGCGGGAAATCTTGGTGCCACTTGAGGGATTCCTTCACGAAAGGCTCGAAGAGAGATGGGAAGGGAGCGCAGAGGGGTCAAGCGGTGTCGAGAATTAGGAAATGGAGGTTCCAGGGCGAAGATGGCTTTTCTGATACGGCGTTTTCCAGATAAAGTCGTCGACCGACGCGGAAATAAAGACGGATAGTAACGATCCCGCGATGTATAGTCTGTCTAACGAGAGCATAACCAGCGCAAAACTTTTGTTTGTAATCACGTTACTTTGGAAGCCCTCGAATATTGTGTAAAAAGATCCTTCTCTTACGTCTCACCTATTGTCTAACTTTTGTAAGGAAACAATGTATTTAGCTACGTCTGTTGTATATACCCAACGATTCGATGCAGCCTTCCTTTGTTCTGCCATCCGAAAGGACTGATAATTTCTCAAAAAGTGGGATGAAAGATAAACAGTTTGTGCAGATGTTTCTCCCACAAATTTCTCTCTTTCTCTCTTTTAGACTGTCACTACGCCAAGCATAAGCGAGATTGAAGAAAAAAGCATAAATTTGTTATATAAAAGTATTCAAAGTTGTCCATAAACTTATAATCAAAAATTTTTTAGCGTAATGGAGAAACTTCTGCTCTCCGAGAAACACGTCGAGAAAAGAATCTCTTGAGCGTACGAAAATATTAATCATGATTGAGAGAACGTTATTTTCTCCGATGAAGCTTCCTTTGGGACATAAGATACTATCGGTCGAACTTGATCTATCCTATCTATCGGCAGATTTCTCCAGCGGACTATTAAACATTCGGTAAAGATGCACGTTTGGAGTTGCTTTCAAAATATGGATTTAGCACTTTATCCTTATTCGCGAATAATTTGTATGCTAAAAAAAAAATAGTATTAATTTGCAGAAGAGCTTTCACACTATCTACCGAAAAATTATTTCGAAGGAAAATTCCAAGACCTGATTCTTCAAGGAAATAACGACCTAAAACGTCGAAGTCATTTGTGCTTCCAGTGAAAAGAAGGAAATGGCATTCGAATATTCCATCGGCCATCATAATCACCCGGGGTGAATCCAATCGAGTATGCCTGGAAATTAATGAAGCAAAGACTTCGTAGAAAAAAAGTATAGGGTATAACTACGTTATTATTTGTTTCTACCTAGTTTTTTATTCTGATATCATTATTATCATATTTTATTATTAATTTATAATACATATTTAATCGTAACGTAACAATTGGATAATAATATTAATTACTGTTATTATATACTATTGTTGTAATTATTATTATTATTACTGTTATTAATATCCAATTGACGTTACAGCCAAACATACATTATAAATTAATAGCAAGGATAATATTGATACTAGAATAAAAAAATAGAAACAAACAATAAATAATAATAATCGTTACTATCACTGCTATTGACTTGTCTCATTCTTTTATAACAAATAATTGAAAAATTACGTTAACCATACTCTTGTTAGACAGACTGTAAATGCCAGGATGTTCCTAGAAACGACGCCGCGATATCGCGATGATCGGAGCGAGGTAGAAGCTCGATGACAAGCACGCCGGTCGTAGGAATTACGGGGAACGCGTCCATTCGATGACGCGAAATTAGACCATTGATTTTGCGGAGCGCTTAGCGCCGGGCGTCGTTAATTCGAACAAAAGCGGACGTATCATCGAACATCACGAAGCGTCGCGATCGGGAATTTCACCCGGAAAGCGGAGAGAACAAGCCGAGTGTCTGTGAAAACTCCCAGCGATCCAATACACCCGTTTCAAACACAACGACAGTACAATTACTCGGCTATAAAACGAGCGGTGGAAATTCAAACTTCTCTTTATTCGCCGTCGTCAAACGCGAGTGAGACGCGCGTCCGCCATGGCAACAGCAATAACTATTCCGCGCTTTTGGACCTCAGTCGGCTGCGTCGTTTCGTCCTTGTGTTACTTCGTGTATCCACCCTCGTCCACCGGTGCGGAGAATCGTTGGGCAAACGATATAACGACATTTCGATCGGAACGGCCAAATAATCCGTTAATCGTCATTCCGCTCGGAAAGAAGTTCCTACTTGGTGCAGAGCGTCGGAACGTGGGTGAAATTAAAGTTTCTGATTGTCTCGAACGAGAAGATGGGAAAATAAAGGGTGCAAGGGGCCAACGATCGCGCTACTATTTTTCTCCCGGCCGTGAGTGCATATAGCGCGGAGCTTCTGCTACTTCGGGAACGGACATCGTGTGTAATTTTCGCCATAAGTTCGCTGTACTTTCAAAAGTTCGGGCTCGGCCAGGACCGCCTGCAAATTAGACGTTATTAGGATCTACGCCGGAAAGTTATATCGGCCTCGAGCCGTCGTACTCTCGCCAACGCGCGTCGTGCATGTACCTCATTCTAAATGCATGCGGGGAAACATGGAAAACTCATTCTGCTGACTTTTTCAAGACAATGACTAACAGCCGGCGACTAGCGTCAGCCGAGTACTTGGGAAAGAAGTTACCGTTAATTCGCGCGGACACGGTCGAAATGACCGGGCGATCTCTCTCAGGCTCCTTACGCTCGTCGCACGAAGAAAGCTGGAGAACTAAAAGAGAGGGGGGGGGGGGAATGACGGGAACATCAAGAAGAGCGCGAATAGATTTACGTTTAGTAGACGCGCACACCGGTCCTCCGTTCTCTTTACGGAACGGAATAGCCCCATTCCGCCCTTCGGCAATCTTTTCATTAATACACTTAGAAATATGAGCGTACGCGCACACCGAACGAGAGATCGATAACGCCCTGCTTTTTATCGGGGAAGCCGTTGAAGTTCTGCGCCGGTAAGACTGAATACGGAATGACTCATCGCTTCGTGGTTTTACATCTCGCCCTAATTCAGGCCACGTAAAGAAGAGCTTCGTTTTCACGTCACGGTGCAGATTGCGTTCCGCTGCTGCACGTTCGTCACCTCTCTCTCTCCATTACGCTTATCTCGCGAGTGCATTATGACGGAACCGATTGATGATGCTGGCGGAGTGCGTTGTCACATTCCTTGTCGGCCCAGAAAATATGGATGCTTTTAAGTGAACGCCGAGATATACACGCGACGCCAAAAAGCGAGGCGGTAAGAACTCGACTCGGCTCGCCGAGTCCAAGGAAATGCCCGATTGCACGCGAACATCCGCCGAACGCCCGCAAGATATTTACCGTATGGTCCAACTCGGGTTGATTTAATCGCTTATCGGGTCCATCTAAGGTTACACTGTCGGCTTCTAAAGAGTCATGTAATGCTGCGAGGTAATCAGGATTTTAGATATTTATCATAATGTTCTCGTGAGGTAATGGAAAAGATTATTGTTAGATCAGGATTTATAAAGAACAGGTAGTGCTAAACTAGTAAAAAAAAATACCTACAACATATAAATCAAAGCACAAATATTGTTTGAATCGGACGGTTTTCGATTTCAATAATGTGAAAGCGAGAAATATTTTTATAGAAAAGATTATAAAATGAGTTCGCTGCAAAAAGTTCGTGTCGGAAACTATTAAATGCAAGTTACATAATGGATAAAGATCACCCAAAAAGGACCTGATCAATAAAACTTTATAAAATAATACGTTGGAACGATACTCTAAGGTCCTAATATATGTACCTACTAATCATTATAAGTTTACAAAGGTCTTCCTTGTTCGATTGTTATCAGTACATGATAAGATTTACTATAAGTAAGGATTATCTTGCGCTAATCTTGTTTTTTTGAACAATATCAGGTGTACCTGATGACAATTTCTAGTCGGATGCGTTCGACATCGCTCACCGGTGGTATGGCCGAATATCAAAAGTTTGAGGTCGCGTAGATTTGTCGGAAAGAAAGACGAAGAAGAAGAGGAAGAATCGGAGAAGATTGAGAGTTAGAGAGATGTTCAGCGGAAAAACCCAAGAACTTACACTTGAATCAGCATGGGATATTTGGTAGCGCCGCTCAAATCAGCACCGGGTGGTATCAGGAGCTTCACTTGGGCGCTGAAGTCATTGGAAACTGGAAGCTCGTATCTGTGGACAATCGGCTGCGATTTCTCGGCTATTATCTCCGCTACCGCGCTGTTGGCCTCCCACATGAAGAGCAATGTGGAATCCTGAAAATAAAGAAGAGAGCATTTCTCATAAAAGGACGTGGTCGGACAGCATCGGGATAAGAATCTATTGGGATTTGCGTTTCTCCTACGTGTGTGTGGCGGATACGCGACTTTTCAACGGCAAAGTCAAATATTGCAAAGGCATCCGAATGAGTTAATTACGTCACATTTCGTTAGTGTCTATCAAACAAGTCCGAATCCATGCCGTTTGTCAGTATGTAGCATTTAACATGGCTACAACGACACGCCCTCTAATACTCGATTTTCCTCTTATCTCGGTGCAACTCGGACGTTATAAATCACTGGTCATTTCCTAACTCTGACGGCGCCATCACCGAGTAATAGATCCTAGTAGAGAGGGAAGGAGAGAATAACACCGTCAACACGATCAAAAACAAAGGAAACTCGCGGAAAGTCGTAAGACGAGCGAAGAACGTTTAGCGGTCCGCTCTGCGCTCGCAACTTCGACAACAAAGCACCCTTTCCACGGCCCGTCGATCGGAATCGGTTCAAAGGTCCAACCACTTTTGCAAGTAGTCGTCCGGACTCTTTTTTTCGGCAGGCAGGAGGAGGGGAGGAGGCGGAAGGATCATGATAAAAAATTGCATTAGGAAAGTCGAACGAGCCAACACCGGCGGGAAGGGCGCTGCGATTGTCCGCGAAGTTTCCGGTCGCGTTTTTGCGCCGAGTTTACCTCCGAGTTCGCAGGCCAGAGGATCGCGGCAAATGTAGCGAGCAATCTGCGCTTTTGTGCGCCGAGCACTCGATGAGAGAGCGCTCCGTCTCTCGACAGCGAATCTCGATTTTGCATCGGCGAGCTTTTTCACGATCGCTCCTCGCGAATCCGCGCTCGAACTTTCTTTTACCGAATGACAGGAGGAGGTTTCCGACTTTTGTCGGAGTCTCAGCGCGCCGATCGCGATATGACGCCGCGATATCGATTTTCGATTGGGACGAGGATATATTTTTTACGCGAACATATATACCGCGCCGGGGATATGTACGAGATGGCTGCAATTTCGTGCCGCGCACGCCTCACACAACGTAAGCTGATCAATTTTAGAGGAAGTTAAGGAACGACAAAGCGCGCCTGACTTACATCCCGGTGAATTTTGCAAGGCGCTTGTTCTGGATTTTAGACAAGAGAGCAAAATGGGAGAGGAAGAGGAAGACTAATGAAAAAAAAGCGTTAAGTCCTCCGTACGCACAATTGCGCTGTGAAATTCTAAAAATTGCACTCCAATAAGAATCATTTTTACCGGACATTCAGTTATGGAGATATGTAATAAAAATTGAACATTTGAAATTTTCGTATTGAATTTAACTGCAAATGACATTTTCTTTTCATTTTTCATTCATTTTATATTTTATTAAAAAAGAAAAATGAAAATAAAGGTAAACTTCAAGGTAATCAAAGTGAAACCACGCGCGAATTTTTTCTCGGGCGGAAGAATTTTTGGGCGGGAAAAACGGGATATAAAGTGAAATATCGAAAAATCAACGCAGCAACTAATGGATGACGCTTTGTTTCTTTTGCAAATTTCGATAATTGTTCTCATAATATCGTAATTAAAATGCCGTGGCATGCAATAACGTTAAAGTACCAGAAGATCAAAAAAGGAATTCCAACGAAAATTTGGTAAAATATTTGACGATATAATTGCACGAACACACATGCAAAGACGATATTCGCGTAAAACAGATTAATTAATAATTTTATTGTATAAAACGAACCACTGCACCTCGCTGCAAAAATCATATCGAAGGTGCATACTGACGTTCGATTTTATTTATTCAAATTACCCTGATATAATACAGAGTGGATCAATAACTTTGTTCGGCTGAAATAATCCCGCTATTTCATTCGCTACTTAGTGAAGATATTTTAATTACGAAAGTTGTATGGTATCAACAGGACTATAATACACTAGTAATAATTTTTCTATATGTGAAGACGCTTCGGAGATTTCAAAGTCGCCTTCATTCCTTTAAATGACAAATTTCCTCTATCTTTCAATTCCGAAAGGCGCTTGGTTCGCGTGCATAATTAAATTACAAATGTCGAAATCACTTCGGTTGCAAACGTTTAAATAAACACGGCGCGCCCGAGAGGAATCGTCGGCGGATCGGTTGGCTCAGCTCGAAGGCGTGAATTTCGCCGACCGTTCGCTCTTTAGCGTAATTGGATTAACGTTCTTTGTCGACGGCTTCCCGGCCGAGAAGAACCAATTATCGGCATTAATCGGCTGCGCGAAAATAAGCGATAAAAGTGCCGGGAAGTCAGATTTCCGGGCTCCCTCGACCATGCCGCTTCGTCGATCGCGATAAAGCACGCGGATTCGTTCCTCGTGACATCTCGAAGTTCGACGACTTTTCTTCCTCCCCTCTACCCCTCCCCCGTGTGTCTTCCCTCAGCCAGTCTGTCGCTGTGGCAATCAGATTACAGGGGAGCGACAGTCGATCTAAATATCGCATCGTGTTTTACGCCAGAACAATAGTCGATTCCAATCCGCGTTTGTTGTTGATTGCGCCATTTTTCTCAATGTGTTTTATTTACGCGGCGAAATTGGAAGTTGATACAAAACGTGACCGTTTTAAAAACCCGGTTACGCATACGCGGTCAAACGGTGACTGTGCCGGGCCAAAGAGAAAATTTAAATAGCTTCGTAACGCCGTTACCCCGTAACGCGCATGTATCAATAGCGGAGAACAGTTCGTCGTCCCCTCTATTCCAAGTTTCCAATAATTTCATACACCAATAACACACGCACACACACACACACGCGCGCGTGCACACTCACGCGTCATTATCAATTTCTCCAATTAACCGTCACCGAATTTTCCATTGCACCGTCGAGCGCGCGCGTAACGCGCTTTCGCGCCGAGGGCGAGAAGACCCTCCTCAATCCCCGCGCCAATTTCACAGCGGGAACGAATTTGCCGAGGAGACAACGCGCGCACGCGGCGGAGTTATTTCGCGAATTATTTCGGGAACGTTCGCGATTTAACGCGACATTATCGTGCCGCTGCGTCATTCCCGCCGGCTACTTTCTGACCGTTGTACAGCGAGGTAATTCACATTCAAAAGTGGCGGAAATTATTTTCCCAGCATTCTTTTTCGCAACACTATCGATATCAATTGTGAGTGATTCCTTTTTAGTTAGATTACATTGAACGTAAAAATATATGTTTATGTTCAATTCGGTAATTACGGTCACTTCTACATCTCGACTGTGATCGGTACGAATTGAATTCTGTAAATTTCTATATTCCTCCTCTTCCTTTTCTTTTTCCGAGTCAACAACACCGGCGATAATCCGTCGCTCGATCTGATTAGACCGAGTGTATAGTGTCGCGAGAGCAATGTGTTTCGTTGCGGGATTTCGGGCGAGCTTTGTACGCGCGACGGTGCGAGAGTGCGGCTCGGCCAGCCGCTCGTATATTACTCCGGCCGGGCTAACTAAACCGTGGTACCCGCGTACTCTATTGCTGTAACGAAATTTATTCGATTCGGCTGTCTGATAGCGGGCCCCGTGGCTCGTGTACCTTTCACTAGCAGAATTACGCGGCTGTCATCCGCGCGTCTATATCATATGCAAATGCGCGCGCCATCAGCGCGTCCGATACGAAAGATCATCGCTGGCCGAATGTGTAACGATGGCGATTTTGCGCGGAATTATCCGCCGCGAAAGCGAGAGTGAAAGGAATCTTGCGCTCCGATATGTTACGCGCGGGCACGCACGAGTGATTATCCGTTTATGATCGAATTACGCTGAAATCCGACACACGAGATCCGGAATCATTCGACGGAAAGTTGGAAACGCGGGAGGAGAGGGATGATGCACAGGCGAGATGGCGCGGTGGCCCGTAAAATGTTCAATTTTATGAATTTCACGCACTCCACGGAATGTCAGAGCGGTCGGAGCGGGCGTACCTTGTTGTAGATGGCTATGCTCGGCACTCCGGGTCCGGCGCACGTAAGCACGTAATGCGAATTGTCAGCGGAGAATTTAGCGGTGTTGTACAAACAGCGACTGCCATCCGTTTCGCGGACAATGTTGCAACTCAAACACGCTGACTTGCGCTCCGGGTCCAACAGTGACACTCTGTATAAGTGCTGGACCGCCGAGTCGTGCTCCGAAGTGGCCAGGTAATATCTGTAAGAAAAATACGTTGTTTTCCTGTCAGTTGAACAAGCGCGAAATATTTCGGAGTGACGCTGCCGCGAAGAAATTAGTTGCATCATGGGATCACGGGGGAACACCTGTTGCGACACTAAGATACCGGAATCGCGATAAGGCCGCTGGCGAAGATAAATTGTCCGGCGGTGTTCAATGCTACTTCGCCAGAGAGGTGCATTTAACCGGCCTTCATATCTCGGATCTTGCTAATTTCCCTTCCCATCAGCCGTCTCGGACACGCCGTCGCGGCATGGACTCGAGTCGAATGGTTAAACAGTGGCGAGAGCGATTTTCATGCGACTCCCTCGAAAGCGTCACGAGGACTCCCGCGCAAGTTCGTCCGGCACAGTTGTTCCGAACTATAAAGTGGCTGCGCCAGCAGAATGCCGCTATTAGATACAATCAGAAAGCTGATGGTGTAAATTGCGACCATTGACTGACCGCCTATACCTGTAACGGTCGTTGCGCGTTAATCAGATCTATTGTTCTCCGCGGGGGTTTTCGGCAAGAAATACGCCACGTGAAGAGTAACACCGCCATTCTTCTCCCTTCGACTTTCGCAGAGAGAAAGAACATTCTGTCGGGTCTTTGTGTTTCTTTAATTACGCGTTTTGTAGGTCGTTCGGATTGAAATTATCCCGATGGAGAGATTCCGAAAGCGAACTCTCGGCCTCATCGTCACTGAATGACAATGTTAACCCGCAGGTAGGCGCGTGACTTTTTCCGAGAAATAAAACGACTGCTGCTTGTAGCGGAGATTTTCGAGTGTTATCTACGCTACGCTACTTCTCGTTAATTATAGCTTGGTCGTTAGAATTAAAAACGTGATATCAGAAATGGTTTTCGCGATATATGTTAATAATGCTAACGTTGTTTTCACGTTACTTTATATAATTAGCAAAAGATAATGTTGTTATATGGATACAAGTAGAGGGAGAAGAAAGAATATATATTTGCGCAGTTTTGCTACGAATATTATTTGCAATGTTTCTGTCTGTAGACGAGTGTCTAATTATATTCGGATATTAGTATAATATTAGCACAAACTAGATCGACGCAACGTGGCTTATTCTGTTTGTTTGACGATTCGCTACGTCTTATTCATGCACATACAAATTGCAACGCTCGGCGATCGCGGGCGGGAATTCCTATACGTGGCTTTAGATCCGAGACCAATTAGTCTGAAGACTCGCGGAACTGGCGGCGCTCGTGCCGACAATTGTAACATTAATAGCGTTCAAGTTTCTCCCAACAGAATATTAAATCTTAAAGATTCTTAATAATCCTAATAATAGTCTCACTGGTCACAAAAGGAAAGAAAAAAGAAAATAAACGATAATACAGAGAGTTTCTACAGAAAAATGCGACCAATACGTGTATGTAGACGAGGCAACAGCATTGTAGCTGGTATAACTGTCTTATCCAACGCATTACTATGATTAATGAAGTAAAGCCGAAACTTATCTCGACGGAACAATTTCTCAAACGACGTTATACGAGGAAAGCCGAAAGAATAGTGTGCCTTTGAGTTCACCTCAAGTCCCCCTCCCGTTTCGTGGGATGTAACGTGTCGAAACGCCACACGTGAAATCATTAATTACTCGATAAGGTAAGGAGCTCAGAGTTTTAAGTCGGCGGACCGGGGACGCGCACGTAAATCCCTCTATTGCTTGAGGAAATCGACGGGAACCAGCGAACACGGTAAGTCGCCGGTAGTTCCGCAGGGCTGGCAAGATAGATGAGGTTCTGAGGTTATTTAGAATGGATTAATTCGAGCATCCTGTTAATTTAGCCTATCGCATCAATCTTGAACGACCTCGGGCCGAGGCGCCCCCGTCATTCGCGAACGCGTATTCGAGGATTTCAACTTTTGGTGGTTCTCCACTTCGCGCCTTTCTTCGAAAATGAAGATCGATCGACTTCGGGCAAGTCGACGGCTCGGTTCCGAGGGGTTCCGGGACCCTCGAGACTCTCCCGCCTGGCAGCTGATACTTCATTGTCATAACCGAGGATGATAATACCCTGGCAGGGTTAAGTTCTACTAGACTAAACGGCCGGTGGGAGAGATATGTTGCCTCATTATGGCAAATTAGGGATTACTTGAAGCACACGTCAAAGGGAAAGCACCGGAACGACCTCGCGGAAAATGGATCGGATCGAGTTTGGCAAGGGAAAGCGCGTGTCAAAATAGAACGCAGCCTCGGGTCGATCGAATTTTCAACGTAATTTCGTTGAGTTGCCTGCAACGAAATTCGTGTGTGCGCGTATTTCGGGATTTTGAGATTTTACCCCGAGAAATGTCATCTACGCGTATTGTCGGCTTCGTGTGATCATCAAAGAGACGCGCACGACAACCAAGGTCTCTAATTGTCGCGAGTGTTAATTCGTTGCGATGCCCTTCGTCCAACGCAAGTTGACAACCTATCGAAAACGACTACGCAAGATATTATTTACCACGCCTGCAGAACGAGCACACGTATTTCCGTTCTTGAAATTCCGTATATCCAAACGGATGTTCGAACTTTCGCGCTTCAAAATTTCACAATGCGAATATAATGCGTCGGAAATTCAAAGTCTCGAAGTTTCAAGGAGCCGTAACTTCGAATATAAATTCCAGCTTCATTCGTAATAATTACGCGATCAGAAAGTCGCACCGCAGGCACGACTCGGTTGAATTTCCGCGCAATCTCTCGCGGTAAATGAGGAGACATGTGAAGCGAACGAAAGCAGAATTCTGATGATTTAGGTGAACGAAATTGCTTCGACCCGGTTGACCCGGGGGATAACCGATAGGGCGATCTTTCTTTTCTTCGCGTTGCCGTGGTGCATTGCCGGAATTGATCCCGGCACGTTAGTTACCGCCCGCTGCCATTTAATTACAGACTTACCGGTTTGAGCAGCAAAGTAGAGGCCGCGCTTCCCAATGAAATTAATAATCAGCAGACCTATCGCCAGCTGATAAGTGTAAACTCACGGGTGCGTGCCACTTTTGTTCGAGATGCGTCCCGCGCCGCTACGTGCGCGACTACTTCCGTAGTTACCCGCCGCCGATTCGCCAAGTTTCCAGTTAGCGAAGTTAACTCGTAGTTACCGCGCGATATTAAAAGCTAATATCCGAAAGCTGGAAGCTCCGAAAATCCCGAGGCCAGAATTACGGGCTGCGTACCGAAGCGAGCGTTATCCGCGATATATTCGCGGATACGCGCTGATTATCATTTTTACTTTAACCAATGCGTAACGATGCACGCACGCGTTTACAACGACCGGCCGATAAGCATCGCCGATTCAACAGCGCCGATTCGATATCGAAACACGGGAATACGGGCTGGATTAATAGTTACCGGCGATCCCGAAATGTCAAAAAAAAGACAAACAGGTGAGATTCATCGTCCGAATGTTCACGTCGCGAATGATCAGTTCAACAGTTCGAACTAGCTGATGAGATTTAACTGATATCCCTGAGTTATTTTTCTGAGTGCTTATCATGATCTCGATAAAATCCTTCTTTAATACGCTAGATTATAACAAGTAGTTACAAATTACAGGGAAAGTATTCTCACTTAGAAGCTAATTATTGAAATTAATTTCTTACAACCTGAAACCCTTCTTCCTCGCTCATCTTCATTCTCTCAATTACTTAGCTCTTAAGCATGGAAAAACGTAAGCAACAGGACGTAAGTAGTAATAACCAAACTGACCAATAGCAGTCAATAATTCTCCTTATGCTTTAAGAATAATCGACCGTGGTCAGTTAATTCCTTTAACCACTCATCACATACGTTTTTCTATGCGCTTGACTCGCTTGCTGCGCGCGTCCAGCGAATAAAACGACGGGACTTTCGCTACATCGAATTCAGTTGCTCCACCCTGTTTATATAACCAGAACTCGACGAGCGTCTCGCGTATTTCATCCCCGAGATGCATCGAGAGCGCGATAAACGGGCGCGATACATCTCAGGGCCCTATTTATCCACGATGGAGTCCATTATCTAACGGCTCCTAAGCACGGCGTTACGGGCTACCATCACGATGCTTACCATAATACGGCTATCACGAGAGAGCACCGCTTATAATTTCGCCGGGGCTCATCTTCGAATAAGGGCGGAATAAACGGCACCGTTTTACATGGCAATTTTCGCGGAGCGGCACGCATGCTCCCGCGAATTTCCGGCGGAGCGCCGCCCGAAGTTATCTGTCTTCAGAAACGCGATGAAACTTTCAACGGCGCAATTTAAAGTTGGCCTATCGCGACAAGCTGCGCCTTTCGTTACGGGGGAGCGAGGAGGATCCTCTTTTCCCGCTGAACTCAAAGTATATCTTACCTCAGGCCGTTGTTTACTTATCCGAAGCTAACTTCGACGACTTGTTTGTTATTGTTCGCGTTACGACGCGCGAAGTGCCATTGATCGATCCCACGTGAACGGCGACAAATTGTCAACACTTTTGTAAGACTTTTTACCTTCTCGAGGTTGTCGGATGATCTCGTAACCGTTGTCGAATATTTCGCCCGCAATATTTTACCGAATTATTTAACAGCAACTAACTGAATTCTGTTATAAGTTACCAAATCCTTCTTTCCGTATACATATTGAAACGTTATACTTCTAACCGGAACCTGCGAGGTTTTCCGACTAGATTTCCCAACTAAAATCCATAATTACTTTGGGAAATCGGACCGAGGCCCAATTAGATTCGTAGCGATTTTCTACGTGGGAAGTAATTAATTCGACTATTTACTCTCAAAGCAACAGGAGCAACGCGGTTCCTCGCTTTTCCATTACTTCCTGCTCGGCAGTCATTTGCTGAATTCTTTAACGTTTAACTTATGACGTTCGTTGTTATTTAAACTCTCGCAACAACACCTACCTAATTTGGTGAGCTTTATCTCGTTCCCCCCTCTTACCTTTCTAATAGACGTCACGCGCTTTGTTATTCCTTTACATCACAAAGGAGCGCCCGCGCCGATGAAATCGCGC